CCAGTATTACTGCGCTTTTCACAAACACGCGAATTCTATGAAAAGCCGCCTTCACAATTGCGTTTTTCGCCGCCGTCAATCATAATTACGATCACAAGCAACGAAGCTTGAAACACAGAAACGCACAAAAAGGATCGAAATCCACCAATCACAGATCACAAACCATATGACCTTTTGAGCCCATTTCAGTAAGGTTGTGTTTCGTAAGAGGTCCGTTAAGATGATTGACGACAGCGAAAAACGCAAACGTCAGTTGGCTTTTGAACTTCAGAGTTTGCGTGTTTTTGAAAAGCGCACTAAACGAGGAACACGCTGGGTTGTAACGACGGTTGTAACGATTCTCGCTTAGGGCTCCGCAATAAAATAGCCTTAAAATCTACCAAAATAACCTTAGCACACCGCAAATATTAAATCTGTGGCAATTTGTGATACTTTAATAACAGTGCAGGACAGTTTCTGTTCGCAGTAGGCTTCTAAGTCCTTTGATTGGTCACAGATTTCCACTGGGCCTATCCGTATCCAATGCCTATACTACCGATTCCGAGACAGGCCATTTCCAAACTTCAAAGCGAGTTCAGGTGCTCCTCGTTTCGTGTGAAATTACTTTCACTTGCAAGAGAACTAAACTCATTTTCACGTGAACGATTGTTTACGAGGCCTCGCTTTGATAAAGAAGCTTTCTCGGTTATGGGCTGCCCTAAAATGAATGATCCAATAGACGCCCGGGGCTTTTCTATTTAATTTCAGGAGCCCAACTGAGTTGTGACGTTCAATAGACATGATAGATAGACGGCGTTGTTTAAAAGAGAGGCATTTATTCTAATAAATGTAAGAAACTCCACAAAACTAATATGCTTTTGGCGAATTATAAAAAGCAAACTGCCCTCGTTGCTGGCAGTCTTCAAAGCAAACCAGACACTCTCTCAAACGGCTGAAATTAAATCGAGCCCACTATAAATGGAGACCCGAAAAGAAGACCCTGAAATTGTGGCCGTAAAAACAACTAGAATATTTAAACGGAAGACCAAAGTGATGAAAAAAGTTTGTTTTTGGTCTAAAACGACGGAAATACAATAAAAATCGGGAAAGAAATCTATAATGTCACCGCAGGTGCAAAGAAGTAGACGGACCAAAAGGAAACAGAGGAAGAAAAAGAAATTAAAGGAACAATTACTGTGCGCGCACTTAGTGTTTTTAATCTTGCCAGATACCATCACAAAAGACGTTTTACTTATTGGATAAATAATTTGTCACGTGTCAGGGGACTTAAACTGTTCCGCTGATGCAGTGACGTACAAGGCAGTGGACTTAGTCCTGCATGGCGGGCGGGATGCGTCGTCGTGTTGAGTGTAAGTAAACTCCTGTAATTATTATCCTACTGGTGCTCAGCTTGCTGAAGGGATATTACACATTACAGTACACACTTCCTAACACTACAATTTATCTAGTGTCGGATCAGTTTAGAAAGCGTTAGTCGGTCATGAGGTAGTTAGATGTGAGGGTTGCTCTGTTGAACGTTGTGGTTTTTAGACGGTCATGTAGAGTGTTTCAAAGAAGTGTGTAAGCTGGAATTCAGTTTGAGGAGTTTATTTCAAGAGGGTAACATAGAACAGTCAGGAATTACTCCATTAAGTTACAGTCCGAAGCATATAACCCCGTCTCTGGTTAATCTTAAAATACAAATGCGCACACTATAAAAACGAGCGCGCACATTACGAAAGGTAATGTTTCAAGTACTTGTATGGAGTAAAGCAAGAATCAAGCCGTCCCCTTTAAAGCCTTCTTTTTCACAGTTTCGTAAGTGTTTACGACACAAGATAGCAAACCTGTTTATTTTATCTCGATTAGCCTTTAAGATGTTTATGAACGCGCTACTTTTTCAACTGAACTTCTACTACGAACTTAAAATGGAAATAGCTTTTTTGGTCCAAACTACAAGCGCATCTCGGCCACAGACTGCGACGTCCCAAGGGTCGATAAACGAACGCTTACAACAGTATTTCATTTCATATACTGAGCGGCATCGCGTTCGAGAAGTTCGAATAAATCAGCTTTAAACAGGGTGAAATGGTGGTGGTTGAGTCGTCTAGCAATTATTATTCAGTTCTACAGCATCTGCTCCCAACAATTGGAGATGATGATCCACATTTTATTCAAAATCAACTGTACCATAGCCACAATAGAAGAAAAACATAAAATATAGTAAGGAAATAAATACAGAAAAGACAACAAGGATGATTGTCATTTCGTCCATCCCGCCAGGTGCCGAGTTAACACTCATTAGTTGGTCGTTTCCACACCCTGCGTCGAATTCTAATTTGTTATCGGTTATGCCGTAAACTGAACAGGTGCAACACCTCAAAATTGCACTTGCTTGCGTCAGAACTGCGTCAAAAATCAATTACAGCAGAAAAAGACGCCAACGAACTCTAATAATCTGCCTAAGCACAAAAGAAGTAAGAAAGAACCAGTCAGGCTTTGACATCAATACACTACGGCGTAGAATCTGCCAACATGATAAACCGAATACATCATCTGATTTTGCAACACCTTATTCTGGACGATGAAGAGCCTTGTTTGAGACGCTTACAGGTGACGTACCTCACAGACGTGGTCCTCGAAAATAAAGGGCAGAAAAAGAACGATTGTCTCCTTTTTATTCCTTATTTCTTAAAATTGACGCATTAGTATTCCGTTTTTTTAATTTTGCAATAAGTTAATGTTTTACCAGGGCTAAATTTTTCTAACATTAAGATTGAGTAGCGTTTAATTGATGTTTCAAGGTACTGATGCTCTAATTTTCTGTGACATCAAACAAATTGGCTCCATTTGAGACACGTGGGGCAAAATTTAAGCGCAAGTGACAACCTTTCGTTTAATCCGCGAAGAGAATGGAAACTTGTTTTTATTGTAGCAAATTTTCAAAAGATACCTTATCTTTGTTTCATAATTAGGGGCAAAAGGGACGGAAAACATTAAAAGGAGCCAGAAAAATAATTAGCGAGAGATAGAGAAAGAAGAGAAGACAAATTTTCCTTTAACGGGTTTAAAAGAACGTCCTGCCATAAACATAGGCAGTTGACCATAAAATAAAACTAAAGCAACATACAACGCACACGACAAATATTTGAGTGAAAATATAGTAATTATCTCAAGATGAAAGAAAAATAAACTGTTGTCTGTTGAACCATTGTTTGCCGGAACGCTACGACGACCTGTCTTCCTGTGTATAAAAGAAGGCTACCTTGCTAGAGTACGACTATACTTTCTTTATTTAGAATAGAGGTACGGCTCTAGTATATTTATCATAAAATAAAGACTCTTAAACTATATCTGAGAAGCGATACGGCAGAGAAAGCTCTCTTTCTCCCTGACCAACGATTCTTTGCTAATGCAGGAAATTACCAGTGGATCATCAATGCTCAGGACAAAGGTAATAAACCCACGAAGACAATACGTTATCTTCATACGGGATATAGGGCATTGAGATTATTGACGTCTCGCAACAACTCGCAGACGTTCTTGATAGAAATACTTCAAATGACGTGAAATCTACTTTAAAAAGCCGTAGGTTGCTGTTTCGAACTCGTCCTTGGCCCTAACTCCATTGCTGTAAACGATGGTCGTCGCTGAAAAAGAGAAGAAAAGTAAGTCAGTTCTTCACATTCTAATAAGGCAAGAGCGAAAAAATGTCAGCAGTTAGTAAAGATGTCAGTAACAAAAAGACTATATAAAAGTATATGTAGGTTGCTTTGAACAAACAGTTTTCTACTAGGCGCCCCACGTTACTTTCAGCATTGCTGAGATTCAAAAGAAAACGCTGTTCCGTTAGCGAAAAAGGTTTTGCATATGCGTGAGAAACAGCTTGAACCTCTTTCACGTGAAGATGGGGTTTAATAGAGGGTTTGAGTAACTGCCTAAATTTATTTCCTAAAGAAATGTCAACTGAGCGGGAAAACTAAACGTAAATTTATTTGTTGAGCTCTAAATTGGTCGCAGTATATGTTTTAGCTGTAAATCTAGCTTCGACGGCGGCTTGAAGTTGTTGGAGGCACTTTTGACAAAAAAAAGGGGATGTGAGAAGAGAGAGCGAAAAAAAAAAACACAGTTATCACAAGTGTTCAAAGCAAACGGCCCTTTCCCCTACTCACTGTTGCGGAACGCCTTCTCATGAATTAAGTTCACCTCTAACTGCTCGAAAGAGACACTAAAAAAACACTTGACAGACGTCTCGCAATCATTCTCGCGGCGCAAATGGTTGCTAGGTTGTTTAAAATACTTTCTCCTGATCCTTCTTTCTTTCAAGTGTTGCCGTTGGCAGGGTTCAAGTTCAGGACATAACTGGACCATTTTAGATACGGTCGTTAAATTGTTACGAGGGAACAAAATCGAAGACTACCAACCAATATCGCACGAGAAGAGTACAGGAGATAGAGATTTTGAATAAACGGCCACAAAAGAGCTTGAGAAACGGAGCTTTTCTCTAAGAATTATTAACGGTACTAGACACTACAACAAGACAGCAGTTAAGAAAATATGTGGTAACCAAATGTGTTCGCAATAAATAGTCTCCCAAAATGATATGTTACTCTTATTTTCAAACTACTCGCAACTTTAGCCATCGGTTTCTCCTCTCAGTGAGGCAGGCGAAGCTGCAAACGTAACTGAACAACACTTAACCGTTTTCACTGCAGAAACCCACAAACAGAAAGACACTCAGAGGTTCCTTGTTGCCTGATAGGCGATCAGGAGAATTCACGGTAAGGGTTTTATAAAGTAACCTAAATGTCAAGGATTGGCTTGACAGCACACGTAACAACGTAAGCATTCACTAAAAGATTCATATATACATTTCAACTAAAAGCCTATCGTATCCGTTATCAAATCAATAATGACATTTTAAGTGCATCGGTGTGTTTAAGAGATAACTAAGCTAGAAAGTAAACATCACATTAAAGAGGCATTGTTACGTATCATTATTCTAAACTACGATATGAGTTGTCAGGAAAGATAGGAGACAAGTGACAGGGGACATTATTAAATATTGCCTCAATTTTTTGTCCGGCATATAAACGGAAGACCATCGCCAGGCCTCTTTACGCAAACACAACGACAGTCAAACCAAAAGGGACGGATTCAAGTACCCGCAGAACAGAGGTAAGAATAATATGAAGTTTACCGACTCAATCTGGGACGAAGTGAATCGTCTGTAATGGAAAGAGATTTCACTGTTCTGAAGGATTAATATACATATATTTTCCCTATATTTTACAACTTATGTAATCAACTATTGAGCTGTCGCAGGCCAAGTTACCGAAAAGTATTCAGCGAGGACAAAGCCGCTGCTTTAACTAAGTGCCAAGCGCCAGACAGTTCTACATGGCATCTTTTAAGGTCGGTACACACTAGGCGACAAGTTGCGGCAACATGTTGCAAAGAATCAAATCAGACAGAATTTGTACGACTTGTTGCCGCGCCAAAATTCTGTTGTAGAGACTAAGATTTTCACAAAATTTCCCCAGTACACACGAAGCGATTTGTCGCTGCGATGTGTCGTCCCAACACGTTGCTGCAACTAGAGTGATCTCTCGCCGCGACTTGTTGCTGCAACTTGTCGCCTAGTGTGTACCGACCTTTTAAAGAAGCTCACTTAGTCAACGCCGATTCCCATAGCAACTAACCTCTCAACGATTTACGATTGTTCAGAACTGTTGTTAGCAGTTCAAAGTCTGTTTCGACCAGACTGGACTTTCCAACGAACTAGTATTTCCTGTTTTTATTCTTATCAAAAACGAGTCCCAACTGGTCATAGTATTAAAGTCAGATATACCATAGGCATGATCTAAATAAGACGATGAATTTCTTGAATATACAAGGCTAAGGACGACAACAAATAAACTGTTCCAGAAGAACTGATCGATCTTTACGTTTTTACTTTAAAGACGCTCTCCAAAATATAACTTCAATTCTCTTAATGTTTGGAGTGGGCGGAGGAAAGTGAGGGGTCTCACAGACAGCACCTGCTACTATACTGAGCCCGCAAGCTACACAAGGGGCGAAACTGATCATTTTGATCGTGCGCGTCGTGTAGTTGATCTACAGAAGACACACATCGACCGGGTTGAGATACAGGTAATAAAACTGTGACGTTAGCTTAGAGGGCAAATACAATATCACTTTGGCTGTTTAGACAGCACCAGCCTATGAAAGCATGACTATCGGATTAACTCGCAGCCTAACGAATTGAACACTTAACAGCATATTCTCAAGGTGTCGACTCAAAAAAAGTACCGACAGCTTCTAACAACAAACATAGATTAAGGTAAACTGGAAAAACCGGTTTTCTTTTCTCTATGGAATGTGAACTTTGATATTGTGACAGGAAGTACTCTGACCAAAAAAACTGGGAAAACCACATTCTTCTCCTGTGGAATGCAGACTTTGAGCTTGCTTTGACACTCTTCTCACGCAGGCACAGTGCTATTAAGGAAATTACCCCCAGCCTGGAGTTATCTTTCCCTGGTAATGCCCTTGCTAGTCAACCTTGTGAGTGAGATTAGAAGCAACTTCCATATTTTAAAGAAAACTCTTGCCGCCAAGAGAAAATGAAACACATGTTTGAAATGCTTTCGAGCGACAAACGTGTATGATGTAGGATGACTGGGCAGTTCTTAGGTGAGTCAAGAAATTTTCAAAACACTCTGACAAACTAAACAAGCTCAAAAGATCGCCACTGATCATAGTTCAAACAAAACTCCCTACGAATTCTCTCGTTTCGTACTCCAAAAAAAATAACGGCTAGTTCCGTAATTATTTACGAGCCTTGTTACTAATTTGACTCTAATGGTGAAAGAAGGGGGCCAAGATAAATTAGCAAAGGAAGAATAGGCGCCAGCAACCGCCCCCGCTCAACAAAACGTTTAAATAACGACTTACAAATTAACTAATTTCCTAAAACTGCAAAACATAAACGCATACTATATCGTTGCATTTAGCATCGCATTCGTAAACAGTACAAAATGGAGTTGAATGGTATTTATAACAGTGTATTCACAACTGGAAGCGTATTAAAATATCATTTGAGCAAAACAGCTGCTATCTGTGAAGCTAATTAATATGCTAAACGAATGTTACAACACGTACACTTCGAGCCGAAAAGTTGGCTTTGGCCGCTTCTATCCGACAGCGTCTTTAAGTTTCATGTCAGCTCATTCTTGTACGACCAGCGGTTGTCGTTCCTCACATTCTGTACGTTGCAGCAAGCACATTTTGTCGACGGAACAAGCTGAAAATACGTTCACAAAAGAGTTGAAGCAAACATAAATCGACGAACAATCGAATATCATTCTTACCGTTTCGTCTCGGATTTCAAACCAAGGAAACAAACCTTTGGCCGGGCTTAGAAGGCACAAATTTTGGCCCAAACCGGTCAACTTCTCTCAAACTTTTCATCACGTAACTTTTTCACGGCTGTTGTGGAAAGAATTGAGGTCAAAAAGCAATAACTTCACACAACAATTTACTGTTTACGCGGTCGGCAAACCATTTTGAAAGGGAATATTTCCCACAAAGGTGGGTGCGGCACGAAAAGCTAATATTGCGTCATCCTCGAGAAAAGCCAATGGGAGCTCAAAAAGACAATGCAGCTGTCAATTTTGAAAGTATCAACCAATTAAAGCCCGACAACTCCAAAATTTGGCGCGCATCCGAGTCACGTTGGACAGGTTTTGACACCGGTATGATCCCGACGTACACGCATTTTTGCAGCGCTGGTTCCTTTCGTCGAAGTGCGCAAATCTGTGTTGGAGCTTGACGTTGTCAGTGTATCGTGACTTCCCACTTTCAGTGCCAACGAGTTTGTTTTGAATCCCAGATAGGTGCTTAGTTAGTGGATGGGACCTATTGTGCGAGGTACGTACGAATCGAGGAGGCGGTTAGTCAAGTCTTGCTGACGAAAGCACCTTCAGGCCAAACAACCGGGGCAACGAAATGACAAGCACTAGTACTACGGCGAGTTATTCTTCGCTTCGTAGAGCACAGCTGACTTACGAATACTTGCACACAAACAGGTAGTTATGAGAAACCCTTTTTTTTGTTCGTTTACCCGCTGATAAACTTTTCATTGTCCTCTGGTTTATAAAACCTTGTCATATAAGGGTATTTATATCGTTTGCAAGCACATGTTTTGATCATTTACGCGCGCTGAGAGGGTGGCTAATTAAAACTTTGATCGCACAAACAATGACAGAACTCTGACGCAAATAGCAGTTTTACCGTGGAGTTACTTTCAGTTTCTAAGTCACAGCGTGGACTTTCTAAATTTATTAGTGTTAAGGTCTAGCAATCGCAACACACTGTGACTTTCATTTAAGCACACTTGAATACTCGTGGTGCGTACAACCGCGACTTCATTTACCCTCGGGGCTTGAGTGACTCGAGTGTAATAGTATGTTAGAGCATTAAAAACGCGAATTATTGAGCAGTGTTTGTTTCTTTCTACCAGCACAACACACGAGTTTCTGTTTGGAGCCTTGGCGGAGTTAGTGGATAACGCAAGGTATTTGTGAGCTTCAATTACAACAAGAGCGTGAACAATACCTCCTTCTGTACACTTCGAAATGGGGCAACCTTCGTCCCACTAGCGATGAAAAACACATAGCGTTTTACTCCAAACAATCAGGGAGTGTAGACAGTTCCAGGTCTCTTGTGAAAGCGATTAGGAGTAGCTTTGTTTTTCAATACTAGGTAGTGGATTGTAACATGATCTTAATGAGTGACTCCTAATAACATCACCTGCTTTCACACAATAGAGGATATTGGCCTCACGATTATGTGCATATTTCCGAATTTATGTATTTTAGCTGTGTGTAGGGTATCTAATTTTCAGTAGATCGTGTCTGGTTCTTGAAATAGATTTATCTTAGTCATAGAAAAAAAAAAAAACAGGGAATAATAAAAGCACAACCTCATTGACAGAAGCTCGTTGTATTAATTTTTTTATTAATTTCTATTGTCAGAGATGCATCATCAACAAAGATCGACATCTATACAGGTTTGTCAACAAGTTAAACAGGTTTTAACATTCCGTGAGGTCTTGTAAGACGATAGGTTAAAGGTGTTTATGACTATGAAGATGGACCGTCCTGCCAAGGTCATTGGATATCCCATGGTGACACAAATGAGTCTTTCTTTACAGAGGGTCTCAACGGGGTTAATCGTCAGCCGTCGAAAAGGGTGATTTTTACCGTCAACAGTCAAAAATGCAGATTAGTGTTAACCGCAAAACAGATTTCAAGGTATCTCAAATCTCACTATTTCAGCTGATCTTCACGGACTTCTAGCTCTTAAAGAATCTCTAATCTGGAAAACCCAGTTCCCATGTTCTCAAAAACACTCTCTAGACATTAGAAGACCCTAAAATCTGCTTATATCTGAAAGTATTTGGAAATTTTTGGACGTGAAAGGCCAAGACAACCTCCAAGCACAAAAGTTAATATTAATTTATACAGAAGTTAATACTTACTATAATCTTGGACTTAATTTCCACTTTTTAACCGTCATTCGTCAAAAGCTCTAAAATTAACCGTCAATGGACGAATTGGAAAAAAAAAATTAATCCTCAACCGTCAAAGCTACCACCCCATTGAGACCCTCTTTACAGTGGGAAATTGTAGAATGGTCTGAATAGGCAAAAAATGAAATTATTCCCTGAGATCTTTAAACGCAAATAGCTTATTCATTACTTAGTAATATTACAATTCATCAGTAATACACGTTTTAGGATTGAAGATATGTTAGGTAGAGCAATGACCTATTTATGGATTTCAGTGCTGTCAGTTTTATAAACAGTGTGCAGAGAATTGGACTGTGTCTCAGTTAATAGTATAGTAGTTTTTTTCTGATACCTGGATATGATTTTCCTGCTTTATTGTTTACTCTCACCATGGCAATTCAAATCTTTACTCTTATACACTTTACTATTAGATTGCTAGACTATTGTGTGAGAAATATTTTGTTGTTATGTGTATTGACAAAGTCATATCAATTAGAACTTCTAAACTATCCTTCAATTAACCATCTCTAAATTGTTGTTAGTGCAAGATATTGAACATGCATAATGTTGTAAGGTAACTGTTTTAGCAGCATGGTTTGTTCTAATAATTGGCAATTATCTGAGTTATTACCCCACTGAGGTATTTGGGTACCATTGGGTACTACTTGTGCCAAAATTGATTACACTTAAAATGACATCAGGAGACAGAAATTCATTCTCCACTTAAGAGTTGAGTTACCTTACCGGAGTTTTTCTTAAGCAGTTTTATTCTCGAGTATTTCGTCCCATATACTAACCAAGTGGTATATGGCAAGATTGTATTGCTTCAAACATCACCTATTATTAGGCTCTTGCATGGACTTTGCAGCTGCACCTGTACCTTTCTGTGTTATGCATCAAGGAAAGAAGACTTGTTGGGGCACATATTAGCCAGAGCTAGTCGTGGGAAGACTCCTGATGTTGTTGTTTACACTTACCATTGTCACTGATTCAAGTCATCACGTGCTAGGGGCATGGGTTCTTCCAACGTGCAGCCTGTCTGAGGACCTTAAATGGCTTTAATAACTGTGCGTGTATACACTGCTACGCCTTGTTTTCTTTGTCTTGAGTTCAAGCAAAGACAGGGCAGTCACCTGGGCTGATTGAATACTAATAACTAATTGACTTGTTTCCTATCATTCTTGATAAAATTTTAATACAGTCGTTTGCTTTGTATGATGTTATGTAATAGTAAGGTCGGTCCACGGGTTTTAGTCAGATGAATCAATACAGCTACAACCTCTACACAGGACAGCTATTTGGTCGACTGGTATTGTAAGGAAAATTTCACTTACATGTATCATCTTCAGTTTGTACAGTTATCCTCTCTGTTTGTTCTGTGGTCTTATCGCTCAAAAGTTAAGATGATTTTATAAGGACATATGGGCCCTTTTTTCATTTAGTAGGTCATCCTTTAAGACGACACTAATCATACAGGTTTAATCGTTGATTTCATAAAGAGACACAAGGCGTTTGGGTTTTACCCCAAACAAGGTTTGATAGCAAATTTTGATTGGAAGGTTACAAGTTCAAATATCTTAGATTGCTAGAGTAGATTTAAAAGCGTAACACCACAAACTACCAGGGAAACGAAAAAATGATACATACACAGCAAAGATTTTCTTGAATCAAAATTGTGAATTGTAAATATTTTACTATCCACCTCCTTAGTTTTTTTTGTCAAGGTTAATTTGCAACACCAATCAGGGGAGCTTTACCAGACTGCTTGTGGCGAAGTTTCATTTTACGAAGTAATGTGTTATGAATTCCGCTTAATGTTAGTTTGAATTTGAAATTGACCACCATACCAGGGACTTCGTTCCCTACTCTTTACGAAACGCGTGTGGGTTCTTTAACGTCTCATACGATATCTTATATGTGCAAAAGTTGTGAGACAGGGCCAACTGTTTATCGCCCTTATCCTAGAAGACCAGAAAGTCTAACCGTTTGTAGGTGTCATTACGAAACCAGCCCTTTCTCCTCAGTTAGTCAAAGACCCTAAAGTGTTGGACCGGCCGAAGTTCTCCCTCGGCAAATCGGCGCTTATCCGATTGAGCTAATCGGGCGGTGGTAAGCACTATCAGCGCAAGAGATTCAACAAAAGCAACCTAGTTCGTTGACGGTAGACGCAAAGCCAGTGCTGGCGCCAGACCTTTAACATCCTTCTTCTTCCCTCTTCTTCTCGAGGACGAGAGATATCCAACTGTGATGCGTCATACCCAGAGGCACAGTGCACTATATCTTGATATGCATGATCCGGGCCAACAAGTTATGGCAGAAAATGGCTTGTAATACCCTGGCGAAATGCGGCCAATTGACCCACATAACGCCTTTTGTCAGATATGAAATTTAATTTTAGTACAGGATGATAAGCGCAACAAGCAACCACTCCTTATGGTCATCAAACTCTCTGTAGTGGAACAGAAACTACCCCTTGGAAGGAGATAGCTGTTGTCTGTCATTATGTCCCTACTATTAGCTCATTGCACATTTCCTTAGAAAACCAAGAAGGACATTGCTCATATCTAGCACAATGGAAAATTTACATCGCCTTTTTGACTATGGAGGATATCTGTTGGACAGTATGCAGGTGTGTACGTTAAAAGGAGTAACAATAAAATCACGGGTTAAATGGCTATGAACATCAGCGATCGGCAACTGTCTTACAAAATTGTCGGTTTAGAAGGTTGTTTGTAGATGATTTCGCTTCATCGACGCAAAGTTGGTTCTTTCTACCTCAGGACCTAGTCGATCGGTGTAACTATGTTTCCAAGGTCTCACCACAGCTTTCATATGAGAAGGAGTTGGCTAGTGCGGTTGGCCTGGCTTGGAAATATGCTGTGAGACTTAGCCATACATGAACACGAGCATACGCTTTTGAATGGACCTCTGGGTGCTCTATGGCGAAGCGAGAGCAACGATGACGAGACAACTAACTAAACAGCTAGAATGTTTATTAAGGGATGACTTACGTTCTCCTCAATGTAAGGCTTTTAACTGCCTCTTTGTTCAGTCCGTCTGCTCTTGCTTTGATGCAAACTAGTTCTCTTCTCTACTACTTCTCTTTATTTTTATATTTGCTACCTTATGATATATGGTTCTTTTCTTTTATGGTATTTGGAATTAACTGCTTTCTTATTATCTCGGAAGCTAAAAATATTGTGCGAAGCTTTGTCAGTGGTTCTGGTGCAGGTTAATAACTGATTTCAATTACCAAAGTAAAGTTAAGGAAAACTGAGAAGCACATTTTTTACGCAGCACTTTTTAAGTTACCTATTCCTTTGAAACTAAACTTTAGGATTGGAAACCTTGTTAATTGTAAACAAAGGACAACTTCCTATTCAAGAAACACAGAAGTTAGATTAACATATTAGAAAGAGGTATGCTACTCTTAATTAATGTAAAAACGGAAAGCTTAAATCAATGTAAAATGGACAGTGAACCCAAGGTTAATTGGTGATAGGTAAAAGTGGCCATTTAGATAAGTATTTTCGAGAAACGTCAAGTTTAGAGACGAGATATCCCACTCTTAAAATCCCAGTTTATTTACGGACACACGAAAGGAGAAATTCTTACCTCTCTCGTGATCATAAACCACAGAATTCGTAAAAAACATTACGATAGTATAGTTGGTATAGAAACCTGTGTTGTACCTTCTAAAAAGAGGTACACATTTTGAGATTCTGGGCGTGATGCAGGAAAAGACCACCTTTATTATTTACCGTTCTAAATGTAAATACTCATTAGTAAATTGATTATAGATACATTTTGTTTTTTTTTTCCGTCTTAGCAGTTAAACTTGGAAAAATCCACAACTCTAAAAGCTTTCTTGAAATAACGAGTACTGGTTTATGTCATTTATATTTCAAATTGGTTAGATTAGAATTGTCGACAATCGACAACTATCAATCTTGATAATTCACTTTTTATATTTTAAATGTTTTGTGCAGTGGGTTTCATGTTTACTCGTCCCATTATGGATACATTAAGCTGAATCACATTAAAGGACGATTTTTTGTTATAGATTATCAAAAAGATTTATGGCACTTTTATCAAATTGTCATATAATTTTGAAATTGGGGAGGTCAGTCCCGTGACAAGCTGCAGTTCTTCTTCTTCTTTTTAAACAAAGTGATAAACGCCATAATGAGGAAAAACCGGACCGCAACTCTTAAAGATATCTTCGTACTACTTATTTTTACTTTGGTTAACGCCACATTGTAGAGAACCCTGTTCCCCGAAGGATTTTAGATGTAATCTACACCGTAATTTTTAGGGAGTTATTATAACTCCAAAAATGGAGTAAACATTTTAGGTACAGGATAACCCCTTTTCTGGGGTTATTTTAACTCCTAATTTAACTCCGAATTTGGGCTCATTTGGAGTTCTTTTTACTCCCCGTCTGGAGTTAAGATAATTACGAAATGGGGTTACTTTTACTCCGCACGTGGGTTGTTTTTACTCTTTTTGGAGTTAATTAAACTCTGAAAGTGGAGTAAAAATTTTAGGTACAGGATAACTCCTTTTTTGGGGTTATTTTAACTCCTCAACATCTGAGGTCATTTTTACTCCTGAAAAAGAGTTCTTTAAACTTCCTTTTGGAGTTAAAATAACTCCCAAAAAATAACTCCACTGTTAGGAGTTGAATTAGCCCCACTAGAGGAGTTATTACAACTCCCTGAAAATTACTGTGTAGGGTTGAGGCAAGTTCAAAACTAAGATTTTTTTAAAAAAAAACCTTTAACCTAGGGCTTAACTGAAGCTTATAAAATATGGTTCAGCCTTTACTCCGAGAACCAGTCATGAAAACACAAAACGATTCTCTAAAACAATCTGTAGGAGGGGTAAATACAATCTAAAATTAACATTGTAACCATGGATTAGCGCAAAACCGTCTGAAAATCTGGTGACCTTTCGATACAAGAAATTTCGTTGATAACGCCATCACACGACTGACTGTGCACCTTCCTCATATAATCCAATGTGAATATCACACTCAGAAAAAGGAGTATACGCTGCAGCCATCTATGTAAGAGAGATTAAGCATCGCGTTTACGGCAAACGTGATTTTGTACTTGTTTTCCATTTACTTTTCGTTTACAATTCACTATAACTACGCGAAAATAGGTAGATTTACGCCAGTTCTATCCATAACAACTGTCTGAAGCCGTTTTTATCTGCTCGTTTCTCATTTTGCAAATTTTTCAACTTGAATCTGTTGCTTTAAACGTGATGCTTAATCTCTCAACTAAGGTCAGTTGAGAGGTATCAAACATGAACATCCGCTGCGACTCAGGTTCACTTAACCATCGAGGCCACGTATAATTTGAAGGCACTGATAATTTTCACTGGATCGCGGGCTCAAGGTTCACTTTCTTGTCAAGGGTATCACGTTTGATTGTTTTATGTCTCAGTGAAAGACAATTTTTCATCTCTACTTTTCAATGTACCGTAAAAAAATGGAAAAAAAAAATTCACGGTTTTTCGCAATCTGTGGTAACTCTGTCTCCATCCTCTACAGACAAAATTCAACAGTTTCCGTTTGTCCTACCAACAAAGCTACCTTAATTTATATTGAATTCTCCCACTTAGTACGATGTAATGGTGTGTTGAACAATTAATATATCTATGACTTTACTCTCCGATCCATGAGACTCTCCGTAGCTCAGTGGATAGATCCCCCCTTCCCCCGTAATCGGGAGGTCATAGGAGGGACTCAAAGATTTTTTCTTTTGCCCACGCTCGTGACCTGCTGTTTTTCACATCTTTCACAACGGCACAGTTTTTTTTTTCTTGAGAGACAATGTTTAGTTCTACTCGCTCATAAAGTTAGTGCAAAAAGCTAACTTTGCGCTGTTTGACTTCTGATGATTTCACAGAACCTTGCGAGACTTGCAGAGGGAAGTTCATTTTATGTTTTCTTGATGACGGCGATGGCATGGATCCATGTAAGTGTTTAGTTCACAAAGGTGGCTTTTCGACAGGCTATGAAACTTCAATAAGCTAATTCAAGTTAAATTGTAGAAGGAAAAGAGGTTCATATCAGAATTTCGGGCGTAAGTAAAATGGCGCTTAATTAAATAACCGTCATTGTATTTAGTGAGGACACTACTTAACATTTCCTGAAGTCAGAATCGACACGTGATACCCTGCAAAAGAAGTATCCTGCGGGTAAATAAATTGTAATAACCTCGAACCTCCTGCGGAAACGGAAAGTTCCAAAAATGACGGTGAAGATGACAGTGTGTGCCAGGGAAAGGAAGTTGTTCGAATTATCGGGAGGCTCGAGAAACCGAGGGTTCGAGATTTAGATGTGCTTTTCTTGGCGTCCTCAAGTACGTTGAAAGGATGGTGACGCTGTGGTGGATTCCCAGCCAGGGTTTTTACTTTCACGTTTTTAAAATTTTAAATGCGAGGTGTTTTCCTTCACTTTGCAGCGGAAGTTGGAAATGTGGTCCAGTTTGGGCGATCGGTTAAACGCAACGTGGATTCAAGAATGATTGGACAGTATGGCAACGGTCTCAAATCGTAAGTGTTGAATCAGTCACCCTATGCTTAGTTCCAAATCTGTTTTGCATGTCTTATATGAAAAGCGACCTTTTGTTAGTGATTCTCTCCCTCCTCTACTCACACATCGAAGTTAATCAGTAGGAACGCAGTGATAAACTTGCCTACGAGCAAGCTTTCCATTTCTGCACGTGCCGCTCACATGAGACTCCTTGCAATTCGCCTAAAGCTTCGCAGAGTTTTTCATACATAAAGTGCAAAATCGTCCATGGTTCAGCCGCTTATTGACAGTTGGTTTGCAAAATATAGTAACTTAATTTTTAATTCTTTGCTTCATAGTGGCACCATGCGGATAGGAAAAGACATGATCTTGTTTACAAAAAAGTAAGTACCATTTCATTTTTGCCTGGACTCCATTGCAGTGTTGTTGTTTTAAAAGTAAGTAGTGACCTTTTTCTTTTCTTACAGGGGAAACACCATGAGCTGTCTGTTTCTTTCAAGAACTTTCCATGAACGCGAGAAAATTGAAGAAGTAAGTGTTTAAAATGGTTCTGCGTCAGCGTTCGGAGCAATGTATTATGTAGCTGTTAGTTGAAAACAATAGATAACGTGCTCTTGTTATTTGCTCGATTCAAGGTTGTAGTACCCATGCCGTCCTGGGAAGTCTCTTCCAAGAAACCGCTGGCGAAATCCAAGCGTGAATTGGAAAAGGTAAGCAGCTTTACTCTTGAACACACACCTAGCGGTGTTAGTTTGGTACACTGAACCTTTCTCTTTTGGTTTAACAGACTTATCCTTTGCTTCTTTAACTAGCATCAAGTCGAAACCAATCTCATCTTAAAGTATTCGCCATTCAAGACGGAAACGCAGATGTTTGAACAGTTTAATAAAATTGTATCAAAAGGTGAGTAGAAAATGCAAAGTTAGCCAGACATGTTCTAATTAAGGCTGGTTTTCACTAGTGACGGAGTCGCAGTCGCAGTCTTAAGAGGTGTCGCAAGAGCGGTTTTGACGTTGTGAAAATCAAAAATCGGAGTCGTAAGCAGAGTCATAAGAGCGACAGAGTCGGAGTCGAAAGGATCAGTACGTTTCCATTTTCTTCCGACTCCGCTTACCACTCCGCTTACCACTCCGCCGTTTACGATCTAGTGAAAACCAGATTATCGGCGTCGGAAGCGGAAGGATAAACCAATCACAATGCACGTTCCCACGCTTTGTGATTGGTTTAGGATTTCCGGTTCTGCTTGCGACTTCGACAACTTAGTTTTCACTTGATCGTAAAGAACGGAGTCGGAAGCGGAATCAGAACGCTGCTTTCTCTAGATCGTTTAGTGCTACGCTTCTGATTACGACTCCGACTTTGTCGCTATTGAAAACCAGCCTTTAATCTTTTTCATTCTTTGCGATGACCCACTCAAAATCGGAATCTTGGTCATTACAGGAACACTTGTTGTTGTGTACAACCTGAAGCTCATGGATAACGGCGAGCCAGAGCTTGACGTGAGTATTGGCTTCATGAGCTGACTGTCAGTGTTGCTTTACTGTGCGCGCGTATTGTAGTCGGACTGTTTTACATAGTATGGAATTCTTTTGGCTTTTGTTTTGGATAATTAACGGTGAAAATAATTCATGGCTACTTATTAAGAATTTCTTCCGAAGGTGACGAACACATCCACGTCTTGCTGTGTCACATTCGTCCACAAGTTCTTCTTGTTTTCAGACCGAACTAGAAGTTTGATGCTATAGCGCCCTCCTCCCTTACTGTACTGCTCCTTGCAGGCCCAATAACGGCCAATTAATCCTGTTTTTCGTGTGTTCTTTCATCGTCTTACATACTAGTTCAAGTACACGCCATAAACTCATAGCGTCGATATCATTTCATACACAGATAGTGAGTGATCCTTATGACATCAAGATGGCGGACCCTTACGCTGGAGAGAATGTTGCGGATTATGACATGTAAGTGTTATCCACGTTCTGCTCTTTCCCTATTCATTGATGTTAACCGCTACAGTAAGCGCGGCGTTAAAGCAAAATCAGTCAGCCAGACTGTCTTTTTATGATATCACGGATACGTACCCCCACCTCTCTAAAATGTTCTGGTATTTTCATTTGTCGAAGCGTAGCAGTCGACGTCCATACTTCATACTAAGGGAACTTATTACGTTGTTTTATAGGATTATGCCTGAACGGAGTTCTTTTAGAGCCTATACTGCTATTTTGTACTTGGATCCACGGATGAAAATTTACATCCAGGTTGGTGGAGGCAATTACAGGTGTCCCTTTGCTTAGCCTTAATTAAATGATACTTTGTGTGATATGTGTCACCGTTTTGTTTTAGAAAAAGAAGGTGCAGACGAAGAAACTGACAGCTTGCCTTCACAAGACCAAGTAAGTGGTCTTTCAACACCCTTCTTTCGGATATTCGCAGAGCATTAGCTTAAGTGATAAACCACTGTTACCACAGATAATAGTCGAGACTAAAACTGACTTGGAGATGTTTGGTTGGGTAGAACACTCCCTCCATTGTTTTATAGCCTTTCAGTGAACAATAATTCGTTAACAAATTCAAAGCAAAAGTAATAGTTTCCTATTCCAGGAGAGATTTTAATGGTGTTCTTTCTCATGAATTATTTATGATAAAAACCATTTTCACATTTCAGAGATGAGAATCTAGAATAGCTATCATTTAAGAAATCAAGCTTTAAGTTTCTCTCCAAGGGCGAAATTTAGGAAACTTGGAAACTTCAACAACAAACTTTTGCCCAGAAACGTAAATGATCACTTATTCACAAGCAAACTTTAATGGTATTAATGGAAAGATGAAACTTAAAAGGTCCAACTTACGGTTAATTATGCTCATCTTTGTAGGTGTTATCATTTTACATCTAAACGATTCAAGACAAGATCAGAAAAGGAGGCCGAGAAGGCAGACCGAGAGGCAAAAATAGGTAAGTCATACTTAACAAGTATTTGTTAAATTTAAAGTCACCGGTGCCTTTGAAGTTTGTTCAACATTATTCAAAAGGAACGAACGAGTTTTTCGTAGGGCGCGATGGTAGTTTTCGATGCTTGTGAGTGATAACGGAGAGATTAAGCATCACGTTTACGTTAAACGGCAAACGCGAATTTGTACCACGTGACCAAGTTTCCCCTTTGCTTGTCGCCAACTGTTTATTATTTCTGCACATAAATTTGTAGTTTCAGGCAATTTTTTATCCATAAGAATCTTCTGAGCCGTTTTCATTTGCTCATTTTCTATTTTGAGAAATTCTCAATTTCAATCTGACGTTTGCCGTATACGTGAAGCTTAAACCCTCTAATGTGTTTAGACTTAAAAAAGCACAAAAGAAAGTATAGAATCAAACAAGGTTGAAATGAAAGCTATGTCTCTTTGCCGGTTCCCATCGAAACCCTTCCCCCACCCTCTTCGTCACACTTACTACTGAATTACCGTATCCCATTGGTTTTGATTCTTATTCAATTGCAGCCGAAGAGAAAGCAAGAGAGCTAGAAATACAGGCCAGGTATAAGAGTGATACTTCCTGAAATATTTTGTCAGTTGACTTGTGTTGCTTATGAAGACAACTGCCCAACCGCGTTCGCTTAATATACCAAGTTAAGTTTTTCAAAAATCTTCTTTTGGCAGGGAAATTCAAGAACAGGCAGAGCAGACGTCAAAAGATAAAAGGGTATATTATATTTTTTTTCTTGTTGAACGGCACTTCTGCACGTCGCCAGTTCAAAGTTTACAAAAAGTTGGTTCAGTGCAAACCTTCGGCAATTTTACGTTGCCCTCAAGTGGTTATTCTAATAGCATTGCGCTACCCAATATATTAAAACTGCCGATGTGTTAGAGTTACGCCAAATATCGCTGAGTGTTCTTACACTAAGCTATTGCCTTGTACGTACATTTGCAATTGTGTCATTCCTTTAATTAACCCGCTAGATTAACTGTAGACTTTCTAAAAGTCCCTTTTTCTTCCTGGTTGATTATGCCAACTTCGTCGCTCGCTCGGTCGCTGCGCGACCTCATGCATTGTAGCTCGCTTCGCTCACTTTTAAGAACCTATGCGAGGCCGACTTGTAGCTATATTAACTGTAATCTGCTTTGGACTCCCTTTATGTGGTATTTTGTTTTCGCCTCTTTCTTTTAACTGAAGTCTCTTTTTGGCTAGGTGGAGCTGAGGAAGGCACAAGCTCTTGCGTCAGAAGCCCGGGCAGATGCTAACTTGAAAACCAAAATTGCTGATGCTAAGAAGAAGTACGTACTATGCGCAATTTTCCTGGCAAGTTTGATGCGATTGTTTTCCCTTGTTAACTAACTGTATGCGAATGATTTTTCGTTTAGGTCAATGAAAGAACCCAAAACTCTCAGCTTCACGTTTGGAATGAATATTGACAACCGTAGGTGCTATGGAATGTTTATCTACAACTGCAGTCGGTAAGTTATCGTGAATATTCGTTTGTTTTGCCTAAATTGGTTATTTTCAACGAATTGCGTGTACCTATAAAAAAGTCTCAAGAGTGACGTCCTTTTCCGTGCAGTATTCTCCGGCATCCACGGTCACGAATTAGTTTACCGATAATTCCACCAACATTTACGGATGTCTTAACCCTTACGTTACAACTTGCGGTCAAGCATATGCTGTTCTAAGATGATGACGATGTTTAACTTGTTTTGACAGGCTTATACGGATGTACGAAAGAGTGGGGCCTCAACTTGAGGGTGGAGTGTAAGTCATGAAGACCAATTTTGTTTGCTTGGGAGATTTTCACTGTAGGCTCTGATGACCCCTTCAGTATGTTTGGTCGCCTAACCGAGGTTTTTGGAATTAAAGGGCAACTGCGGGTAATGCAGAGTCTCCGATTATCGTTTTCACTGAATTCTGAAAACAAATGCTTTAAATTCAGAAGACAATCGTGCAATTTTCGACCATCGAAGGTGTGTGAATACTGATGATTACTGCAGTACGATTGTATCATCGTGAATGACTCCAAAAAGAACTTAAGTTGGATGTCGGGGCGACAATTCAGAAATCATAACGAGTTGATACCACTGTTGAGTGGGAATGTAGACACTGATATCCAGTTTCCTTCTTTATGTATTATGTTTCCAAAGAAAGTAAATAAAAGATAAGGAAGAAAGCTCGACATACCGGCGTGACCAATGAAGCAACTGAACAACTGTCATATAACTCACGAAATTCGAGGCATATCCCCGGATAAAGCCCAATCGAAATGCTTGTGGGGTTACTTTTCACTAATCTACTTTTTCTCCGGGTACTCCGGTTTTCACCTCTCCTCAAAAACCAACATTTCCAAATTCCAATTCGACCAGGAATCAGGTGGAAGAACCACTACGTGGATGTGCTACCTGCAAATCATTATTTATTTATTTATTTTTATTTACTAATCATTGTTCGTAAACTTTCTTTTTGCAGGAAATGTTACGGAGTCATTGGTGAGTTTGTTTAGTGCTGTGCTCTTATGTGCCCAAAGTGAAATTTCTCCATAATTTCCTAATGTGTATTATTTTCTCTTTGTTTTATTTCTACTAGGCGTGGTAGACGTGCCCTACCTTGTACTAGAACCCACTCACAACAAGCAGGATTTTGCAGATGGAAAGGTATGAGAGCATTAAGCCAGCATCACGTATTTTCTTTTTTTCCTCGAAGGCCGGTATCGGTCCATACATGGTCATTTTGTCAAGACAGTTGAATTTTCACTAAGCGGCCACCCTCTGTTAGGCAGCAAGTAATCGAAACCAAAATAATTGTAGAAAAGAATTGTAAGTTACACCTCCTTTAAGCGACCACCTCTATCAAGCGGCCGCTCCAACGTTTGGCATCCCGACGATTGTTTTTCTATTTGGCCTTGTTTTAAAATTATGAAGAAGAAAAATACAGTCAAGAGATAGTTGACGACTGCCTATGGACCTGTAACGTTTCTATTCAGTTAGATCATGATATATTGTAGTATTGTTCGTGCAAAGTTGGGAGAACTTCACCACAGCATTGTGAGAAGAATTTGCCTGTTTGTTATAATACTCTAGTTTTGTTCAGTAGTAGACCTGTCACTTGTGCTTAAGTTGAAGAAGCCTCTACAGGTGTTTGTTTCTAAATAAAGTGAGGTTTGTGCTAAAAGATCGCACCTCCATTCAGCGGCCAACTTTATGTAGCATCAACACCAGATCAGCTATCATTTAACTGGTCGTTTTATTCTTTCTGCAGGAATTTAAGCATTTAACAAGAGCGTTAGGAGAACACCTTGAACAGTTTTGGAAAGACTCGCAAATTGAATGTAAGTAACCTTTTCTTGTTCACAAAAAGACTGAAATAAACGACTAGGAGTACTTAGTACTCAAATAGGGCGAATACCAGTCTACAACATAATGTTGCAAAAAATTAAACACGAGATTCCAGAGGCTCATAGCAATAAATACTTTAATTATTTTTATCATAAATTAGATGCTAGAGGTAGAGGTAGGATAGGTAGTTGTTAAACAGCTCGGCAAGTTTGGATGTGACCTTAGTTGCTCAATTTGAATATCAAGTTTTAGCCAATGCTTTAAGAATATGTTTCTCGTGTTCTTATGATTGTAACATGAAGATTTATTCTTTGTTTTAACAGCTCATGGAGTGACAAAGTTTTGGTAAGTTAAGTGTGGCATGGAATATTGTCGACAATAAAAAATCGGCCTTAATTAATACTTCCTTTCAACTCGTTCTTTTTCAGGGAGAATTTCGGTTATATAAGTAGCAGATGGACAGACGGCCCGTCCGTGGACCAGAAGTATGTGAGGAAGAGAGCGATGCAGATACCTGTAGATGTGCAGTGCGGTAAGTTAAAACATGTAACGCATAAGTTCCTCTTAATCACTACACAAAAGAGTTTTGGAATGTGTGCCGGGTTTTTATATCCAGTAGTAGAGCACTGCTGCTGGTGAATTTATTCAAGGTAACATGGATATAAAGAGTAAATTAAACGATATAGCGTTCGTTAGAGGACACGATCTAGAGAAAGTCTACAAATTGTCACGTGTTGGTTGAAATGTTTTAGTTAGAAAGTTGTAGTGTTCGTGGAGACGGGCACTAGTTTTTGAGTGAATGCAGGTCTTTAGTTCTACTTTCTCCCGGGAAACACACCCTGCTTTAGTTAGTGGAAGGCTGTGCCGCGTGTTGGACGCAACGAGGGCACTGACTATAGAACTTTAGCAGGGGAAGCTTTCCCACGAACTGAATGCCAATTATGAGGGAAAAATAGCTTTACTAAATGTACATTTTACGCCTACATATACCTCGATATATGACGACAGATGTCTGTTATTCTTCCAGACATTTGTCTTAAATGGCGGCGGTTACCATTCTCCCAAAGAAATGTCGGCCGCACATTACCTGATGAATGGTGTTGCGCAATGCATCCAGATACAAATTGCAACAGGTTTGTGCCCATTTTCATTCTTTTTACTTTCTTTTCTCCTCTGCTTCTTGTGCGTTTACTTTCTTCTTATTACGTTGAAATGAGAGTTGACATCCCCGCCGTCTTCCTCTGGGTGTGATGTACTCTTCACGGCAAAATGAAAAACAGTAGACTTAAACGGTTGAATAGCATGGAAGACAAAACTTAATCTACGATCACATTTTTGAACGGACAAAACTTGCACGGCTCCGCCTTTCGTATACATGGCACCCGTGGAACCATGCAAGTGTTTGAAGTGACGGCAAAGTGTGCATGTTTTTGTCCTGATTAGAAGTAGGTTCAGTGTAAACGGGTTGCACAGGTTAAAAAAATTCGTCCGTTAAAAAATTTGCGCGGACGCGTGTTAATGGGGTCTAACTACATACTCTGCTTACGTACCTTGATATCAGCTGCATTTTGAAACACAGCCAGCACGTCATCCTAATGTGTAACAAAGATTTTAGTGCTAATAGTTTTTTGTGCTGTTATGTTTCAGCTGTTCGCGGCCCGAACAGAAAGTCGCCATACCAGTTGGCGTGTTGCAGAAACAAGTAAAGTCAGCAGAAGAAAAGGAGAGAGAATTGGAGGAGAGTATCCGCAAGAATCAAGAAAAGATTCGTCAAATACAGGTATTGGATTGTTATTTCTTGCTTCGCCGGTCCTTGACTGTGCACTTACCGTCAAAGACGTCAATCGTTAAGTGTTTTCGCGGAGATTTGATGTTGCGAAAATAGAAGAGACAGTTTTCATGAGATTTGAATGTCTTGATTTGGCAAAAAAATATTGTTAGAAGGAACATATGTCGCGAAAATCTCCCTTGTGAGGAGAAAAAGGTTTTCTCGCCTTAAAATAATGGAAAAAAAAAACTTTCTTTTACAATAATATCTTCAGTGTCCTGTATGTGTTTCTTTTTGGCAGCGTCAAAGTACACCCCAAGCTGCAACGGAAAGTAATAGAATTCAACTGCAGGCAATTTCACACAAGAAGGTATGTTACGACCTGCTCAATAGGGAAAACAGAGAAATCTAACTACAGTTCGTGATCGACCAACTTGAAATAAAGCTCTTTTATTACCTCAAAGCTCGTTGCAGCTTTGCATATTTAGAGTTAGTAAGTAATTCGCCCTATTTTTCTCTTTGCACGGTTTCCTTTGTTCCTTTTAGCGGAGTATATTACATAACCCGTAATTATTATTCACTGTCTGTAAAGTTGGTGGAAGCTTTGTATCAGGGGATTGTGGGGCTGAAACACTAGCTGATAACAGTAACAAAACTATTCAGGATATATTTCCCCTGCTCATACTCCCCTCTACGGTGGCCCACAAATGTCACGGCAAAACCAAAAACCTCACGGCAAACACAAAATAGCTTTGGTTTTGCCGTGGGTATTTGCTTTTGCCGTGTGGTATTTGGTTTTTGCTGTGAAGTATTTGGGTTTGCGTGAGGTCTTTTGTTTTTGCCGTGAGGTTTTTGGTTTTGCCGTGCGGTTTTTGTTTTTGCCGTGAGGTTTTCGGTTTTGCCGTGAGGTATTTTGTTTTTGCTGTGAAGTATTTGGTTTTGCCGTGAGGTTTTTGGTTTTGTCGTGAGGTATTTTGTTTTTGCCGTTAGGTTTATGGTTTTGCCGTGAGGTATTTTGTTTTTGCCGCGAGATTTTTGGTTTTGCCGTGACAGTTGTGGGCCACCGTACCCCTCAACATGTTTAACCATCCCATTAAAACATTACAAGCCAGAATTTTGAATTTCGATTTAATGAACTTACCACATTTTCTTAGTCGGCAGTTGTCATTGCGCAATGTTTTTCGAACTAGAAATTCGCAAAACCGGCCCTATCACTTTTAAATAAATTTGACAGAACATCTCCAACGTCAACCTGCGAACATCCTGGTTTGCAATGTGACTCGCTGGACGACTGACATAAAAATCTGTGGCGGTGGAAGGTCCAAAAGAGTTTCCAAAACTGCTCTGCCTTAACGTTAAGAATACTTTTCCCTCTGAGTTACTCATCTCTTTCTGGTAAAAGTACTGTTTGATTACTTGAATACTTTTCCGTCTGAGTTACTGATCTCTTTCTGGTAAAACTACTGTTTGATAACTTCACATGAATTGGCCAATTTCTATATTTTGGAAATTCAACCTCAAACAATTCGCCCTCGGGGCCTTACCAGGGGAATATATCACATACCCCCGAGGGACAGGTAAACAACCCTTACATTTGCTAACGAGTAAAAAAACTGGTCACGAATAACGATATGCGACAATGAAGCTTCTTAGGATCGTTTGCAGGATGATAGTCCATAAACACGGCTCAGTACGACTGTTGTGTTCCACACCTGAGTGTTATTTTTGTCGGGAATGGTGTTTCAGAAGAGGTTAACTCACCTCACGGGTGGGTAACCTGTGACTCTTTGCGGAGGAAAAGAATGTTGCCAACCAATCAAGTGCAAACATGGATTTTTCAAATACCCTTAGGTGAAGCTTTGAAATGATACATGTCTGCAAAAATCCCCGAGGGGAGGGTTTCACTTTCTGGCCCACGGACTAAATCTTACTATTATAGAATTGCTAAAGGCCCTGATCTACCAGGTGCGTCACCTTCATTCAGAATAACCTTGACAGCGTTGAGAGCCTTTCTGTCGTTCCAAACGATCCTAAAGCCTTTGTGGTGATAGGTCGTACTACAATAGTTCCCGCTAAGTACATTAAAATAGTAAGAATTCCCAATATGCGAGACTTTTGTTAATAGAATATACTTACCGTTTACTCAGGTGGAAAGGACATCTTCAACTGAGAGTTCCAACTCCTGTAAGAGTGATTCCTCCGAGGTAGGTCGATGACATTACGCAAGAAGCTGTTAACAGGGCACGAGTTAAAATGTACCACTCATACTTGTTTCTTCATTACGTGCCATGTTGGGAATGGCATCCTCCCTTTACTCATGAAATACTTTTGTATTTCACAAACAGAAGCGACGGCCGCCAAGTAAAGCAGCCGTGGCGGAGAGTACAGATGAACAGAGAAGAAAGAAGTCGGTACAGGAGGTCAGTCCAACATCGGTATCATATTATTACTAAGGAGAAACTCGTGGAATCCAACTGTCTTTCTTTTGCACCACAACTATACTTACGGCTCAGGGGCCAGTTGAATAAAAAGCTTACGTCAGACGTCTGGTGTTTTAATAGAGTGTGACCGGCTCTTACGAGCGAAGCTGAGTTTTATTCAACTAGACCTTAAACAAAGAGATCAGATCAGTTTGCATTTATTTCTAATGCGTTTCTCAACTCATCCTTCAGTAATGTAACAGTGGAACCTTGATATAACGAACCTCTACATAACGAAGTCCTCGGTATAACGAACGATTGTCTTTACTCTAGTAATAGTAAAATATATGGAAAAGAACCTCGTTATAGCAAACAAAAATTTCCAGTCCCTTGACCCTTCATTTAATATATCGAGGTTTCACTAGCCGCCGGTACTGCCTGCGATACTACCCCGACAAATGAGGGCAAAGCACCGCCGGCAACAAGAAACATCGCAGGTCTTTACCGCCGGCATGCCTGCGAAGTTGAACTCGAGTCAACTTACTGACATGATCTCTGTTGCCGGCAACTTCTGTTCTCATATCGAAACGTAGCTATGTCGCAGGTAGCTCGGCGGCATATGAGAACCAGGTTTAAGGAAAGTGTCGCCCGTCCTCTCCATATTCAGTACGGGTTCTGAGAGAGCCGAAGATGTGTTAGGTCTCCCTTAAACAACCTAAGAGAAAGGTCTTCCTAGATAAAAGTACGGTCTCCTTCATTAAACATGAACGGAGAAAGGTCGTTGAATAGATAGAGGTCTTAATACTTTCCGACGGTCGCGAACCCTTAAAACAAACTTGCCTTTTGCCTTTGTCGTAGCCACTGAAAAGACGAAACGCAGAATCAAGCCGCGTTGAAGAGGTAAGAATGTTTCTTTTTCTTTCCTTCACCTGGTTGGTGGTTGTCAACAACTGTTTGATTGTTTTATAATGTCACTTATGTAATTCATTTTTCGTCTCTTAACAGGAAGTACAACCTAAAAGGAAAAAAAGTGAGGAGACAAACACAAAGGTAGGGGCGCTGTTGTCCCAAAAGTTAGATCGGTTTAAAGGGCTGTCGTTTATACTGAGATAAACAGCCAACCAGCTAATAATGGTATTTTCAATATTTGAAACGAACAGTTGACAACTTACTCGTGGCCCTTCATAACGGATTCATCTGTGATAGGTAACTTGACACAACATAGCAGCTACAATCCAATAAACCGTTCAAACAAGTATTCGTTCAGGTATAGGAAATTAGCAGTAGCATGCACTATGTCTTGCAAAAACGGTTTTCCGGGGCAAAACTCTCTACACAACCAGAACAAATAAGGCTAACAGGCAGTGTGGATAATAATCCTTGCACGTAAGCAACGGATAACAATGTATTCCGTTCGTTTACCCCAACTACTTCAGAAAAAGGTCATGTGCATGCAATCGATACCACACTTCACAAAAACACACACGACACTAACACCTGATTGTATAGGCTACACCTTTCACACTTATCATTTCAAAGGGATTATGCAGGATTGTTTTTCACATTGTGGAAACTACTTTTTAATGCGAGCAGAGTGCAGACAGGAAGGAAAACCACGTTAAAAGAAAACAGGAAACGCCACAGCGGGAAGAAAGGCAAGGATCTCCGAGACAAGAGAAAAAGGAAACTTCAAGGCAAGAGAGAAAAGAACCTGCAAAGCAAGAAAGAGAAACCATAACGCAAAAGAAACAGCAAACAACAAAGCGAGAAACTCCAAAACAACAAGAATCGAGAACAGAAATACCTGGACAACAAGAGCTGACAGAAATGGAACAGATACGACAAGAGCAGCTCATGGAATGGAGTAGCGAGGGCGAAAGTGAAGGAACATTACGTAAGTAGAGTTTAGGTTTGCTCTTTGTGTATTCTGTGTGTGAAAGAAGTAAGCAAGTAAAAGCTTTATTAGAGCGGTTTTCACTTGACTGTCGTAAAACCAAAACCAAAGTAAATACACTAGCCAACCAAAGGGCGTAGTAAAACCAAATCCAAAACCAAAACCAATCCCTTTCGACAGTCAAGTGAAAACCGCTCTAATGTGTCAATGTATTTAGTTTTCACAACTAATTGGGGACACAAAAATAAAAATTATTTACAAATAAGAAATAATAATAATAATGTATATACAATTAAAATATGTAGCATGTATAAATTGTATAATAAAACAATACGTATATAAAAGGTAGTCTCTAAGAACTGCAAAGGTTACAGCAGCTATTGTTGTTGTTTAAGAGTGACGTTAGGTCTTTTTTCCTAATGTTCTTTTTGAAAGACTCAATATTCGAGGAGCCTTTCAATTTAATATCCAGTTTCGACCATATATGAGGTCATTGATATCTAAGAGAATGCTTTCCATAGTTAATAGTGTTAAAAGTCGGAATATCAAAATCACTGTTTCTTAGTGAATAACTAGTGCTTTTCCGCTTAAATAGTTCGTTAACAATACTCGGTGCGAGGCCATATTTTACTTTGTACATTAATATAGCGATATCTTGTAGTCTTCTATTTAGTTGTGAAGGTAGCTCTGCACGAACCAGAAGGTTTTCGTATGATTCTGAATGGGAGTTAAATACTGCTCTAAGTGCGCGTTCTTGAATCCGCTCTATTTTTCTACTGTCAGAAGATCTACAGTTATGCCATACCAGATGGCAATATGTTAAGTGAGGCAGGATGGATGATTTGTAGATTATCAGTTTTGCTGATTATCTGTTTTGCTGATAACGTACTTATCTTCATTTTTTTTTCGATAGTATCCAATGGAACCAAAGTGGAAGCACGGGTAGAAGGTTCTGTTTGGTAAGTATTTTGTTACATTAAGTTAAGTGTTTGGTGCATTTTTGTAGTTCATCACGTTAGATCAAAATGTATCACGTCAAACTTTAATAGTTTTTGTTGCGATATGTAGGTACATTGGAACAGTGATTAGTGCTAAGCCAAAGAAAGGTTGCTTGTGCAGAGTTCGTATCAAGTTTGATATGTATCCTAAGGACAAGTTTGACAAATGGTAAGTTCAGACAACTATTCATCAATTTCGCATTTAAGTGAACTATCCCCTGAAAATCTGAACGTGAGAACAATGGAAAAACCAAAAGCACATCTTGGCAGAGTATTCTGTGATTTCATACACCATATTTAATACTGGTAGCTTCTACCGTATAATGGACTAAAACAATCTACAAGAAAGTATTTATCACCAGCTCAAGCGTTGGAAGTTGAAACCAGTACAAAATGTAAATTGAAACTTATTAGTATTTAAAGTATTTGTAGCAAAAAAAGGTGGCCCCAACTTATTGTATCACGCGGAAATTATCTCACGCCTTGCAACATTTTCCGCCTATTTCCTAAACGCGTTACCGCGAGAATTGTAGGTCCTATACACAGATCCTTAGGTGTAGTTAGGGGGGGTCACTTCCTGGATTTTATTCATGGTTCCAATTAAACAGCCGAAAGGATATCCAGTAATGGTTTGTGATAGTCATGTTTTATCTATAATCCTTATTTATTGTCTTTCGCATTTGTAGGTATGATCATCCGAGTGCTGATTTACGAGTTCTCAAGGTAGTGTAAATCTTTAAACCAGTGAAAACTTTAGTGTTGTGTGCAAAGTATAATGAACTATAGTTTCGAATAGTCTCATTTTGCGTTAGTGCTTAACCGAGCAACAAAACTCCTTAAGTTTGAAACGAAATTAAGTTGAAATTAGGTACCCTGATTAAAGTAAGCGGTGAAAAGTTGGAAACCATTCACCAGAAACTAATTGTCATAAATGACCCAGTTCACTGAATTAGAAGACCACCAGTGAGGTTTCTGTTTTCTTGCATCAGGCCGGTCGAAATGTCGCTTTCAATGTCAAGGTGACCATCGCGAAACAAAGAAATGATAAAAGAAGCTTTTATTTCAAGCCACGAAAATTGTTATCTGTCATTACAGAAAGGTATTTTTTCTTATTCAGCCTGTGGAGAGACCAGCTCGCAAGTCACCAAGCCCCTCCCGTGAAGTCCCTAGTACAACTACGTTTGAAACGCCAAACGAACAGCAGGAGCAGCGTGAACTTCACACGCCCACACCTGTGCAGTCCCCAGAGGACAACAGAGTCTCTTCCATGTCAGATGCTACGAACATTACTGTGGCGGAAGAAAATCCTGCGCTTCAAAAGTTTCCTGGAATGTTTAGGTTTGACACACACTGATCCTGATTATTATTATTTTTTCATTGAGATGAGGGTTTCTTGAAAAAAAAAAAACAACAACAACAACAACAAAAACATAGAGAGATGGTGATTGGACTCAGAAAAAATCATCAATATTTAGTTCACGAGGAGCTTGGTTATCGTTGGTTGGGTGGCTTTGTGAATTAGTTTCGGATTTTGATTATTTCATGATTTCTATGCTTCTCCCGTATTGTGTAGTACTAATACGCATTCTCATTTTTCTTGTAGACGGTGCATGTTGTTCTTTGCTCCTCCAGAATTCAAAATAACAAAGGAAAACATTAAGAAGATGAGCAATGAAGAACTGAGCGAATTTCCACTGGTATGAAGAAACAGCGTACTGCTCTTTCGTTAATTGTTAGACCACTATAGTGGAACCTCGATGTAACTAACCTCTGTATAATGAGGCCTCCTGTATAGCTAATGAAATTGTTCAATTAGTAATAGTGAAATATATACGCAACTAAAGAACCTCAATATAACGAAACCTCGTCATAGCGAACATACTTTGCCAGTCCCTTGCCCCTTCGTTATATGGAGGTTCCATTGTGCTTAAGAATATGCAATTTGATTACCTAATAGTGGTAGTATTTCAGCTTAGGCAACGATAATACCTGCGTGAATAGAGAATAGAAACGACAGTCAGCAAAGTTCGATGAAATGTGAATTCACTTCCTTGACACGATTCAACATCCTCTGACATATTACGAGCAAACTACACACTTTCATGTCATTGTCTACCTTTTAACATGTTTATATCGTTTTGCAGGAAGAGTTCTGTGATTGTTACGAAAAAGGTATCGCCCAGGTAAGAATACCGTCACTTCAGTGACCAAATGTTCAATAATCCCGTGTTTGTAGTGGTACCAAGGTTATGTCAGGTGAACGGATGTTATTTGCTGGGCAAGTAACAGAATTCAATATATGTACATGACTTAAAAAGGGCCATCAGAGTTTGAAAGCTGCATGTTTTTCAGGAGCTAAAAGATTACAATGTTCCGTCGAGTGAAAATAAATAACGCTTTTCACGGGTCAGAAAATCGAATCAATCCTAATATGGGACATAGGAGATTTAACAATAACTCTGAGGCTTAGTACGGCTGCAACAGATTAGTCTTGGGTACATAATTTCCTTCTCCCTCGTCAGCAAAAGTTGTTAAATGACCTTGCCAGAACAAGGTTGTTAAAATGTCCTGGTGGCTAACGTTAAGTTGTTCTCTTGTTTGACGATAAGCAAGTCTTGACAATTTTGTCCCAAATTAAACACTTTTCAGTTGATTCAAGGCTACAAATCACAGATGGAGGAAGCCGTCAAAAATGCCGAAGCTGCTGAGGAACGAATAAGGAATGCGCTCCGAGAAAAAGAAAGAGCAACAACCCAATTGTTAAGTCTTAGAAGGAATGCAGCTAAACTATTTCGTTCTGTTCAAGAGGTTTGTACTTGTCTTTTTTTTTGCACTAGTGTTAAACTTTGGTTGTTTACCATTTACGTGGGCAAACCGGTTAGTCCACTGTTTAGGCAAATGGTACGCAAAATTCAGGACTGGTAAATTGCGTCCCGGAATCGCGTTTACCATTTGTACAAATCAATTCCATTTACCAAAAAACGACCGCGAAGGTCTGAATCTGGTAACATATGCCTTAAAAGAAATGGAACAGGAATTTACTTTTGGAATATTCCGTCCGGAAAAACAGGACAACCTTTTCAGAAATTCCGTTGCTCTCGGAAAGTTTCTACCGAAACGACCCAAAACGATTTTCCGGAAACTTTTTCTAAAAGGTAAACAACCTTTATTACCATTTAGAGTTGTTGGATTGTTTATTACCATCTTTTTGTTCACTATCCTCTTAGGATCCAAGCGAGTTTAGATTAAGCGAGGGCGACGTCTCGGACAGGGTGGACGAAATGGTGGAACAAATGGCTCAGGTGGCTCAGTTATAGCTGGCTAGTGACGTTTCTTTTTAAATCCATTGGATAACTTATGTCCCATTCGTCTTTTTAATTTTTTCGAGCCTTTTTTTTTATACCAGCGAACCGCAAATAGTCTTCTACTCCACGGACACGACTTTTGTACAATGGCATCCATGTCAAGTTCTTTTGTAAAAAAAATATAACAACACGCTGGGCGTGTAGTAAATCAGCATTTAGATAATGCTTTTCTACTTATCAGAGCTATTTATGACTTGTAATGCATTTACTGTAAATTGCCTTTGTATGCAAGGCGTTGTTGTTTTTCGTTATCTTGTTTTTGTTCTGTTTGTTTCTTTTTTTACAAAAATAATACGCCTATCCAGAAGGTAAAAGCAAGGCTTACAAATGGCTTTGATGTTTGAGATTATTACTTAAAGGACCTCAAAGGAAAGGCCATTTTTACGGACAGTAAAAGGGTTCCCAAATTCCATGCAGTCACATTCGTAACATGGACAAGGTTGTGATGTGGACACATACATTTCAATGGCTTCATGTACAAAACAAGGATAGGGTGTCGTAGTAAATGACGAAGTAACGAACTTTATACTAGTTAAGAGTTAAGGAAAATTCATGCGACATCAAGTTGTTGTTAGAGAATATTTATCTTAGTAAAGCAAGACAGACGATTGGGTGTGAGATAACGATTTTATTTCCCTAAAATTGTAAAAATGTTCTTTCTTTGAAGAAAATATCCTTGATTTAAAAGCTGAATCTTCTTTATCCTCTAATTTTCAACTTTCAAGGAAAAGTTAATTCATCTCATGCAATTGAGATTGTGACGAAATAAAATATTACTATTTCATTAGAATTTAAATATACGTAACATAAGATAATAATAGTTTCTCTCCAAATACCTTTACCTAGTAAAAACATACCAAACGATCTTTACACTTGTCTTCTTCTTGTTCCTTTAATTCTACTGCGAGGCTGGATTTGTATCCAGTGATTTCTGACGAACATCAACCAATTGTTACTTTAGCATGGTAGACACAGCATTGCATTCAACCGACGAAGCTGTAGTTACGGTAACTTAAGTAGCTAACCCACTGTCATGACTTTTTATGGATGTCACGAGATGTCCGTCAGTGGATCTTCGCGGCAGTTGACAGCGTATAACAGTTTTTCTGTCATTATTTCTTGCGTGGAGTATTGTGGAAGCTTCACCATGAACATACAAGTTTCCACGCGGATGTAGCGCGCGTCAGAAGGACCTGAAATTTCAAATTTTCCTGTTGTCACTTTGCTGTAATATTGTGCAACACTTAGTGCGCAAGTCAAGAAGCCAAGCAAAAACGAGATGATGCCCTTCGGTTACAAGCATTTTGTCCTGTTTTCTGTACTTTAAAGTACTCTGTAATGATCGATAATGGTTAGAGAGAGGCAAAGGAAGATTGTTCTTGAGGATCAAGGTGGTAGGAAGGCTGCAAACGTTTCTCTCAAACCACCGCTCTGTCGCGCCGAACAGAATCATCATTCTTCTACTACGCATTGCGCACGCTTTAAAAAAACGCAAAGTAAGCAAGACGCGTATTTGGGAGATCTCACAGCTTCTCTAAATAATATGCATCAATTGTTGCAAAATTGGACAGCGGGTATAAAGACGTTCTCCATCCGCTTGGATTGCCCGAATTTTTATTACACTTGACAACAAGGTGTGCCAATGTCGTGTTATTAGTTACCTCTTCCGTCTGGCGGTCCAATCTTCATCGGGTAAGGTGGCACGTGAACATCAACTGTGTTTGGATTACCATCTTGACACGTGCAACGGCTTGGTAAACGCTCCTGGTTGCATGCAAACTTCACAAACTTCCTAAGCTGATCCTGAAAACCAAAGAACAACTTGTCAAAATGATACTTTTTTCAGGACACTGAAATGGTTCTACTTGGTTTGTGCCTCGGTGTGCGGACGCGCTACGCAGGGGACTTCAACGTAAGGTGGCTCGACGCGACAGTATTACAGCTAGAACTGGTTACCTGTCGCGAAAACAGTCAAAAAAGGATGTATACATCTCTCTTTGAGAAATAAGATCTTGAGTCAAAATATAGTGACTGTTTTTAAAAAATCAACTGTACCGGTCTTTACAAGCTTTATTTTTGTCTTCAGCCGAATGTGCCGTGTAACTAAGACAACAAGGACTGTCCATACCTGAGAAAAGTTTTCCATAGAATTCCAGAAGAACTCGATGTGTGTGTCTGTATCTTTAACCCCAGCAACGTACGCAGTATGGGCCTGATTTAAAGATAAGAGAAAGTAATACCAGTGGTTTTCATTTGCGGAGGATACTTAAATGAGTCTGTTCTTACAACGAGGGATCTGTCGGCGCCACGAGACAGCAGTTCTGAATGCACATAAGGGGTAGAAGGACTACAAGGAATCAATAGGGTGGACGGCAGCTACTCTCCCGGAACTGGAATTAAAAAGGCCTGTAAGTCAAGTAATTCCTGTAACGTTTCTGCAAGTAAATTCATTATCCTCGAAGTTATCATGAGGGGTAAAAGTGACGAACCTTGAGGAATCCCAGGTCGACAGATGGCAAACCACAGGTGCGAATTTCCATATCCAGCGGTGTCATGACCATGAGCACGTGCAGTGGAACCACTGACGATAAACCACAGCGCACGGCAGCCATCCTGGACTCACACCGGAGCTCCCTTAATCGTAGCTCCCTGATGGCCTCCACATACGACTTGTGATTCTCCCATCTAACAAAAAGACACGAGTTACGAGACATAACAGAAACCTACAGAACATGTTAAGGATTGAGAACTCGTCAAAACTGCACGAACCCAAGTTGCCAGCCTTCAAAAGAAAAACACAACTCTGGTAGCTTACAGACGAGTGGAGTATAATTCAACAGGAGTAAATACTCACGTCACGGGTATATTAGCCCCATTATCGCAAAGCTCTATCTCCTCGCCGTCAATAGAGGTGTAAACAAATCTGTACGGACACAGATCTGCTTCAAAGCATATCGTCTGAAACTCCTCTACGCTTTCCACCTATAACGAAAAGTGTAACTACCTTAATGGTACTCGTCCTCCACAAGCGTACAGCCAGTATACAATTGGTCACTGGAATTATCAGTGGGAAGGAACTATTGGTGCATTGGCAATACCGTATAGAGCGGAAGTCTTCTACTTTCTGGGATTTCGTTTTTACAGAACTAAGCACATATCTGGAATACAGTAAAAACAAACAACCAAACAACACCGGCATTCGTAATGTCAATTTGTATGAAACTTTCATCCAATTCAAATTCTACGAAATGCGCCGGACACGGCGCTGTGAGCAAAGTAGAAGTGATACCTCGGAGAAGCGTCGTATGTAGTTGTAGGTGAGAATATCACATTCTCTAAGGTCATCTTGCAAGTCTATCGGCAGGTTCAAGAGGCTTTTCCAGAAGGAAGGCAACAAATCCAAGGCGAGGGGAATGTCAGACCTCAAGGCAATTCCCAACAGCTGTTGAAGACGAAGAAAATAGACACTGAGTACTGAAACAAGAGGAGCCTGCTAAATTCGATGCAACGTTTCATAAGCCGGAGGAAAATAAGGACTGGCGGTAAATAACATGCGACTAGGAAAATATATTAACACATTTTTTGACCGCAACAACCTTTTATCCTACAACAATTGCATACGCTCTGTAATTTAAAGTCTGTTATGGGAGATGTAAGTACGTAAGGTAAAAAGAAGGCTTTTACCTGTCCAAAGAATATCAGCAGCTTCTCCTCCGAATAACTCATGGGCCCTGGCTTCATTATAAATTTTCCCTGTATTACAAATCAAACAGCAACGACTAAGTATTAAAGCTGACAGCATTTTCAACGCAAGCTAACAATGCTTCTCTTTATAATGACAGAAGCCTCGTCCCCAATACAGTGAATATCTGCTTTTGCAGTTAGGCGCCTAAACCGCTGCGCTTTGAAGTCAAAGGACTTTCCTAACGCATCAAGCAGTATTACGGGTCTTTAAAGCCAAAATTCTGGTGGCTGACACATTGCGAACCTAAGCGCTCTACACGTCTTACAGGCACCAGAACCAATAATTCCAACAACAGGAATCATTGTTCGTCAAAGTTTACCAGCATTAGAATGGTCACATACGTAAATATATCACATAACCTGCCGAAATTAATCTAGGGGATTAGTAACCAGTAAGGGTCCACGCAAAACGTACCTTATTCTTGTTCGCAGCAGAGCTAGGGCATGGAACTAGTAATCCAACATGGCTACCTTGGAGTTCACGAGCCATAAGCCACATGAAGTGCCGAAACGACCCCCCTAAAGGGAAAGAAATAAGTCGCCCAAATAAGGCAGTGACAGCCTTACTCCTTCATTCATACAGATGTTTTATATTTAAGAGCAGTAAATTATGTAAACGTAGCAACTTCAATTAACCTCATTTCTTCCTGCGGTGCAATGTCATTTTGAATGGAATGTTCATAAATGGACAGGAGGGTTTGATCTATCTTGACAAAACACGAACAGCAAGTTTACCTTAGAGGATTTCAAAAGGAGATCTGCTCATTCTCGCGACGACGATAAAATTCAACCCTGTTGACACTCCTTTAAGTCCCTATTTTCCTCATGAATTATTCATGAGTTTCTGCTCTTGTAGGTCAAGCATTCCAGTTGGGTGCAGTTTAGGTGCATGTTTTCTAAACTGCAATTTAATGATGAATCAAACTGTATTTGAAAAGACCTCTCAAACTGTAGTAGATTTTTTGCCTCTCTGAGGGCAAACAATTTGAAGTTAAGATTACCTGATCCCAGAACCTGCTCTCCTTGAAGATGAATCCTCAGCGGAAAGACTGGATCCCCGCCCGTGGCTACCTTGACTCTGAGTCCGCTTGATGAGAGAGTAGCGATATGACGAGCCGCCTGGCAGAACTGAGGCCCAGCTGATGAGACTTTGTCCGCTGAAACCAAATACAGTCGAAGTTCACGTAAGCGATCGACCAAAATGTCAGATTTGATGGTCGCTTATCAGACGTTCGACTGTGTACATAACAAATGCGTAGGGAAAAAAAGTTTTCTTCGAATACTCAAATCGACGTTTTGAAGACTAAAAGTGATAGACCGTCAACGACAGGACCAGTGTTTCCTGGGAAACCCCTATTGTTTATAGAAGCACATTGCAAGTACACTAATTTAGAGACTTTTCCACGGTTTGGTTGGATAGCTTGTGAGAATAAAATTTTTTTGAGAGGATTTTCTTGATGCTATATTTCTACCTTCTTTCCCTTTTCGAAAATCTAAACGACTATGGAGTTACCTTCTAATGCTTCCAATGGATCCAAAGAAATTTCAGGCGGCGAGTCCTCAGCTCGACGGTGAGCAGTGTGGTTGAGCACGTGATTCAATAGCGCTACCTTGGTGTGATAGAAAAGGAGCCCGCGAGCCTCCCTTAGTAGAGTAGCAGTACTTAGACTGTACGAGTCAGCGGCTCGAAAGTCAGTCACTGGTAACAGCAAGCGCTCAACATCTGAGTTTAAAGCTTTGAGAAAAGCAAACCGACTCCTGACGCTGCGGAGCGATAGTCCTGGGAAAACAATACAAAAAACTGTAGCTGTAAGAAAACTACAGTAGAACCTTTCGAACTCCACGCTAACTCGAGTTCCATTTCCCTTGGATTTAACCCCACCTGTCAGTCATTTTGATTCGCTTAACTTAAACTCGGATAACTCGAATTTCCCGCTAACTCGAACTAAATTTCCTTTCCCTTGATCAAAATTTCACTGAAATCTACCCCAGTAACTCGAATTCTGGTTCTTGTAACTCCACTCGGATGCAATCAAATTAGCTGCTCTTGTTGAATAATCCGTAAAAACACTCTGAACAAACACTGCAGCAATATGATTTTCATTGGTGTAACGAACAGATGACATTTTACCATAAAAATGCATAATCGTGCTATCGTTAAGAAATAGATTAAATTTGCACTGTACCATACACTGAAGTGCTGAAAACTTGGAAACTATCAAGTATTAACATGGCAAAGTGGATATTCCATCGATCTTGATAACTCGAACTGCTTTTCGTTTCCAGTTCCGCAGAGTTCGAGATAACGGGGTTCTACTGTATGGTTAGTGGTTTGCGCAGGTATCGGATTCCAGATATAAGGATTGGAATGTTGATTGTTGGTTTCGTGTAGTACTTCAAGGGGCTATGTCACGTTATTTGCTGTCTTTTAAAAAAGCTCAAACTTTTTTTCGCATCCAGAAACAATGGTCCAGTTTTGTAATTTTTAGGCAATGAAACTGATTCCTGTCGTCTTTTGCAACGGGGAACGGATGTCAAGGATGGACATGGATTGAAAGCTAAATAGTTACGACAACTTTTACAAGTTGTAATACTATGCCTGCAAAAATCACCAGAAATATATCATGGTCATTGCTTCCTGATGAAACTTGTTTGATATCTTCTTCATAACTCTACAGGAGCATTTTAAGTACGGGAAAAAGCACAAAGTAATGTCTCACGACTTCAAGAAAAAAACAATTCACCTAAAACAGCAATATCCTGGTGGCATAGCTACTTTAAGACAAGAAAAAATATCTTATCACTCAAGTATTTTGAAGGGTATTAGCCACACAATGCTGTCGTTAAACATGCCACGGAGAAGAGTTCCATTTAGGTGGAGTAACTAACGCGACAAAAATCGACAGCATATTAAGATCCTAGGAGATTGAAGCTGCCCTTTGTGTGTACAAACAAAAAACTGGCGCATTTATTTATGTATTTTTCTTGAAGGCTTACGCGCGTTCTCTAGAATTCCTTTACGGAGAGTAGCCGAAGTCAAAGAGCTCGAAACGATCAGGAAAAACAAACCCTACATGTCAACTTAGTAAACTTGCCTTGCAGCACATGGAAGTCGTCGCTGGCAAGAACTTCGTCTGAGAGAATAAGCTCATCAGGCATTAGACGGCACGGTGTTGTGGACCAAGTACGGCACAGAGTATCCACGTACCGCACAAGGGCGTGGTCTCGAGCCACAGTCCAGGAAGCATGGTCTGACTTCATCTCGGAAGGCAGAAAATGTGTGCATCTGTAACAGATGAAGTTTGTTTGAATCGCATCGTTTAAGGCCGATAACGCTCATTTAAACACTGACTCGCTGTGTCACAGTAGGCCAATTTCGATATATTAAAATACACACTTGGCCGCAAGGCTTGGGGGAATAAATCAGAAGAGATCACGTAAGGCTTAGGCGTAAGGCAATGAATAATACATTTCTTTTGTTTTATTCCCCAAGCCTCGTAGTCAAGAGTGAATTTTAATACATCGAAATTGGTCTATTCATAAACACCATGACTAAATGCGCCTCGGGCACAAGTGACCTATACAGTGAATTGAAGGGACTGTGGTCTTTTACAATTGTAATTTACAAGTGTAGCTGTTGCTTTCAGACTCTAAAACAATAGCTACACTTGTGAATTACACCTGTAAAAGTTCTATTAAATTAACCCCTGGCCTCAATTGGTCAAAAGGTGGATATCACTATTCACTGGATAAATCACTGTTTCCCTAACACTTATCTGCTGGATAGTGTTTTATTCGATGGATAGCTCTGTCCAACGTTTGAAAAACCGGATCCTAAGGGACCATAAGACCACTGGATAGCCTGACACAGTAACGTTATTTTGCAATCATCCAGGAGGCTCTGTCCATCTTTTTTGCGAAAGGCGTTGGAATGATCGAATTATGGTTGGAAAAAGAAATTCAGTTTACTGTTGACTTATTAACTCCTGTCGCCATCGTGATTGCTTCCTATAGCTAGAAACAGTATAGCTTAAGCTCCGCTATTACGTTTTCCAATGTAGACCAGCGTTAAAAAAAATCACCTCTTGTGCTTCGCAGCACCACATACTTAACTAGCTTAAAATAACTGAGACACTAGGCTTGCTTAAAGTAAAACGAAGTGGCTCCCCATTGGTAACAAACTTAACTTATATTTTTTGTTCCAAGGAACATGTTTTTCCACTTTCATCCTTACAGAAGAACAGACTAACGAGTACTTACCTGTTAAACTCCAGGTCGTATCCACAAGCTATAATACCCTTCCAAATGGCGCGGACATCCTGGCTGCCTCTGGCCAGCAACCAGTTTATAAACCCTTCCAGCTTCAGCACTCTCTCCTCACTTTCCTCCACTGGGCTTCCGTGATCCCTTAAAAGTTGCGTGACAATTTCCGTTGTCGCTTCCTTTGCGTGACGCACAGCGTTGAGAAATGACATGAGGAGGTTTCCGGGCCCCAAACTACAGATTTGGTCTTTTGTCAGTGGTGTCTCTGATAGTGAAATAGCAGCGGTTTGTTTTGAACTCGTTTCACTTCCTTCATCGTTGGTCATCTCAAACTCCACGCTTGAAACCTCGTTAGTTTGTGAAAGTGCAGAAGCCTGGACCCGAGGTTGAGTTTGCTCCATCGTCTTATCACTGCCATCAGAACCAAAATTCACAGCGCTATTTGAGTGAACTGCTTCGGAACTGTTTAATTTACTTTCTTCGACATCAACTTGCGCGCAACTGGCGAAAATTTCTGCAACTGCTCCTTTTGCTGATTCAGTGAATGTTGTCTTTTCTGATTCAGTGGTGAACATTTTCGCATTTAAAAATTCATCAAACACAGCAAAAGCAGCAAGTTCGTTAGTCCCCTCCATGAGAAGTTCGACATTGACCTTAGCAACACCGACGGGTTCAACAGTCGATGGATCCTTTAGAGTCTTATTAGATGCAATAGCCTGACGAGCTAGGTCCAGTTGACTGGCACTCTTCAATTGTACCACAGCATACCCAAGAATCCTCTCGGGTTTATCCTGCTGAGCACTTGGTAGCAGTTCAGTCATTGATCTAACCCTCGCATCCAATCCACCGCTGTTCACATCAGGGCGCGGCTTCTCAGCACTGACACGTGACTGGAGTTCGGGAATATAAACCTTGTTATCATAAATCCCGCCACTAGGCCTACAAGCTTTCTTTATTGCATCCACAGCTTCCTTCTTGGTGAGAGTCGGTGCAATGTTGGTGATGACTAAAAGCCTCTGCAAAGCATTACTCTTAGTGGAAATTACCGCTGCTAAGCTATCAGCGAACAGCGGTGATGCTCGCGGATCCCCATGAATTAGATTTCTTAACAGCAGGGTGGTGCTAACGATTTTATCAAACCATGGCATACTTTCGGTAGGAGAGGTAACACCGTGTACATAAGCTCGCTTCCTGCGTAGCACGCTCCCTCGCCGTACTCGTGCGAAACATTTGGGCGAGGGAGAACCCGACGACGAAGCTGTCTCCGTAGCGGAAGAAGAAGTAACTGCTTCCGGATCAAAGTTAAACGTGTTTTCAACGCTATGTGGAGGTGCAGATCTCACTTCACTGTCAGTTGAATCAGACGCCACAGCCTAGAAATTAGGAGGAACTAATATTAGCAGCAAACTACCGAGGCCAAAAAAGTTTAATGGATTCGAAACAGTATACAAACTGGCTTTGACCCCCCACCCCCACCCCCCAAGAGTGACCAGCATCTAATTCCTCCTTGAATCAAACACAAAGGATCACCAAGTAAATAAAGTCTCAATTGTTAGAAAATTCTCCTTATCGGGATCCATAGAAAATTTCTGGAGACGAGTGTGGAGAATACGCACGTTGACCGGTTAGAGCAATAAATATTAACGACATCTCTGGACTCAATTTCGGCCAAACTATTTGCGTAACACTGTGTAATGACACTCTTTGAGCGTTTATTCTGAATATTTTGAACAATTAACTTGAAAATGGAGTTAGGACAACATTGACACGTCGTTCGATTTCATCTTTGAGGTTTTTTCTTGCTTAGGTACTGCAAAAGCTTTGCTTATGGGGATATGTAAAGGGTTAAGTTACCTGTAAGGCCTCTTGGATTGCTTTCATTGATAATCTTCTTAAGGATTTCCCTCGACTAGGAGAAACTTCATGGACGGCTGAAACAAGCCCTAGAAGGGCCTGCAAGTACGACGAAAATTCACTGTGCTCAAAATTACAATTAAGAATGAAATCCAGTGCTGCGGTATTCGTGACCGACAGCTCTTTTTCTAAGAGCTTCCGCAGCTCAAGGCGTAGGGGTGACAACCGCGATAGGAACGTATCAAATGTAGCCCAGTTATCGGGAAACGGCAGTTGAGTAGCCTCCGCCTTCACATGATGGCAAGCTCGTATCAGCTGGGCCAGAAGGTGGTAGATAATCTCCTTGACGACCGCGGGTAAGTTTGATCTCAGAAGATACGAGCTGACAATATCTGTCAAGTTAAAGGCAACTGTCGTGAGAGTCAAACATCTTCGTTTGCTCTGGACATTTTCCGGGTTGTTATTGAAGCTACTCTCGGAATTGCTTGAACACTCTGCGGCGTTTTCCAAGTACACTTGAACGAAAACTTCAATGAAGACGAGCGAGAGGAAGAACTTTGCAGAAAATCCGTCCAAGTGCACCACAAGCCCTTCGGTGGCAGCGGTAGAGAACTGCAAAAGCAGCCGATTACAAGGTAGCATCAAGTCAGGGTACAGACTTGCTTTGTTTGACGAGTAGGAATCAGAGTTAGGGTACTGAACTACTTTATACCGTGCTTCCTGGCCATTTTGGTTTAGTTTCTGGCTTCCATGGTAACAAGAAATCGTCACACGAGGGTTAGATACGCCCCTAAAAATATAAAATGTGATAAAAATAATAGGAACGGAAAATAACACGCGAACACTGGGAGACTTAGTTTGGCTTTATTTCAAAACTGATATGACGGAGGATTAAAGAGAACATGGTGACAGGAAAAACAAAACTGAATTAGTTGAATGAAAAGCTTTCCGCGTTGCCTTGAGATTGGTGTTGGAAGACATCGTAAATTGTCCAGTAACTAGCTTCGATGCTTCTTTGTTATTTCTTTCAACATCCCGAAGATGTTAGAAGCGTGTGTCAAATCGTCTGTTGCTTAACACAGTTTTACCGGTACGCTAGGAGCACGGGCATTTTTTTTATGTCAACGTGACTTTTTAGCATTTTACAAAATGAATTCTCTTATCCACTCATCAACAAAAATAATATATATGATAAAAGAAGATCATTGTTAACAGATACTCACCCAGAGTTAATACATCCGGGATCTTCCCTGCAGGAGACGACAGTAACAGCAACCCCTGGGATATGCACCTCTTCGTCCGGGTTTCCCGCCTTGACTGATACTTCCCGGTGGTATGCCTCCAGAGAAGTTTCTTTCAACACTTCGCACATTGTATTCACTATCCTCAGTACTTCCTCTTCATTCTGTTCAACCGTTACGGACAAAAGGTCACGAACCGCAGAAACTAGACTTGTTGGTTCTCGGAAAAACAGTACACTGGGCTGCAAGGTGTTGGCCGTGAGGCAGCGTCGGGGGTCTGGAGCCGAGTGGGGTGATGACATGACGATGGTACCATCCACCTGTGGTTCAGCCAATAGCTGAGTTGCAAGGGTTTGCAAGAGGGACAGAATGTCTGCGATTAAACAGTATTAAGAGAATTTAGCCAATTGCCAAATAACAGAAAAAAGGTTGCCCTGGACGTCGAAGTGTGGTTTGCGGTAAGAGAGATACGACAACGTTTTTCTCTTTCTTAAAGATTATAAACTCGAGGTTCGATGCTTAAAGTGATTTCTTCCTAACAAACAAAACTAATATGCGAATATTTGTGGTTTTAATTGGTTTTTATTTCGCTACCCATGGCGCGTACAAGCTATACACGCGGAGGTTTTGTTAGCAATACTCCAGTCTTGAGGGTTTTGTGTTTCTTAGGAGTTGTCCTAACCTGTTATCTGCTTCTTGTTCTTTGCTTGCTTTTCACTTAACCTGGAGTGCGCCTCTCTGCAATACATTCGGGTTAGAGCACCCTCGTTTTGAAGCAGCTCGCAGTAAACCTCTGCTCGAGTGCGATCTTCACTACACAGAGCCAGCGATGATGATCGTGCTAGGCCAGCCGTTGGTCGCTCCAGGGCAGTGATTGGATACCAGAAACTCATCAGCGTGCCTTCTTCGCGGTTGTACGTTTCCACTTCCGCTAAACCTTTGGGCTGCAGAGACAAGGAAGAAACCAATTAGAGTAAATTAAAGGTACAGTTAAAACCTGCGAGTAAGAACTTGCATTTTCCCAAGTTAGCCTAAACAGGTTCTTACATAAGTGGTAATTAGCACAAAATTTAGGCTGTTTAGGTTAGGTTCTTATTTTCTGAAGAAAAAAATATGTTGTAGTCAAGAGTATTTTAAAGTAGTATTCAGCTAGAGCTGTTAGAGTGATAAGGCATCTATGTCTCCAAACAGGATCCTGAATGTTGAGTTATCTAATTTGCCCATATGTAAAGTATTTTTTTTTATAGATTTTAGAAAATAAGAACCTGTTTCAAATATTAGGCTAAACAGGATCTTGTATAGAGAGGGCCTAACTGGCAAATTTTAGCCTTATAACAGGTTCGGTCTAAAATGAACTCATTAGTAAGGAAAATCTTCTTGAAACAACGAGTACGATGAATAAGGTTTCGTGACTCTAACATGAAGAAGACGCTACATAATTCACTCTTGGCCCATCTCAAAGTCCTCAAAAATCAGTTTTCGTTTAATAGCTCAAGATCCCCGGTGAACCCCGATAGAGTTCGTCGTCGTCACTTCCGTACTAAAGTCACACATAATACCTGTCTGGAAAGCTATGGTAATACTGAGTGACAGTTACCATTGTTGTAAGTTCTTATGAAAAATAATCAGCCATTAAAGAAAGGTCATTTCCTCTCCTGCTCGTCAAAGAAACAAACAACACAGAAAACATTAAGTCAGGACACTTCTAGTTAGTATAAGTACGTATACGTCACCTTGTCAACACTCTTCACCACCCCTGTGAGTCCAAAAGTTTTCTTCATATCTGGCACTGCAAATCCTGGTAGAGTGGCAGCTTGGTTCAGAATGGAGCAGTTGACGATGACCGCTTGACCGGGTTTCAGGCCACCGGCGCTCACTTTGTTGACGTCAGCTTTCACGTCATCAAGCTTAGGAAACTGTAGGGATGCTGGGATACCGCCGTTGTCTTCATACAAATCAGCCACTGTAGCGACGGCGATGTCGATCATACCTGGACAAAAAACCAAATTCGAACTCCAAGTTTGAAATACTCTGATGTCATTTCCGCCTGGAGACGTGGTTTGAAGGTTTGTATCACTGAGTGATGTAACCATCGCTGATTCCGCGGGCGAATCTCGTGTTCTGATTGGCTACCCGAGCAGGCAAGAAGGGCCCATCTTGCCCGCTCGGGATTTCCTGCGTTTCCTATTTTTGACCATATAATAAATTTTTTATTGACCAAACTTGTTCGGTCAGTCTGGCTGATATCTGCCTCAGTTTTTTTTGCGTTTTTATTGACTTCGTCTCTGTCCATAGATTCGCAAAAAAAGAACTTGACCAATATCCAGCCATATTGACCTCACACTAGGTCAATAACGCTTATGTCCTGGCTACTTAGTTTACTTCAATAATTTTACAGCAAAAAAAAAAATGTGAGTGAAATAACTAGCTTACGGGAAAACCTGCCTTGGGTTAACTATAGTATACGTTGCCGATCCAAATTTGCGCCGTGGAAAGTGATTTTGAAGAGTGATTTTGCTCTGATTCAAAAGAAATTTCTTGCCTACGCAATACTTTTTCTGGCGAGGGGAGTAATCAAGAAGGTTACATTTGGTATTTAGGTTGTATCTGTGCGCTTTTAACGCCTTCGTCATGTTGAACTCCTACAGAGTTTATATATCCATTTGCTTTTAATTTTGCTCGTTAGCCGATTAGAGTAACCAAACTTTCGTTATCGTTTACGTTATTAAGATGCCAAAACAAGATATTGGCCGAACCTACTGCTACCCACCTGCCAACAGCGCTCCCCTGATCTGATCAAGCCCCGACTGCCGATCAGTATTTGAACGAAATCGTCTTCGGATAACGGGAAACACCCGATCTTCCCAAGCTTTGACCAGCAGACGGGAGGGGTCTACAGGTGGTGCTTCTCTCCCGTGACTAGTACCCTCGTCGGAGGCGCGCAAAGGTGTTACAGGACCCACATCAATCATCCTATCATAACTGCTGGCCAGCTTGTATTGAAGGCAAGACAAAGGGTCGTACTCTGTGAATCAAAAGGTAAAGAGTAAAGTGCGTGTTCTGCGTTTGGAACTAGCTTTACATTTCTGCTAAGACTCGAGGTCTGATTAGCCTGGCTATTTTCTTCACTATGCACCCGGGGGATTATTTAAAATAAGGACCAAATTGGGAGACTTTTTCGTAAAGAATTTTGATTAATCTAGGAGGCCCCCCTTTCGCAGTTCAAAGAACTTTGCAATCGCATGAAGATACAGATGAGTGAAACTACCTAAGCAGAAAAGAACTGTTCTCGTATTGATGCTGGTGTAGTGGAAGTCTCAAAAATTATAAAAGGGACGAAGGAACAAGGACTCGTTGTGATATCCTTGCTGTTCAAGTAAGTTAGCCTAATAGGGGTTCGGCAGGGGGTGCCTACTCGAGCCGGCGATTACCTAGTACAGCGGCGGCGGTTATTGGAGGAAATAATGGTGTTCTTAACAAAACAACAACAGTTTTCCATTGTTTACACACTTATAGATCATAGAAATCATTCATTACAATATTCAAAACTCAAGTGAAACAATTCGCCTAAGGCTGCCCGGTTTTGTACAATGTAGAAAAACATTAAAAACGGCGATTTCTTGAGGAGTTCCTTGGAAAATCGTGCACAAGATACAGAGAAAAACAAATTGAGTCATCATTGCGTCGTTTCAATTGTCTTTTTTCTCATGAACAATAGCTCTTGACCAATGGGTGAGTATCATTGTACATTTATGTACTGAGAGAATAAATGCCATCACAACGGTCATTTTAAAAGTCCTTTAAGTAACATTGACTTATAGAGAGCTTAAGCAGCAACGTTTTTGAGCGACGCACGTCAACCGGAAGTGAGGTATTTTCCCTCTTAACATGCCTTGATGACATAAAATTTGTATTCCTTAGTTTCTTTACTGTTATAGAGGCGATTTGACTGAAAATTTGCGCGAAACCACCGTCAAAAAATGAAAAAAGGCCACTTCCGGTTGACGTGCGTCGCTCAAAAACGTTGTTGCTTAAGCTCCCTATTAACGAACCTTTTACTGAGTCTTTAGGTATGGTCAGAGGTGTTGGTTTAGGAGGCAAGGGTTTAGACACGACTTGTGCATCCATCGACTCATCTTTCACGTCCATATCAAGCTCAAAAGCAAAAGGCAGCTCACTAAATCCCTGTCTGATGTCTTCCATCGAGTCGCTCCACATGTCTGCCGCTGCGCGGTGCTTGGAACCCTCTGCGTACAGGAACGAGCGCGCACCAAAATTCACTCGGACGCGTACATTCTGAGGAAAACAGTAGGTGATGAGAGAATGCGAGTTAACCGCTTTCACTGAATGAAACCGTATTAACGACTTTAAATTCTTTTTAAGTAAGCGGGATATGATTGTCCAAGTTAGTATAGTCCTGAAGAGGCTTGTTGGTGTTGTGCAGTAAGTAGAAAAAGGACATAACGTATTGACCTGCTTATCGAATAACCCTACCCGTAAATAAAAGCCGCCCTCAAATAAACGCTGCTCCCACTTGTAATGCAATGCAATGTAATGTCGTGGATTAGGGGACAACAAGACGCGTCCTCTTCACATTAGATAATGGAAAGCTCAAGCAACGACCACGGCGACGGCTACGAAAACGTCACTTAAAAATGAATTCGCGCTGCCTCAAACTTTATCGCGCTTATTCCATCTTGTTTAATTCGACAAATGTCGGCAAATTTCTTTGGACTTGAATTCTAAAGGATTGTATCAAAGCTCAGAAAAAGAAAAAGAAAATTGTTGTTTTGTGTTCCGGTCCTCGACAAAACGTGCAAAGACGGCAAAGAAATGTACAAAAGAGCGTGATGCACGTGCAGAGTTGTTGTTTTGCCCGCAATCTAAACCTATTGGTTTTTCGCCGTTCTCGTTGCCGTCGCCGTCGTTGTTGCTTAAGCTCCCTAATGTTAACAGTAAGGGTCGGACGTCAGCATACAAGGGCGCCATTGGCAGCCGCTATCAGTTCGTGTAAAACAGCCGTAGCCTGTGATATGATTGATGGGTGATGCGTGAAAGGTAGACCACAACACCGGGAAAATTTCCCCTACTCCTTTCGAACAGTAGTGTGGGTTATTTTACGTCCCCTTCAATTTGCTGATGAAAGAAGGATGAAGGAGACACGGCCAACGGCTTAACGTCACCGCTCAATGACGCGATCACTTAACTGAGACAAGGTCTCAAATTACAGCCAGCATCATCTCACAATTTTTTTTAAGACCCTGGAGGGGTATGAACCTATGACCTTCCGCTTGGCTGACCGGTGCTCTCCCAACTGAGCTAACTGGCCGGTCGCCGGTTATTTAGAAGAATGCGGCTTTTATTCGAGGATTATAAGAAAAACACTGGGTACAACTAGGTAATCTACACCATTCAAACTACTACGATCCTATCTCAGCAAAATAAAAGAGTCCTTTTTACGACTTACGCGACCACTGGTTTCCCAGCTGAACGACGTCTGAGGAATGACTGCAGAAATTCCACACTGATGACGTGTCACTACGTAGATCTGGGTAGTGCTTCTGATTGGTTAGGGCAAACATCCCTTAAGACACGACCAATCAGAGGCACTATCTAGATCTGTGTCGTGACATGTCATCAGTATGGAATTTCTGCATTAGTTTCTCAGACGCCATTTGGCAGGGAAACAAGTGGTGGCGTCGAAAAATGTCGGCTCTTTTCTTAGACTTTAAACACCTTTTTGCTTCAAACAGTATTTATAAATAATTTACCGTAATTGTTCTTAGTGATTTTAGAATGCGATTTTGAAATAAACGCGCATCCGAAACGATAAAAATTTAACAAACGCCGCAGCGTTTGATGGAATAAATAAGGTATATCTTTTTCTTTGGTCTAAAGGCTTTGCCTTAAATTGAGAATAGGGTGAACAGAGTGTTAGCTTGTATATTTTGTTTTCCCAATGACGGTCTCAGGCGAATTTGCTCAATTGTCTTTTCACAAATTATGCTTACATATGCACGTGAATGAGACGAAATTTGAAAGAAACCGTTATCTTGTGTATTATCACATGAAGTACATTGGGAAAACAAACCATAAGAGCTATCGAGGTTCATTGACGCCATAATTATTAAGTGGCATATCTGAGTGCATGTATACCCCACATTTCTATTGTCGCAGCTCCTAGATGTTCCTCACCTTTTTCTGTATATGAATAACGGGCCACAAGCCGGACTGAACGCCATCTAAGTCCGCTGCGAGCCTGTCGCCATTGCAGGTGAAGTAAACTAAGCCATTAGCAGACTGATCCTCATTTCGTTCGAATCCACATCCAACAACGTCATTTTCTTTCATAATGATGTTTAATGAAACAGTTTTCCAGTGGAGAAGACCGCCTGTCCTGTACAACACTGCTCGGCCATTACTGAAAAATAAAGCAGCGTATCGGTCTGAGAAAACAGCCGACATTTAAGGACCCCACCAATAGTTTGCCCACGAAATGACGCCTGAGGAACGAGCGCAGAAATTCTATACTGATGACGCGTCACTATTCAGTTATGATTGGTTGAAGCAGAGTTTCAACCAATCAGATAAACAACAAAATTTTATTGTTTTTTTTTCTCTCTCGCTAAAACGACGACAATAAAAGTCAAGCAGACCTTTTGAAAAACTACTATAATTATGAAAGGTACACCCGCAAATACACAGAATTTCCTCTGAAAAACAACAATGTTATCAATAGCCTACGATCGTTCGATATATTAAAATTTTAACATGAATGCGAGGCTTTAGGATCAAAATTGCAAATTGTTCTCGACTCTATTGTCTCGCAATCAGCCCCAGAAGAGACTTGAGCACCAAGAAAACCAAACCAAATATAGAAAAATGACCAGAAAGCCTCGGGAGTCATGTTAGAATTTTAACATTTCGAACCGACATAGGCTATTCATTCCCCAAAGTGGGAGCGAACCGGTTCAGTGGTTTTCATCATTTTTTCCCTATAACACAGATTAACTTGGAAACGTTAGTCACAGATGCATTTTTTCGTACTGGCATTGTAACATGCACGAGCATGTCACTATCAGTGGCTTTCACCGAGTTGATAGAAACACTTGAACAAACTGAACAAACTCTCAGGGATATTGTCCCTTAAAGAAACACAAAATGACAATAAAACCAAACAAAAAAAAAACAAAAAAACAATGGATAGAAGAAAAAACCTGTGCAAGAGGCAAGATCCCACAGGATTGATCCAACCGCTGGCCAGCTGATCTGTTGACGGGGCAAATCCAACGGAAATGGAAGGTCCCGGATCTTGATCTTCAGGGTCTCCTAGGGAACAAAGTTCCGCCTCCCAGTAAAAGGATGGCGCCTTGAAAGGAAAAAAAATAATAGAGGATTTCTGCAAACCCATCCACAAGAAAATGATCATTAATAGGCCACTTCCGAGTTCCAAAACCCCTTACTTTAGAAATGAGGCCAACAACCTCTCTTGTGAAAATGAGTTTTATTTGCATGAGAATGAAAAATCATTTCCATATCAAAGGCTGCGCACTTAACCTCGTTTTGATACAGAGGCCTGGAGGAACTCGGAAATGGCCTAATGGCCAAAATTGCGATAAAAGCGGAAGCATACTGGATGGTATCAGTCTTTTTCCAATTCGTATACTATGTTGCAAACGACAGAAGGAATCTAAGCCGAACTTGAAACAGCAGCACTAAACTTCATGTCGTCATGTTTGTTCATACGAGGTCTGCCTTGCAGTTTTGTAATATGTCCTTAAATGGTATTTTGTAGAACCATCATTTCCATTAGTCAGCTCCAAAGGTGTTGCAGTAAAATACCCGCTTGTAAGAACCAAGTCTGGCAAAAAAGATTCTTGTATTTTGGTGTAGTTAATGACAGTTTAGGCAAAGTAGGTCTTTAATCAGGTTCTTAGGTGTTGATCCAAAGAAAGATAGTAAAACTTGGGTTTGGTGCTTAAAGTTAATAGATATTACTTATTCACAACTGTATTATGATAAGCCTAACAAAACTGATTACAGAATGTATATTATACACTTAATGTCAGATCCCGACGGAAACAGTTAGTTTTGTTTTCCCGAGAGTCTCACATAAAAGAACCTTTTTTATCCTGCTTGGCTAAACAGGTTCTTATATTCTTGGGTATTAAATGGCAAATTTCTGCCAGTTGGTTCTTAAAACGCTAGGTTCGAAAAAGCGGGTTTTTACTGTATTATTTTTCTTTAACAGGAATTGAATAACTGACAGCACCTTAAACCAAACAGAGCAACAGGAAACTCACCTTTTGGGGCAAAGGGGCGTTAGCATATACGAAAGTCCCTCTGGGAAGTCCAAAGCCTGTTGCAGGATCCGCTAGATAATGAACACAAGTATGGCCCATAGTAAAAACACATCCCCGGACGGGAGGGAATACCCGGCCGCTGTCAAGCGCCATCCTCTTGCTAGTCTTTAATACTTTCTTAGGTTTCTCAGCAGGTTTAACAAAGTCTTTGAAGAGTTTTCGCAGCTGCTGGCAGTGCTTTTCTAAGACAGTTAATCTTTGGCCTGCATCGCACTCTCCTGATAATTTAGAGATGAGCTCCGACGAAGGATTCGCCAGAAGAGCGTCGATGAAGGAGGAATCCTGGACTTGGATAGATAGAACCATGCTTGCTCTGCAATGAAAACCGGAAGATTTCGTTTGTTTGGGATACTTTCTCTGCCTGCCCTAAAACGGGCTATGCGACACACTCAAGTCCTGCGCATTTTTTGGAGATAAACATGGTGCATTATGGTCTATGTGAAAATTGTGAATAATGAAAAGACTGGGACCGAGTTGGGATTGTTTGAGTTATCAAAGTTTATTCTGATGGACCAGATGGCAACCATTAACTAATCATAAAAATTTCATTTCTCAAAGTTAGTGATCAGTCTCCGCAACAGTTTATGGAGTGGAGTACAACCTAATTTCTTGAAGATCGACAGCTAAAATATGGGTCAAATAAAGTAGAAACCTCGTTTTGATTTCTGCCAGAATTCGCGCTGCCTTTGATGGTGTAATGAAGACTTCCCTTGCGTCCACATCAGAAGGCTGATCGAACACTGTTTCTTTTGCAGACAAAATAGAAAGCAAAACAGCCACCGCTTGATCTCCCATGGACAATTCGCTAAGGAACACCACCTACAACGAGACAAAAAACTTAATCTACAATCCTGGACAAAAGTTGTTGGGACAATGACGAGGTATTCATAATTTGCTGTAATCTCTGGGTGCACTCATAAAACAATGTAACCAATATCTTGCAGTTCTCCCTCCACCACCCTATACAATGTTGAAACTCGGAAAAATTCCGGAAAGACGCGTCCACCATTGTTTGTGGGGTGGGGGAGGGGCTGGGCATTTTTGATTTAAGAAAAGCCCCACAAATGCAAAAGTGTCTTAAGACTTAAGTCCATTATTGTAAGTCTCTGTTTTAGATTCTCTACTAGAGGAGTGAGCGCTATTTAAACAAGGCCATACGAGACCCTTTTAGGTATAGCCGTTGGCAGGGAAAAGGCGGTACTTCAATTTTTCAAATTTTCCGGTGATCAATTCACCTTCGAGGTTCACTCCCCCGACGACAGACATAGCGCTACAGCTTTTTTATAAACAAACTCCCTCTCTCAATTATTATACCTGAGGATTAGCTATTTGAAGCCGTGCCAGTGGTATCTCTTGCACTCTTTCACTGTAGGTCTCTCCTTCTTCGTTTAGTAACACTGTTGCCACACCCTGTCTTTCAGATACACTGACCACTTCACCAGTCGCTTTTACCATGTCTTCTCCACCGATCTGACAAATGGCGAATGAATACGTTTGGGAACCGGTTCCTCCTCATCATGATACTTAACAAACTTTGTTTTAATTGTTTTCAAGAATAATTGATCATAAAAAGGTTGGGTATGATCGTCCGGGTGAACGTAGTCCTGAATAGGACTGTTGTTGTTGACAGTGACGGACGTTTCGACAACCTGTGCGGTAGTCATCTTCAGAGTCAAAGTGAGTTGTATCACGTTAGTTGATGCTATTTTGGTTAGTGACCTGATTGGTCAGTTAAGTCGCGATGTTATTGGTCGTCTGTCAGCTAAGCCGTTATGTTATTAGCTATGAAGACTCGTGATGTCATTAGTACGTTTCCATCCGTCTATTGTCACAGTTAGACAGTCGTTTATTGTTAGTCAAATTTTCAGTTGTCCAGTCGTTCTCTCTAGTTAGTTTTGCATGATTCCGTCAATAAGTCGTTTGTAGGGTGCCGGTAACTGTTGACTATTAAATAATTGATCACTTGAGAAGTCGCATCAAAGAATGAAAAAAGTGTTCCACCTGATATCTGGATATTTCAAAGTCGGCTTGAAACACTCGACTGTGCCTCGCTTTCTCAACCCACTACTCGGTGCCTGGATATGGGCAGGAACACTACTCTTTCTGTTTGATATTCAGTTAGAGTAGCTGACAGAGCGAGACAAAGTAGGCGGCGATATGACGTTTTTACATATGTTATCGTTTGTTGTAGCGAAAATTGACACAAGCAGGCGGTTGCTTGAGCTACAATATATGTTTAAACCCCCTAAAGACACCCTTGCTATGCAAATGATAAATATAAACAACAGAACGATTTGTGGTACCTGAACCGTGCATCCAGAATGGACATTCTTATGAAAACCACCCAAGGCACACAAAGACGCTACAACGTTCCTGGCCTTGAAAAACCACTCATGTTCGTTAGATAAATGTTCATCCTCGTCGTGTTCTGTCTCCTGCTTGAACGTCTGATCCCCCCTAGGTGATATCCTTCCTTCTCTTTCAAGGGTCTCTATCAGGTAAGGCACGTTATCCAGGGTCTCACACAGTACATCGCGCACAGCAGAGGCCCAGATCTTTGAGGTGTCAGAAGCTGACGAAGACAGAAGTCCGTGCAACAAAGATATAACTTCAGATGCCATGGTGTGTGCGACCTGTCCGCTTATAAAAGGGCGGCTGCATTCCGTTCTAGAGGACGAACAAACAAAGATCAAGTGTCAGCGTAGAACGTGAGAGACATACCCAGAACAACGATATGATCTTGACATCACTTCACTTTCAAATGATTAATAATGAGATCTCAAATGAACCAAGCGAGGACGCCCTTCTCAAAAAACTTCCTTGAAACTGAAAGCACACAGTACACGTAAGAATAACGGTCAGATTTCTCAGAAAAATAATAAACTCACATTAAAGTGCCGACTTGTTGATCCTACCACTTTGCAGACACCCACCGACTTAATTGGATTCAAAGTACGAGAAGAACTTATATTCAACGCGCGAGGAGAAATGTGTCGGTTATCAGAGTTAAATTCACGTTAAAAATCTTTTAGAAGCACTTCCCAAATGAAAACACCAATAATATTCCAACGATGCCTAGGGATATTATTGTAAAAACGACTTTAAACAAAATACTAAACTAACCTTGACAGACGGCTGTTGCGTGCTTTGCATACGATTTCGGGGTCTCCCGATCCTTCGACACTCTTCTCCCCTTCACTGCCCTCCTCTAACAGATCTACAGGCCCTACACTAACCACCAGCCCAGTCTGAGCCCACTGGGCAGCTTTCTTCAGACAAACTGATAAGGTGTCGGTAAGCAGCACCCCTCGCCCATACTCTGTAAGTTCTCGGTCTAGTTTGATGGCGCGCTCCATCTCAGAGCCTTGACCAACGCGAAAGATGAATGGCGTACCGTTTGTACTGAAAAAAAAAAAAAAAAAATTGCAGAAATTTTCAACGGGGTAATAAGAAATATAACCGTTGTTTCCAAATGTTTTTTGTTTCACTTTCAGGTTGCTCCTAATTTGTCTGAACCTTGTAAATAAGAATGCAGCTGTTTAACCCATTCGCCCCTGAACCGCCCGTAACCGCCCGTGCGGATCCAGGTCCTTTCTACCCATTGTGACGTCATCAGTTTTAACGGTCAAGGACAACTTTCTTCTTTAACTTGTGCAGAGTGAAGAGATCTTTCAAACCATACCAGAATGAGCACAATTCAGTCAAGGACACCGGAGAAACAAGCAAAAAACCACGTGACATTGACCTGAAAATCTCCATGAAAATCTTGTTCCATTACCCACCTACCTTTCCTTTCACCTAATCCTAAGATCCTAAAAGCTTTCCTAAAAACTCTTCCCACCAAAATGAAGCCTACTAAATGCCCAGCAAGAGAAAAAAAAAATGAGGCAAGAAAAGCGGAAAAAGAAGGGAGGAGAGAAAGCGAAAAGTAAAAGTCAAGACTGCTGTGTCACTTTTAAACCTCGAAATTTTGCTTTCTGCGCATGCCCGAACTTCTCAAGCTGATATTTTGCATCTGGATCAGAAGGCCGCGAAGTGTTCGACCTGTAAACCAGTTTGTGGTAAGTTTTAGCTCTTTATAGCGCGACAGTGACCAGAAAACCACTCGACTAGCTTCAAAACGCGTTTTTCGGCAAAATCTCCAGGAGCGAATGGGTTAAATAATCTGTTCGGAAAGTCGATTAAGATTCACCAGAGTCTAATTTGATAGCTATGATTAATAACGAGGAAATATCTTCACAGTAGCTGTTATAAAGCGACTTTTGTTTCATTTATACAATGGGAACTACTTGTGGCACATTTGTCACCTGGATACGTCTAAAGATTTCAGAAACATTGGCCGTTTTCAGACTAGAGATGGATTATCCGTCAGACGTATCATCCGTCTTCAAAGTCCGTTACAATTGGAGGAAAAACAGACAGATAAAGTCAGACGGATTATTCGTTCTATTTTCTCATTAAGATGGATTACCCATCTGACGCGAATTACCCAAAGGACAACCCGTCTTAGAAGCATGATCCGATTCTAGTGTGAGAACGGCCATTAGTATGTAATGATCGTAAGGGTGACTTGACAGTGACGACGTTTAAAAAACCTGTGCGGAAGTCATCATACGAGTCAAAGTGAACTGTGTACCTATAACCTGCGATAAAGTGCCCTTCTTCTCTTTTTGTTTGGAAAAAAAAAAAACGTTTGATCGCAGGTTAGTGCACCTACTTGTGACATGACACTTGGTTCAAACCATTTACAATTTTTTGAACAGTTACAGAAATTCGAGAGAGATGTATAAAACACTTATTCAGCTAAGTTGTTTATTTTCTACTTAGAAATACATTATTGTTACCTGAGCACTTTCTGCACAACTTCATGCGCAGGCTGGTCATCTCTTTTATGTACATACAAACACATGGTGCTCTCGCTTTTGGTACTGATGTCATTTTCTTCATACACTACTGCCTCTCTCTCAATTTCATCCTCAATGCCCGAGTCTACAGACGGCAGGACAAAGTCCCCAAGCTTAGCCAGCAACAGTTCAGCCACTCTTACCACGGAACTACCTTCTTGGTGGAGCCCACGTTTTACCCCTAGATAATGCCTAGCAGTGGGGGGTAATGTCACCTCCTGGCAACTCTTGGCGTCCATCAGGGGAAGGATGGAGCGACAGAGCTTCAGCACAATTAGCACCAGTTTAGGAGGGGCTCTTCGGTCAAGAAGGAGGGACAGGAGGGTGGAGACAGTACGTGGTTCACGGAGAATTCCTTCTCCTAGTCTACTCCTAATTATCGAAGGTAAGAAAGAAAAATGAACATAATTCATTTAGGGACAGGAGGGTAGAGACGGTACGTGGTTCATGGAGAATTTCTTCTCCAAGTCTACTCCTAATAATCGAAGGTAAGAAAGAAACATGAACACAATGTTCATTATTTTATACACTTCTCCGCAGAAACTGTTTTTCTTATGACGTTCATCGGCGTTGGTGACATCACTCGGCTACCATTCCTTGAAATATTAGCCTTGAAATCGAGAGGCCCATAATCGCCTGTAATGAGATTTGACAAAGGGCTACCCACGCAATCTACTTTACCTGCTGATTCCGTGCAGTAATTCCATGACATATACCAAGGCATCTTTAGCGGACACTCCGTCATGACGGCTCTCCTCTAACACACAAGTCAGATAGTTTGATAACAGACTGGAGACCTGGTGAGCCAAACTGGACCACTCAATAGCACCAGCATGGAAATCTTGCCAATGAAACAAACAACCAATCATTAGACACTAATTACAAGAAATAAAAACGCGCCGAGTGCATTTTTTAGTTTTATGAGCATATGGGAAATATTTACGAACCCGAGAGAAGTGCTAAGGAGAAATGACCCACAAACAAGTGCTTCTCGTACTTCTTCAGAATGTAACTTGTGATCAGAAAAATTTAGTCTCTTTGGGGTAACTTTGTCCTTTAATTTCATCACTATATGATACAATTTGTGGTGAAAAATGCCGGTGCTGAGAGGGAAGGCAACGGAGATTGACATGAGCGTATGAATAAGGCTATATCATAATCTCAACTAAACTCATCACCAGTAGATGAGCTTGGGCGCTGGTGCCTACAAGGTTGGTGAAAACGGGCAATGCTCTAGCACTAGGAGGTATCCATGGCAACCCTGCGAGCGGCCCCTACAAGGCACCGTCACACTGAACTATTCAGTGGAATATTTACCGACCAATACTTACCTAACCCTGAGACAGAGGGAGGGAGGGTTGGGAAAAACACAGCACAAAAATGGAAAGCAAGCAACAAGGTTATAGCAAAGAGGTGCCTCTGCTAAGGGCATCCCCCCCCCCCCATCAAGCATACCTTAGTATAGGAAATTAACGCTCCATGAAATTAACGCGAATCGTTAAAATTCGCGTTAATTTAAGTCGCGTTAATTTAGTGGAGCGTTAATTTCCGCGACGTTAATTAAGTGCAGCGTTGACTTTCGCGCCCTTAATTTCCAGTATTTTAACCCCAATTTTGGAACCTGTCGAGGTATTCTTGACACCTAAAAAACATTAACTACAAGCTTTCCTTCTTTCCATCTACCCTTTACTTTTCATCTTTCACAAAAGCTAAGGCGAAGGTTTACAATATTTCGAGTTCATCTTCATCGTTGTCGCTGTCATAAGTGCATGATGTCAATTCTTCTCCTTTGATTTCGCGTAATTAATCGCGTTAATTTCCTTGATTATGAAATTCTACCTCCTCTTTCGCGTTAATTTTCTTTATCCGAAAGTAGTTTCCCACTAAATTCGCGTTAATTTAAGTCGCGTTAATTTCAATACCTTAATTTCATGGAGCGTTAATTTCCCATAATAAGGTAATTGGGGAAACTGCTGACCAGCATTGGTTCGAGGATAACTTTGCCTAAATTACATTTTGGCACACTACAGACTTGCACACGCCCACACAACAGTAATCTAACCTTTATCATTCTCCCAATGCACGATTCGATCCAACAGTACTTTGAATCCGGCCCAAGCCATGGCGGACGAGTTGAGAGCAGCGTCAGTCTTCTCATTCCTCAAACAACACAGTTTGTCCAGTAAAGACACAAGGCTACTACGCATGACACAACGCTCTTCGTGCCAGGAATATGGACAGACACTGAGTAACAATACGCTGTCACGGTACACAGTGGGCTCAGTTGAGGCCTGTTGGACCACGGCTGAGACAACAGCTGAGAACATGTCACGCACTTCTCGCACCATGCCACCGCACTTGAGCTCATCCGTTCTGATACACAAACAAAAGCGCCCTATGAAAAAATGGTCTTAAGACGACAAGTTATTGGAGGGAAGCTAGAATTCTGGTAGGCACACCAACCTTGGTCCTTGGGCGAGTATTGACGCAACAGCGGAAAGCAAGTGTGGAACATGATGAGTTCCAATCCGGGAACATGCTGATACTAGCTCTAACATGTACTGAAGGGCCTGGACTCGAGCTCGACCTCGCTCATTTCGGATACTAGCGGCGGAGAGAAAGCTCGAACAAGTCACCTAGGATAAAATGCAGGGTGATTCACACCACAAAAAAATACCAGCGAAAGATAGAATTGGCTTATCCCTTAAGTCTAAATATATCAAATAACTGCCCGTTCAAACAGCCGCCCGCAGCCCAACCCTTCTTACAGAATATAAGATAAACATAAAGTTAAAACCCGTGAGTAAGAACCTGTATTTTTCTTAGTTAGCCTAAACAGGTTCTTAATAAGAACATGTTCCAAAGTTTAGGCTAAATAGGTTCTTATATGAAGGGGGTCTAACTAAGACGATGTTCCTCTGATGATAGTTCTTGAGGATTTTTTTTAAATAGAGACAGAACAGCACGTTGAAAGTGAAATATATGTCAAACACACACACGTACACATATTTGAGTTTCTATCGAAAGGTACGTCCCAGTTTTTTTGGTTTAACGTTAAAGGTTTTGTTCTTTCGAAACAAAGAATCATCTTGAGGCCAAAATTCTAAAGAACAAAATAAGCGCCCCCCCACCTCCCCCTTAAAATAAGCGCCTTCCCTCTTCTCTCTCTCGACTCAGATGATTGGGCAAGCACATCGGGCGCTAAATTGAGTATTTACGGTATTTCAAGTTACTGTGTTTAATCAATCATTTGAATTCTGATGGGTTCATTTGAAAGCCTGCATCTCTAATAATTGACCAGAGCAGTTTCTTTTTTCGAGTCAGCCACGTATGGTCTGACTGTAGCGAACGTGGAGAGTGATTCACTGTGGCTTACAATACAGGGTTGGGTACATCGAGGAAAAAATGCACGTATTGAATGTCAATGCATTACGCACGAAAGTGCTAATTGGGAACACTAGTTTTACGTCTCCAACTGACCGCCATTTTGCGTGGTCATTCGAGCCACGCGAAGGTCTAGCCACTTGCAGTGCAAAAGGAGTACCTTATTTCTCAGTTATTTTAAGACCCTGAGTATTGGTCCGGTCCTGGGAATCGAACCCGCAACCTCCCGCTCTGCAGTCAAGCGCTCTACCGACTGAGCTACAAGTTCACAATAGTCTCTCACTCAAGAACAAATTGCTATATTTCTACTTACAGCTTTATCTGGGTCACTGCCAATAAAAAAGAAAATTTCTGCCACGGTTGAAAGGAAAGTCTTGTTTACACTAGCATCCGTCTCATCTTCGGAGGTTGAGCGGTTGTGTTTTCTCTGCACATTGGTTCTCCATCTCTGCAGCCTACGTACGTCGTGTATGCCTTCCTGAACTGACATTGATCGATCAAGCTTGGGTGGTGCCGACAGTGAGCGATTAAGGATTCCGGAAGGAGACTGAGGCTGAATCAGGGATGCTAAAGCAAATTGTGAACAGAAAGCATGTTGGATTGTGCCTTTCACCTAGGTTAACACACAGCCTGTTGACAGGAGAGGTAACCCGCCTGTCGATATAATCTTTCATGTGGTCACCCCACCTACCATGTAAACGCGATCAAATTAAAATGACAGAGAATTTGGACGGGCGGGTTACCCACCAAAGCGGGTTACCTCACCTGCCTGAGGTCCCCCACCTCCATGTAAACAGGCCCTTAGAGAAGTGATATCGGGTACACAATATGGATAACTTTCGATATGGAGAACTTTCCTAAGAAAAGAGTGCTCTGACGTTTGGGTGTGTAGTCAGGCTTTTTGGTCTTGTCGAAGTAAGTTTCCTGTGGGAAATTCAATAAGGAGAAGTTTACTACGACGACGACGACGAAGACGATGATGATGATAATGATTATGACATTAGCAACCTTAATTTACCCTCGGCAGTGCATTTACTGATATCAAAGGCTATTGTGGCTGAGCAAATACCGGAAAAAGCTAATTCAAATGAAATATAACGGTGCGACAGGAAGACGAATTGGTTATGTAGATGCAAGTATGGCCGAGGTGTTGAATTCGGGAGCACGGGGATCAAACTCCAGTTTGTGAGAGGGGCTTGCACCAGGGACCTAGGATTACTAATGCGGTGCATGCGCTGACCGTCTTGGCCAAGCTGTCTTCCGCCGGATACACACCTTGCTGTGTTGGTAGACCGCAATCGGGTGCAGAGCTGCAGTGAGAAATACTCCTTCCTAGAGCAGCGAGTCTGCTTGCCTTGGACTCTATAGTTACATTACAAAGCAGCTCTCCAAACTCCATGATGGAAAACAGACACTTTTTGATAACTGGCATCAGGTCTAAAGTGTTGTCACTTTGCTGACGTTCTCCTTTTGTTTCTTTCTCGAGGCGTTCTCTGAGGAGAGTGAATAATCCATTAAATAATGGACTGGACAGGATTGCCGGGGATTACTTGTTTTAGCAAGACTGCCAGGACAACCAGGGACCAGGTACACAAAACGCAACGTTAGACGTTACTGCAGAGGTCAGTCTGGACTGAAAATCAGGGGACAATTGATAAACCATAACGTCGGACGTAATTGCTGATGTCTGGCGTTAAAAGAGAGAGTTTAAGTGGGCTGAACGATTTACGTTCCGTCGGAACGCCACGTTTGATGCAACTGAGCCTTGGTTTAGTAGAACTGCGAAAGTAACCTGGTAAACTCTTTTAAACTGAAATGGTTTGGTATTTCATTGGAGTTTATAGAATACAAAGAACATAACATAGTGTTGAAAAATAATTTAAACGTGAACGCAGCGAACGGCTGAAATATTTTTCTGCACTCGAACAGAAATTTGGTACAGTGGAACCCCGCCTTACGACTACCCCGTTTATACAACCAACTCGCTGTTACGACCATAATCTTTTGATCCACAGTATCTCCGCGCGGGGGATATCCTACTTTTAGTAAAATCCAACTAGTGGTCTACTTTCAATGCTGCGTTCTGATTGGTATATATAGCCCCTAGTACCATTTTGGCAAAAAAGGATTTAAGTTTCTTTAACTAGAAATCCATTCTCGATATTTTTGACCAACTAGTTGGGGGATATCCTATGTCCTCTGATATTCATCGGCCTGGTATGTATGATACGTTGCAACTTTGCAACTTGATGTGTATGATATTGATTCTGCTGTTTATTTAGACCCTAGCATGACTAGAAGAAGCACAGTCATCGATTTAATAATATCCTATCTAAAGCAACGACAAAGCCGGAGTACTCACATGAGTTTCCCTACAGATTTTTCCTGTTCTATTGGATCAAATTCGATATTCTTAAGAGAGCACAACAACTCCAGCTCTTTACTCTTGGCCTGCAAGGGAATAAAACATAGAATGGTTTTTGCAATAACGAGGTTTAAGTTTCTGTTTGTCGCAATTTTAACTAGTTTTATAAGCCCTTTTCTTAACACTAATTTTATGCTTTGCTTTATGACGGTCAGCAACTGGCTATTCCAATTTGAGACCAATCAAAGGCTAACAAAAGTTAACATCACGACCTCTCAAACGTAGGGGAACTTACGCAACCGGGACCACAGAAAACACTCACGCCGGTGTAAATCGAGCCCTTCTATTAACACATTTTTATGTTTTGTATTATGACCGTAAACAAATGGCAGAGCCACGAATTCGAGAACAATCAAAGGCCGGCGCAAAATTCACCCTCTCAGTCGTAGTGTCCCTTACGCAACGGAGACCACAGAAAATACATGTCATGGATACCATGGACAAAGCAACCACTCTGCGAGTGTATCACACTTTCGAAAATTTCTTGGTCGTTATCTGCACAACTAAAATGTGCAATTTCGAAACGCGAACGACGTTTTATGGAGGATGAATTTTACGTTCACGTTCTAAACCTAGAAACAACTCCAGGAACATTAGGTTTTGCTTAACAACCTGGGACCAGTTGTTCGAAAGCCGATTAGCACTAACCCGGAGATAAATTTTAGTCCGCGTTTATTTTTCTTTTGTTCAAAAGCATTTTCTCGGACAATGTTTTTCCATTCTCTTTAGAGCATCCAATCATCCAGTTGTAGACAAAACGAACTGGACTAAACTTGTTTTTTAAGCTTTTATTTCTGATTTCCATTTTGCAATAACCTTGGGTTATCTTAACCTGTCTTTGGACAGTCCAGCCCTGAGCGATAAGAAGAACTAAAATTCAATCTCTTAGTGAGGCATTAACCCATTAGCCCTTGAACCGCCAGAAACCGCCAGTGCGTATCTACGTCCCTTCTATCGCTTACGACGTCATCAGTTATAATGGTCAACGACAGCTTTGTCAGCTAACTGCTACAGGGAGAAGAGATCTTACAAACCATACAAGAAAGAGCACGATTCAGTCAAGGAGGCCGGAGAAAAAGGCCAAAAAAATATGTAACGTTGACCCGAAAATTTGGCTTTCTGGGCAAACCTCGAAAGGTAGTAATTTGCATCTGGATCAAAAGGCCGCCAAGTGTACGACCTGTAAACAGCTTTGTGGTAAGTTTTAGCTCTTTATAGACAACCAGTGACCAGAAAATGGCTCGACTTGCTTCAAAACGCGTTTTACGGCAAAAATTCCCAGGGGCAAATGGGTGAACTCAAGTCGTCATTGGCTCCCTACTAGTTCTTTTAACGTACCAAACCGGCAATACTGCGTTACCTCTTGTAAGTGAAAATCATTGAAAAAGGCAGCGCTTGGTTGCAGGATCCCCTCTCGAACATCATCCAGTTCATGTGCCCACTTCTGTTCCATTTCAGCCATTGTCTGCAGCTGTCTAATAAGGCCATTAAGTCGGTTGAACACTTCTCTCATTACATCACACACGTATCTGTACTCATCACCCTCAGCTTGCATAAGCTCTATCCCCTGCACAGTCTTAGTAAGTCCCAAGTGCTTTATGACACACCGCAGTACCAGCTCCTCAATGACGTCCGTTTGAAGGGCTTGACGCAAGCTGGGGCGCAACGTGGGAGCTGGGACGGCTAAGTAACACGAAGTAAAAATAACAGAGACATTGGCAATGTTTTTGGACTTCCGTTAATCATTTCAGCTCACAATGATGGGAGGGCTGCATCTCTAAAGGACGGACTTGAGAGAGCCTGCGCGCAACTGTAATTCTAGCTACTACTGGCTTGCGAGTGTCAAGTGTGGGTCTGTGTGTCGAATTCTTACTATTGGTTGAAGCTGTACCGTCTGAATTGGCTTTTTAAGGAATCAAATTTTAAATGAAATAAACGCGCCCACCATTTGCAGATTTATACTTCACACCTTTTATGTACGAAAAACGTGAATAATTACCGAGGAGCGATATTTACCTGATATGTCTCTTAGACGTTTTACAAGCTCGGGAGACAGTTTTGAGCTTGGTTTGGGGGAAACGATATCAAGACCTGAAGACGAGCCCTTCTCTGAATCAACGGTTATGGAAATACCAGAACTTCCAGACACTAGAACATCTTCAGAAGTACTTGGCCACACGCACCTAACGTAACGAAGAAAAAGAAAAACAATTAAATACGAATAATTTCCATGAAGGCATCGGGGCCAGTTGGTTGCTTTAACTTCAGTAAAACTCGTTGACTCTTTAACTCAGATTTTGCGAAAGGCCCGACGAATAAGACAAAAAGAAGCGCATTCCTCGGCTTTTTTAACGCTTTTAAGCCCTGTATTTGCCATAATGACTTGTTTGATGTGCAAAGACAAGACAGCAGGCTTAAAATTCACCGTCGCATTTGTATCAAATTTTACCGGTTTTACCGTGCTGATCATTACTATCAATCAACGTATATGTAAGGCAGTGTTCGTGCTGCCTGTGGGCGCGCGAGGACTTGATTTGCTCGAGTTATGAGGTGAACGAGTAAAAGGGATGGAGGTCGGAGGCGTTCTGCTCAGCCTGGCAACCCCGTCATTTCGCCCCGATTACTTAGCCCCCCTTTTTTCGAGTCATTTAGCGCGCTTCAAATGTAAAATTCCTCGTTCTATAAGCCATAAAGCAAAACAAGCGCGCTTCAAATGTAATATTCCTCTTTATCTAAGCCATAAACCAAAACAAGCAAGCTTCAAATACAACATTCCTCGTTCTAAAATAGGAGGTTAATTAACCGGGCTGAAATGACTTGGGGGCGAAATGACGTTACTGCTTACAAAGATTCAGGGCAGACTGGGTACGAGTGAGTAGCACCGAGTATACACACCCCCATTTCAGGATAGGTGTTGAATTACCTTTGGAGGAGTTTGGAATCAAGTAAATGTTGACAAGCATCCTCTGCTTGAGAGTTAGCAGGGCCATGGTACATTACATTGAGCAAACTATGTGTAAGGAGAGACAGGCTGAGACACAGGTCAGTGAAGAAAGGCAACTTTAAAGGTTTTCCTTCATGTTCCTGAAACAAAGGAGGATAGTAATATTAGACGTATAGATACAAGTCTGATAAGAAAAATGCTTAAATGATGGCATTACATAGTCTGCATTTTTTGTGGAGTGGGGGCAATTAGCAGCATTGGTATCAATTCCCAAAAAGAAAGGACGGGTTGTTTGGAAAGGTGGATTTCAATGCGGTCGACTTGGTATAACCGAATTCAACTTTACGGTGATGCTTGTAAACAATTACAGTTCTCACTCGTTAAAATGTTTCAACATTTCTTTCTGTTTTCACTATTACGATTCATACAAACAGAATTTAAGGATCAATAACAAGCCTACCTTGGCGCTCACAGTACAGCAAAATCCCCAAACAGCATGGTCTGGCGTGTTGCGCTCTCGTGCGCTCTTAACTTGGAAAGAAAAAGTTACAGCTTCACCCTCCACCTTCACAGCTTCCTTGGGCCAGCCTAGTCGCACCACACCTCTTCCACCAACACCAAATGAGTTACCGCCATACTCTGCTACCCTACGACCAGTGGTGGTCTTACCGGCATAAATAACGACCTAAAAGAGTAAAAAGACAATCAAGAGAAGAAACGCAGGAAAGACTGAACAAGGATAACCGCGCATAAACTAGTTTCACAGGATTACTAGGATACGTAGACTCGATTTCCGGCCGCTATTCGAGAAAATGAGCCCACGCTCGGAAGGAACAAGACCGGACCAGAGCGAGCAGCGGAAATCGAGCCTCCGTTAAGTTAAAGGGGGATTGCCGTTGGTTAGTTAAAAGCGGCCCGGGTTCAAATCCCGGCGTCGACGCCATTTATTGAGTTTGTTGTTGGTTCTCTCCTTTGCAATTTTTCTCCGGGTAGGTTTATTTTTTCAAACCAGGAATCATGACGAAGAGCTTTTTGTGGATTGTTGCCTCAAATCTTTATTTATTTAATTTAATTTATTTATTTAGGGTAATCGTAGCTAGTCTCTTTATTAGGTGTCCGCCTAATGGCAGGGTTTATTTCTGTCAGACGTATGATAATTGTTGCTGGTTTATGTATTATCAGGGTCAACAGGTTCCGCAAAGGGGACCTTGATTGTGACACAGATAATCTGGTTTAGCAGGGTCAACAGGTTAACCTGCATAACCAAGTTTAGCAGTAATCTTCTAGGGCGGAGACATTGGTTGGAATCCCACGAACGTTCGAGCGAGAGGAACACGTGAAGAAGCCTTATACAATACACTTGCGAAGGAGGCTTTGGTTTAGCAGGACTAACAGGGTAATCTGGATGAACTGGTTTGTAGAATCACCAGGATAGCGTAGCGTGGTTTAACAGGTTTATCAAAATGGTACAGATTACCCAAATTAGTAAGCTTAAGCAAAGACGTTTTCGAGCAAGCATGTCAACTGGATGTGGACTTTTTGCATTATTATGCGGTTGTTTTGTCCAAACTTCCAGAGCAAATCGTCTCTACAAGAAAAAGATACCCTTACCAACACAAATTTGGCAGCGTCAAGGCATATTGAAAAGGAAAAAACCTCACTCCCAGTTGACGAGTGTCGTACATAAAATAGAATGTTCACAGTCCCCAATTCTTCCGTGAGATCGTCGAGATAGAGCGCGTCTTACCGTTAATGGCGGCCATCTCGATTTTCAAATGTACCGAGGTGGCGGGCGCCGTAAGTAGATTTGACACTTATCTAAAATGGCCGCCCTTAATGCAAAGTCTTCGATCTCGACGGTATTACAGAAAAATTGGGGGACCGTGAACAATCTACACACAAAATGCCTTTGTTTAAACTCCCTAACAATGGAATTTCAGGACCATGCCTCACCTTATCGTACTCATACTGAGTCGCACATCGAGGGTCAAACTTAAGGTACAAACAGGATGCACCAGGGAGGACTACTGTTTTACAAAACTGAAAGTCGTCACGGACTGGATGAGGGCTTTCCACCATACGAGGGCTAAACCACGGTGAGGGAACAGCTGCAGAAGTTACCCCTGTAACTTCATCCTTTTCAAGTGATTTTAACTCTGATACGAAGTAGGCCACCTAAACAGAAACAAGACTTGGTTAGAATGTTGGTAGACTCTTTCTACACAAACACGTTCTGTTCTAGTTATCGCTAAAATTTATTAGAGTACCCCCAACAATGTCATTTTAGTTAATTTAGTCACATTTTTCATAGAGCAAGCGCTACCATCTATTTTAATGTTGAAGGATGTTCAATTTTTCTTTGCTGAGAAAATGCGATCAGAGATTTTTTTGTTAGTTTTGATACTTACCTTAAAAACCAGTTAAAAGGAGAATGGGTACAAGCGTTAGGGGGAATTAATTCTGGGATCGTTTGTGTGGACAAGCGTTAGCGTTAGTTATGATCGGTCGATGGTATTCAAGGCAACTATTAACGGTTGATTAACCAATCATAAGTAACGCTTGTCCACCCAAATAATCCCAGAAATCATTGCGCCAAAAGCTTGAACCCATTCCCCTTACAATTTTGGAAAAGGGGAATTACAATGAGGACACCACTCATACGGTAAATCAAAATTCAATCGAATTTTGTTTCCTAGAAAGGAGCTTTCAGTGCTTCTCACCCTTGTTGCTGTTACTGTTACATTTGTCACAACAGGCAGATAGCTCTTGGCAACAGGCAGCCCAAGGAATTTGTCAGAAGACAGAACAGAAGCCAGCAGGGGTAAGGTCTGCCCCACGGGTGACGCTTTCATGACATGCTCTATGCCTTCAACTCTTGATTTAATATCTCCTTTATATTCCTCTGAAAGCTTAGAAAGAACCTCAAGCACAACATCAAGAATCTGACGAAAAAACAACAAGCAATAGTCATGAGAAACAAAAATTATTTAAACAATTTCTCAGAGCTTAAAAAGCAAAACGTGGAAGCTCAATTTGGGCAAGTACATTAAATGCGATTTATGAGGAGTTACTGAAAAGAACATGGAACAAAGCGTATATGTTAACCTTGTTCTATGGCAAACTCACCTGTTGACAAGCTTCTAAAATTTTTAATGACAGCCTTTGACTTTCAATATACTTCACACCGTCACTAATGACCTATCAGCAATAAAAGCAGAACAGTTGATCTCTCGACCCCTTACCCTTTTATATACCATTCTGACAGAAAACGTATCCCTTTTGTATACCTTTCATTAACAAATGGTACCTTTTTCACACACCTAGTTTAGAACTTTGAATCCCTTTTAACTGCTGTAAATGCACTTTGTTTTAAATATGAAGAAATCACGAAAATAGAAAATTTTCTCAACTTTTTCACAGTCACAGCCATAAAATCCTTCTATAGCCCTTTTAAGTCATATTACAGACCGAAATGACAGATTTCCCTACCCTTTCATACTCTCCGCTGGCACTAGAGGCCTCTTTTCCCTGATATTATTTGGTATTTTCCCACTGAATACTTGGGACAAGAAGGAGAAAACGCCTCTCGGCTCTGCTAACAAGGAACCTTTCAAATACTTCCACCAGTGAAATCCCTAACCTTCCATATACCTGAAGCCTAAAGTAATACCTGAATACCGGAACCCCTTTCGGGCAGAGCCCCCCTGTATACATGTAGGCCATAACAGGGAGTATACACCGGGCTCTCGAGTAACTTTACAAAAACAGACCACCATCTGCTAGCAGTGACATGTCTGGAACTAACGGTGTCATCAATGATTTGTCATCAATATAATAATTGGTGAATGATTGCCCTTGGGAATGATGAAGGAATACGAATGGTCAACCAAATACGTGTTGAGAAATCTTAACGCCAAAAGCTGGCTCCCAGTCGCCCCAAATCTCATGATCAAGTGTTGATGATTTGTTAGGGATGAAATAGCTAAAACCGCCCATATGGAACCATGATATGCATGTTTGAACCACTTGAGACATGATCACTTTTACACCTCACAGCTCAGAGATGACTTTGCAAAAGCCTTTCTATTAGGAATAAACCTGCAAAACGTTTTCTTGTCCGGGCAATAAACAAATATCGAAGTTTGTGTAACTACACGTCTTTTTTTAAACTAATCAGTGATCCTTGTTCCAAATTCAAACAAATTATTGAAAACTTAGATTTCCTTGTGTACGAATTAACCAGAAAATGGATTATGCAGCTTCAAGTGGTGGATTTTGGATAAATGTGTTTAATTCCATTCTTAAACATTTGCAGTTAGGCCTCTACTGTTTAGTCTCTAATAAAATTACTAGTACCTCACACTACCTAGGATTGATTTACAGAACCACGAATACTGTTACAAACACTTCTATTGCTGCTTTTGGATAGTATGGAGCAAAAACTGGCAAGAGAAGTGAAAAGCAAGCCAACCATTTGTATTGATCAGTGGTAAAAACCAACCTACCTGATCATCACCCATGACAGTCAATTCTTGATCATCAGAAAGGAAATGCTCCCTCCAGCAGGTGAAAAAGACAGCTGTGAGATACTGCAGGACTGGGGACAGGTCCTAATCAAAGAAAAAGAGTATTTTGCAATAAGTATAATACATTTATCAGCATAGTACACTTCCGGCCTTTCTGAGCAATTAGCCCACCTAATTTAAAAGGTAAAGGCAGAATTCCTTATTCCACGTCAGTAACTCATAACAGTACTTTAACTGACAAACATGAGGCTAACGGTGCACTCACTTGACCCTTTTCTCTTCAGCAGTGCTCCATTTTACGGGATGGTATTTAAAGCTATTTAAAGCTTCAAGCTACACAGAAAGGAAAGAAGTCCCACACCTGTAGAAGACCAAGCACTAACTAATTGTGCTAATCCTTGGGAGCATTTGTTGCCAACTACCAAATGTCATATTTTGTTTTCGGTTCAGTCAAAAGTTTCATTAAGTGAAAATAATGATGACTCAACCATATATTTTTTATTGATACAACTCAGTGCTTCAGTAGACTTACTGGATGCTTAGCCACCAAGGTTTGGAATGCCTCATCATTCATTGTACCACATTCAATGAACATATTACAAGACTCTTTGATGCACACTTTGAGAGCTGCAAACACCACATCTTCTGCCAGTCTGAAAGGGAGTAAAATAATGAGTTGAGGTAATGCAGGTATACACAAGTATTTTCTGGTGCTATCTGCCTTTGATGACCTGGCCGCAATTGATCAAAAGTGCATAGGATTATCCACTTGTTAAATCACTATCCAGTGAATAAATGTTAAATTGGGAAACAAATTCCACTATCCAATGGAGAAAGATTAATCCAGTGGATAGTATTACCCACCTTTTGAACAACTTGGGCCTGAACTATATTTATTTCAAGGTTATGGCACTTAAGGTTGTTAGGTGTTTTGAACTAATGCAGGACTAGCTTATTCACAGGAGCTGTTTCTTTGATGGTGACTTCACCTTCTCTTTCCAAGCAGCACTCATTCAAGGGTGCTGTTATCTCAGGGAGAATCTTTTCAAACAAAAGTGGTGAAATTATTGTCGTGTAGCTTAGAACCAACACTTAAATGCACTATGCTATTCAAAGTTAAGTCAGATGTTGCTGGCATCTTAAGACAAACTTGTACAAATTAAAAGTAGTTTAGATTACAGTCACCCTAAATACTCTTCATGGTGATTTCTGGTCTTCTTGTCTAACACCTACAGCTATAGCTACTCAGTTGCACAGCCTAGCTGGTATATTTCATACATACAATAATACAATAATTTTTGATACATCCACATTTGCATGAAGTTTAAATGATACAAGTAAACTTCTGTTTAAATTGCATGATCCACATTTGACAATCATAAATTTACAATGTCTAGGACATAATATCTACCTTGCTTTAAGAGACACTCTTGGATCACTGTTTAATATGTCCTCTGCTAAGTATGTTAGCAGTAAGCCCAAAAGTTGTGCCATTCCAGGAGCTGAGGTCTCCTCAGAAAACAGCTGCATCAGCAAAGCACTCCTCTCTGTCACACTAGGATAAAACACTTCCAGAGCAGACTTGAGTACTTTACAAGCCTCCAGCTGCACATCAGGTCCAACAGAATCAGGTGGTGTGTATATCAGCTTCCAAAGGAGACTCTTAGTCTCTTTAACTGCGCTGTCCTCTACCTTAGCCCAGCCTGCCTTAACTAGCTTTACAAGAGTTTGAAGAGCAGCAAGCATTGCTATTGTCACATGTCTCTGCCCTTCAGTTATAGCTGTGCTTAGAACACTGCAGATTCGGCTCATGCCATGTGAATCAGGAGAGCCATGCAAATGAATGTCATCATTTTCTGTTGAGGCCACTCGTAATTTGGCATCAAGCCTTCTACAGAGGAATGTTATGTGGTACGCAATTGATGATATAGTGTCCAGTGGGTCAAGAACATCTTGGACTGTCAACAACAAAATGACAATTCACCATGAAAATCAAAATCCCAAAAGTTATTTGGGGTACTTACCATTAACATGAAAACACGGGAAATTCTGGTGGAAAATCAGCTCATTCGTGCCATTCCATTTGGGAAGGTTCAGAAAAATGTGGGCTGTGATTTGAGGTGATGCATTATTTTAGTCTTGTTAGCCTGTTCAGCAGCTAAGTTGGATATACTTTGTAGTACTTCCACCATGCCAAATTGTTTTAATACTTTTGTTTATGCCCAAGATATCCACCCAAGTGGTGTGTGTAAATGATAAGCAGCCCTGCTTTATAAGTATTGACAGGAGTGCAGATAAAACTGGACTCTATCTTTACACAGCATTATATCGAGATGATGGTCTCAAAAGGCTTGGCTGCGCCTCATTTGTTCAATGCACTAATCGGCTCATGGACATTAAAAGAAATTATACTATCCCTTCTTTTTGATACATGCATCTTATATCAAAAAATATCTGTGAAATTTTCACAAAAACAACAAAAAAGTGGATTTCTAACCTGCACTTTCAGATTCTGGGGGAGTTTTAAGTTGCTGTGATACTTGATTGCATGATGGAAATCCACCTCCTATCCATTCCCCGATAACGTGATTGCCATCATAACTCCATAGTCTTCCATTAATGCAGTCCTGGCACACACCTGCAAAACAAATATTTTACGTCCATTAAAGAAAGCATCTTTAGTTACTAATTAACTGTGAAGAACTGACTTCTGCCTCTTCTGTTGATGATCACTCTTAATAATTTATTATTGTTGAGTACTCCAGACAACAACAAAAAATCAAAATTTCTCCCTTAAAGTTTAACACCAAATTTTAATTAACTGGATTTCCTAGCCGACAGAAATCTTCAGGCTTCACTAGGATCTAAATCAGTTACTGGAGACTTTTGAAATCACAAAATCCCCATTGACCCTAGCCAGCTCTGCAGACAGCACAACTGAGAAACTGTCCTCATTGCTGGCTGTGTAAGACGGGAAGGAATTTTGAGAGGTGATTCAGTGCCATTTGTAGCTCAGTTAGATTAAGAAATGCCTAGTAAGATATAGTTTAAAATACAACAATCATTTTTTAAAAAAGAAGTCTTCTGGAATTAGACTGGTGATGGGATAATTATCACACTTCTGCATCTTATTACAATAACCTACAGTTCCTCATTTTCAAGACTATACAAATATACGTGGACAGTCATACTGTATACTGTAAATTTTAGCACTTGATGCTGGGTATCAAGGACTAAAATTTACTTACCAAGACCTGGGGTGACCATTTCCTGTGACCTTGGCATAGGTGAGTTTAGCACACTTTCATGTTTCACGCAGGAGCCGTCGATGGTTGAAAAGCAGTAATTCATTGGACCTGCAATTGGAAGCAAAAATTACAGACTGAATAAACTAGAACCTGCTTTGGTGGCCTATTCTCCAGACTTATCTCCATAGTTACTTTGAGGAATTAGTTGAAAGAAATAAATTATTTGACAAAAGATCAAAAAATTTTCACTTTAGTGATAATTTGTTTAATTCTCATAACCATTTCTCTTGATGATTTATTGACATGGTTAGGAGAAAATTTCTGTTGGTCACTTTCAGGACTCAGAGGGTTAATAAAAGAACTAGCAGATGAACGGTCATACCTTTTGGACCTCTGAATGAGAGCAACAGAGACGTTGGTCCAATTGTTATCTGGGGAACTACCATTACCAGAATGTTACCACTGATGAACATGGCTGTCTCTTTGAGAGTGCGCCATGACAATCCACAGCTGACCATCTCTGAAATTGATATACATGTACAACAGAGTAAAAGTAGTAAACAAGGTGCACATGAAAAAGTCTCTTTCAGTATAAATGTGGCCATGACACTAGCATGGTACCAACACACAAATAATAATATATAATCCCAGCTTATGGTGCTGAGCATTTCAAATCAACAACTTTTCAAGGACTTTCAAGGTCACAATTCCCATTCTTTGAGAACTCCATGCAGTGTAAAATCAAGACCTATAATAGAAATGGATTTTATTACTCTTTTAACTATGTTGTGTTTTCTGCCTATAACACATATATCATATTAATAATTGGCCACTTGAGAATCTGTGTTGGTTGAAGTGAGTAACAAATTTCAAGGACTTTCCAGCAGCAACTGCAGTTTTTCAAGAGCTTTAAAGGCCTTAAATTTTGATTTTGAAATTCAAGGACTTTCACGGACATCCATTTAAGCAAAATTCTGGGTAAAAGTGAAAAACGGCTCCGAAAAAAGAATGTTGACCAGCAATTTACCAACAGTCCACCAACAGTATCTTAATAGTTTATTATCAATCAGCTTATGGTGTACCAGCAACTCACTGATTGCATTTGATAAAATAACAGAATATTGTGAGCGTAAATTATTACCAGACATGGCTGCAGGCAAATTTGAGTTGATTGGCTGAATCCATAAGTTGCAAAGGAGCAACCGTGATCTAATCTAACCCTTAATGTCTCTGCTCTTTTACAATGCATGTTAAACACAAAGTAACTAAATCTAACCCTTATCTTATTCTTTCAATTACAGCTGCTGTACATAGTGTGCTTCACGCACTAGCTGAGATGTATATGAACGTTGCACTAAAAATTACATCTCAAATTTATTAATCCAAACTTACGATCCAAGTCTTTCTGAGCAGCAGGTGGTGTTGTGGGTGAGAGTCTGACTGGTAACGGAGATGGCAAAGACGATATTGGCTCTTCCTTCCTTGTCAAAACAACAGCGTCACCACAAGTGGAAGCCAGTATATCAGGTCCATTGTCGCTTGGTTCCAGCTTGAATTCTTGAATGAACAAATCAACTTTTTTACCATCTAGACTAAATCCACTACCTTCCTGCTGAACAGCTAGGTCTGCTGATGTTTTAAGTGTCCAAAGCCAGTACAAATGGACCTCATCACTTAACATTTGCATAGTTTTCCACTCTGGTGTTTGCTCCTCATTAGCCTTCATACTGTTTGAATCTTTTAGCTTTATTGTTTTTATGACCTATTTTAACAGAAATGACAAGCTGTATCAGGAAAGAATACAAGAAACAGTACTCACTAACCACACCTCACCTGTTTTATGGGGCCAAGTTGTTTGAGGGGTGATCAATACAAAGTCAGGTTTGGTTACCATGGCAACTCATATCCTCTTTTATTACATGTAGCAGTTAACCCACAATAAGGGATAACTGGACATGGGAATTAAGCTGGACTTGGCCAAGGACAACCTTAGCCACAAAGATGCATGAACCATGCTCGCCTTGCTTTGAACAACTCAGACCATGACATGTATAGCAGGTGCTGATTGTTCTTCCCTCACATGCATGCTTCCCTGAAATTTTTCCCTTTGTATTTAAAAACTGGTGCCAGCTACACGGGCTACTTAGTCCAGGAAAATATGGCACTACCTGCAAAGAAAGCATGTCCAATACATAGCACAAGTTTTCAGGTTCTTTGTCAAACTCTTTTGGTCGAAACAACAGCTGCCACTGCACAATAGCAAGCCATCCCTCCTTGAGATCACTGTTATGTTTGTATACAGCTCCCCTAAAATAACAGAAAAATTTAGAATTAATGCTGAAGTTATTTCTTTGAAGAGTTAATAAGTGCTGAACATTTTAAGCCCTCATCAACAACATTAACCCTTTAAGTCCCAATAGTGATCAAGATCAATTTTCTCCTAAGAATATCCATACATTGTCAACAGATAAGTTATGAGAATTAATAAAATGATCACCTAAGTAAAAATGCCTTGACCTCTTAACAAATTCTCTTAACTCATTCTTTAAGGAAATGTATAGAGATCTGTTTGGAGAATTTGTATGTAGATACTGGGGCTTAAAGGGTTAAGGTAAATTGAGTAGTAGGAGTCAACAGCCACCAAGAAGACTTTGAAGCAGCATAAAATTGGAATTCTTTCTTATTCCACCATAAAAACAGTGATTTTTCTTGGGCAACTGTTTTCCATCACTTAAATGGCTCTCCATTAAAGATGGCACAAAACTTACCATAACAAGCTAAGTCAAACTGAGTTTTGTCCACAATATTATTTAACAAAAGGTTTACTGAAGGTGCTGGTCTACAGGAGGGAGGGGCTACAGGAGGGAGTGAGAGTTTTGGTGAGAGACAGAACTTGATCTTAACCAGGGATGTCCTAGCCTGAGAGTCAGCTGCTAGCTAATTTCACTAGCTGAAAAAGACCTTGTGTTTTCCAAAGCAATGTGAGCCAGTGGTAAACACGAGACGTGATTTTGAAGGTGCAGTTAAGGTACTAGATCTGCTATAAACCTGTTCGTTTCAAAAATTTATTTCTAAAATAAATAAAGAATTTCCCCAAATAAAAATTACACAAGTCTGTCAAGCGAGACTTGAGCTTTCAGAAAATTGATATCCGACGTGTCAATGTCAAAGAAAATTGCAACATTTCTGTCAACAACGGAAAGTATTGCGTCGGATTTCAGCCCCGAGATTATTAATGTTTCCAAAATAGCACAATTAGATACCAACTTTGGCCTTCATTTTCTATGCTTCTATTAAACGAAAATGCTTCATTTTTGGAATTCGTGTTCAGGTCAGGAGTGCATTTCAAATAAGTTATTTTATAAGCATGATCATTTTTTGACTTTACATGTATAGCAGTTGTAATACCTTAAGTCAAAAAGCCAGCCTGACTTATAAAAAAGCCTGCTTAGCTTTTCCTTAGCTACATCCCTGCTTAACTATAACATCATATTTACAGTGTAATCTCACACTGGTACTGAGATCTAACGGTTGATAAATTCATCTTATGAACAATGAGGCCTTGTGAAGGCTGTGAAACATACCTTAATGTTCCATGTTTTCCAGTACCGATTTTAGTCAAACCTTTAGTAGTTCCACTAACGACATAGAGGAACTTTCCATCACAAGCAAGACTTGTCAGCTGGTCACGGCTAGCAGAGTCACTACATTCTGTGGTTAGAGGAACTTCAAACTGCCAGTTGGTGATAAAACGAGAAGTTTGTAGAGTGCCCAGATCATTCAGTGAACCATTCTTTTCATATCTTAGGGCCTTCCGCAAAACAGTAGCCACAGGAAGTTTGCCAAGCTCAGTCACTTGCCTCTGTAGCACCTCAAGAACTTGAACAAACAACTGAATAGACAGCCTGTCAAAAATATAATTTATTATATATATTATACATAACCCGGCACAACAGACAGCTGAAAATCAAGCAGTAGTAAAGACCTTACATTACTAAGAACAAAAACAAAAGTCTTAAAGGCTAACCAAAAATATTGCTCTAAACTTCATGTGTCAAAAATTGCAACACTGAAGGCATGGAAAAGTGACCAATACATCCACTGTTTGAGTGAATCATGTAACTTAATATTCAAAGAAATGGAGTTGACACCATTCAACTTAATGGACTTCTCATCCAACCTGCCTCACAAAATGGAAGGGGACATGGGCTTGCTTCACATTTTGAGATCAGTTAGAAAAACATTTAAATAGTGTTTTTTAAACCTGCTTAACTCAATGCTGAGTGTGCTCTTCAGTGTATCCCACTTTAACAATTTGGAACATACATGTAACACTGTTGCACATAAAAAAAACATGAAAATTTGTCTTCACTCTCCTTGTTCTTCTTTGTGATCAATGTTAACTAAATTCAACATGTCCACTGACACATACCTTCTGAAAAACTAACCCAGGGAGATAGGGGTGCAAATAACACCAAAAAATAAGGGTACTGGCAACTCTCTTTACAACAGAAGCTATTGGGACCTGTGCCAAGTATCCATCTTGGCAGGTGCTTGCCTTAAAGAGACTCTAGGTTTTCAGTTACGAAAGGTTTCCATCTTAGAGAGAGTTGATTTTATGTGCTATTAAAAGGGGAAGAGATTTAAGGACTCCTGATCTACAACTGGGTATTACTTATGTATGGGGCATGGGGTATAATCAGTTGCTCATCATTGGCCATTTTCACACTGGAGGCAGATTATCCACCTCAGAAAGATTTACTGTCATATAATCTGTGTCAAACAAACACCTTATCCATCTGAGACCCATAATGCATCTGTAGTGTGAAAACAGCCATTGGTAATGATATGTTACTTCTAAGAAAACAAAAACAGTTTCCCAGTAATAATCGTAGGAGTCCTGAGTTGGCTTTGTGGTATTAGTAATGGTAACAGGACTGGGTGGAGTCCAATTCGGTCTGTAATCATATGAGTGATTAACAAAATCGGACGACCGCGTAGCGGGAGTACGATTTGTTTAATCACCAGTATGATTACAGACCAAATTGGACGACACGAAGTTCTGTTACCAATTAATAATAACTTTAACAAAATCTGTGATATAATAGACTATTTTTTTAAATCAAAACACAAGAAATTCGAAATTTTGTTTTGCTAGCAGTGAAAAAAAAGCGCGCGCGAGATGGCGCGTACTGTCCAATTACTTAGGCATGACGCGTACTGTCCTATTAAACTGTCCAATTAAGGCTGAAATCAGGGCAGTTGATAGCCAATCAGACTTGACAATTTTGTTATAGTTATGATTAAGAACGAAATGGCAGTCCAAATTTATCAGAAGAGTTGCCCCATAAAAATGGGAACATTATATATGCCAAATTCATTTTGGTTTCATAAGAAAAATAGAGTAACAAAGCCGGGATATCAATTAGCCCATAAAAAACTCGAGCAGTTAAGCTCAATCCTATTTAATAGTTTTAACATGGCTTTCCGCTGTCACGCGTTAATTGTTTGTCAAATTAGTACCTTCCACAGGCTAATGCAATGAGAGCTGCCACTAAGGTCTCTCTTTTCAACTGGCAGCCAGCCACGTTTTGGTTTCCAATGATAATTTCTGCTTGACGTCCTTGCTGTAACCAGTTGCAGAGCAAATCTGCTAAACCTCTGATGCAAGTAACAGGCTCAGCTGCCAGAGAGTTCGGAGCACAATCTTGCAGACATTGCAACAAGAGTTCTGCACACTGTCCAGCTAAAGAAGGATCTGTCCGGCTTTGCGACTGTAGAATTGGAAGTAACAGAAGCAAACTAACGTGGGACGAAAACGAAACATTCGCAAGTTGTCCTTTCTGTCTATCTCCCGTTGCTGTCAACTTCGAGGCGGCAGGAGGTCGAGAAATTTTCAACGACAACTTTGTTAACTTGGCTTTTGCTGACTGCCATAGGCCGATTAAAGCACGTTGTCGATAACTGAAGAACTTGTAAAAGGAGCCATGCTGTAAAGCACATGTGTACAAAAGGCGTTTGCTGAGTTCCGCGTTTGAAGAAGTATCAAACTTCTGCTCAGAAATGCAGTCCTCGAAGGAGGTTTGTTGGGTGGAGGCAGGAGGAGGTTGAACAACTTCGACCACAAATTTGAGACCATCATCAAGAAATATGTTCTGTTCAGTAACTGAGGACCAGTTGTCAAAGCCAGTTACTGAGGTATTACTCATCTTTCAATTACATTCATGGTTTGGAGAACATCGTGAACATCAACATGGCACTGTACCCGACCTGTGACATCCTTTCCCTTTGAATTTGCCTCGCTTCAATGTACATCGCGCGTGTATGACGTAGAAATCCCGGGAGTCACGCAAAGAGGAAGCTAGGTGAAATTTTACATGACGTAAAAAGTCAATTTCCAACATGGCTGACGGTGAGGCCTAGATGTGATGTGAGTTTCGTCACCTTCGTGTTTCAGTAAAATCTAACTGTCGCATTGTTTTTACTTTAAGAAAACATCTGCAATCTTCTTGTGGTTATTCTTGATGCCAATCCCGTGTGGTGGGGAAGAATTACTTGCGAAGGAAGTGAAGACCCTCTGGCTGGTGAAAATGAACAACAGGTCAGAACTCTTTAAGTACTGTTGTTGCAAGCGCGGCCATAGTTCTTCGTTAGACTGAGACGACAGACTTGAAGTAAACTTCAACACAAGTTTTATTCTAACAAAAGTTGCACACACATTTGGGTTGTTGCAAGATGATGATGGAATGCAGCCTCACTCTGATGTTAAGTGTACAATTGCTTCAGGTTACACAAACTTCCGGTTTTAACGAGGACAAGTTGAGTTTGTACCCAACATAAATGACATCGATCAATATGAAACTTCAACACCATTTCCCCCCCCCCCCCCCGGGTAACCCCCCAAGCATTTGACCTTATTAAAACAGGCCTGTTCAAATTACCATCACATTAGCCCAATGTGGTGGTCAAAATGCTCCTCCCAAAGAAGAAATGTTCTGCGCTGAGATTGTGAATTTGAAAAATAGACTTAAGCGAATTTTCGGGACTTCCCATTATGTTGATTGGCAATTGAATTACAGAAATCATCACTCAATCTTGTTTTCATACGTTATACTTTCAAAAATACATAATGAAGAACTTTTGAAATTCCTTGCCAAAAGAAGCTGTTTCTTTACCCTTAAACTCTTCCATCTTATTATGAGAAAGATCACACCTATCAAAGTATGTTGTCCGACCTAGATGGTCCAAAGAAGTTAAACTTGACACTTTCGGCCCAAATTCCCCAACCCACCATGGCAATGGTAAAATTTCCCGCTCCCCCAGTAGAAATTATGGTCAAATACCTGGGGTTTGACCAGGGTGGCGGGGGGCGATGTTGAAGGTTCAAATTGATGGGCCATTTATTTGAGAACTGTTTCCTACAGCATCTTGCTGTTAGACATAGAAGCAGATGTTGATGTCATGTCAGGTTGATTATTAAAGGATTGTATGTAATGTATTCATTTCCAGATCAGCTTGACACACTGTGTGGACAGTCTTATGGTTTTCTGCAATGCACATCTTATGATGAAACATAACAACTCTCTTTCTTTTATTTTGTCTCACACTTCAACAAGGTATGATTTTTAGTTACCATGAGAATTTGATTTATCAGTCGCTGAAAATGCATTTTACTTGCAGTAATTAAAAAGAACATCTCCCTACAACCAACAGTTGGCAGTCCACTGTCTCAATTCTGAGGGTCTCCAATAGGGTTCTTCAACCCTGTAATCCCAGCCCAAAATTTCATGGGCAATCTTGCAATCCAGATGGTTATTTTTGGCATCTCACCTCCCACATATACGACGTATATGTTGTAGTTAATTTTTTATTTCAGGTAATTTTTATTTTTCTTTTGTTTTTGGGTATGGTAATATATGCTAATGAAGTTGAAACAAAAGAAAAATAAAAATTACCTGAGATAAAAAATTAACTACAACATATACGTATACCTTCAATCCTGAATCTTGCCTATATTTTGCTTAATAACCAAAAACATTTTTTTCTAATTAAACAGCAAGTTTGTTTTTCCAAGAGAAGACAATCTTGGTGACATGACAGATGCTGGTCAGGCTGATCTTCCTAAAGATGGGAAATATGAAGGCTTTGCTAATGTCAATGATGCTATCATAACAGAACTCAAAACTCTGTTATCTGCCGATGTCTTGACAGGTAAACAAGATCTTCTTGACATAAGTAATCGCAGCTACTTTTGGGTTTTGAGAACTTGTTTCCAATTTTTTGTTGCTTAAAACCTCTGCGAGAAATCCCCTCCTTCCTTTATCAGGGAAGCTGTAGAGACCCAAATAATATTTATTTGAAAATGTAAATAGCCTCTTGTAACCAGTTTCTTCTTATTAGTAGAGTGCACCAGATTGTCTTTTTATTGCTACTAAACTATTATTACCTCACATGCCGCCAGTAGCCATGTTTGAACAACCGTCTGCCTTTCATGTCAGGTCACTTTTATTCCTGCCCTAGTCATCACAGTAGTGTAAAAAAAAAAACATTTTCCATTTATTTATTTATTTTTTTCAATCAGCCTTTGAAAGACATTTATTACCCCATCACTCATGTCATCTATAGTAGTGTATCTGTTACGGGTCAAAATTAAATTCAGGTTCAAATTTTTTAACGTACAATCAGCGACAAAATTGTTGAGACATACTTAAATAGGGTGACTTCGGAGAACAAAAGAATCCGCACCCCTCGCCTGTCCCCTCCATTCAAAGTTGGGGTGTTTGTTGTTTTCTATAGGTAGCTAGAACAAGGGCCCAACATTGTACGGAGGGGATGGGGGAGGAAAGCTATATTTCCTCCTCTTGAAGTTCATAAAACGTAAAAAAGCCTACTTTTGGGCGAAGTGTATCAAGTCATTTTGTCGCCGATTGTAGATTAATTTGCAATTTCTTTTGTCTCCCAGCCCTAATTATTCATGATTTCCTAATTGAGTCAAAGGAAATTGAGAATCAACCTAAGTTAAAAGATTTTAACCTGAATTTAATTGTGACTTGTAACATATCTATTTATCAAAATGTTGAGCCTTCTGTGGTGACCTTTATGTGTGTTTGGCTAACTCCTATATTTAGTAACTTTGTAGGCCTGAAAGGTTTAGTAGTTATTTCTTTTTCATTTGACTTATAAGGCACTGTCATTACTTTTATGTAGATGACCACAGTTCTGAAGTTCCTCCAACACTTCTTGCAAGTGCCTTGACCATGGCTTTGTGCTGTATCCTTTGACAAAAATTCTGCACAGAAGACTCAAAGGAAATAAAGAATACAGATTTGTTTCCACTCTGTTTTTATTAGAGATCTCACAAAATTTAATGTTTTATACAAGTCAAATATTACAAATAACGTGAATTTGGAAATCAATATAGAGAAAATTGAGGAACCATTTAAGGACTATAAAATAATGCATTGTCAGTGACTTTGTGTAGAAAATATTCCATACCTTCCCCATAAAAGGGATTGGAAATTTCTAGGGGGAATGGGGGGGGGGCATCAAAGTAGCTTACTGGAGAGCAAGCATTGTAGTTGGACAAGAAAAACATAGATAACACTGTTTTAGATGTTTAATGCTTTCCCAAGGTTTTGCTTCATTGCTTGTTTCCAGTATAGTGTTTTTGTACCAAGTAAACTACTGTCTATAAATTATCCTTTATTTCACTGTCAATTCTCGTTTTTTTAACTTGACTTAATGTTTTCATCAGATATTCACAGAGCAGAGAAAGAGTGCCCAGGTAATGTTATTACATTTTCCTGATCAGTACTTTATCCTTTAATTTACCTAATCTTGAATGTGAGTTGTAAAATGGAAGATTTTTTGCGATGTAGGCTATTGTTTTGCCTAATCTGTGGTAGTACTTGCAGACGGAACCTAGTATACAGAATGCATATAAGAAATAAAACTACAAGTGAAGTTAAACCCACTTTGAAGGGCAATTGGATTTGTGAAGTAACTAGATCCGTTTTCTGTTTTTAGTTGGACAGAAGCTCAAATCACGCATAGTGGTAAGATGTTGTAATTTTCTTTTTTTTTGAAGTTATGTGATAGTATCATTGATTTAATTAAAATTTGAAGCAGGTAGCTGTTTTGAGTAATATCCTGTAACCGAATGTATCAACATGGTTTGAAAGAATCTTTTCTAAATTATTATTATGATTATTGATTGATATGAATTAATTCTTTTTCATTTTACCACAGATTTTAAAAGCTGCACCAGATGTGTCTGCGCAATACATGCCAATAATGAACTGCATATTTGCTGCCCAGAAAAGTGTAAGTGTTCCTTTAATTTTGCATATGAATTGGCACTCAAATAAACCTCACATTGCATGTCCTTGACCTATCCATATAGTACTGACTTTTCGTTCTCTGTCAGGGCCGTAGCCAGCCCATAGGCCTGTAGGCCCCGGCCTACAAACTTTTGATTTGATCACTCTACCGCTTGTAATAAATTATGCTTTGTTGGGGTGAGCTAAAAAGCTTAAGAGGTTAAAGTGTTGGTGCGGTCAGTGCGTACTAGTCATGCATACAATTTTCAGCTTATGTGGACATGAAAGTCAGCCAGGCCTACAAACAGTCACAAAGCTGGCTACACCCCTGTCTGTGGTATGTACATAGTCTTTTAGTGACAGAATATTGCAGTTGTTAATCCTTTAAGTTCCATTAGTGATCAACATCAATTTTCTCCTAATGAGATTCATACCTTGTCAAGAGAAAAGGAAATGAGAATTAATAAACTGATCAGCACACAGAAAAATTAATGCTTTGGTCTTTTATCAAATTCTCTCAAATATTTAGGGAAATGTATAAAGATCAGTGTGGAGGATTTGTAGGTGGATATTGGGGCTTAGAGGGTTAAAAAAGGTGTTATGCACCCCTCCCCTGATCGACCACTGCAGTTTGCAAACTTGAAGAAAAACGTTCAGTGTGCTTTTTTTTGTTGTTAATTTTGATTTTAGAATACAGTGATAGATGCTTGTGTGTTAGATGAACAATCAGGATTCCTCCAACAGGTATTTTGGCAAACAAAGACCAATATGTTTACATTTTCATTTGATTTTTGGATCACACTGACCTATAGTGTGTCTTTAAGCTGCAATCATGCTCTCCATCTATAACCTGAAGTGACTGAGATAATAGTACCAGTCTGTAGTGATGTTATTCTTCATACTCCAGATTTTATTGTCCTCAAAATTCGTTTCCATACTTCCTTGAAAAATGACAGCTGTGTTTATTATTGATTGAAAAATGACCTTTACTCAAGATGGTCATTGCCCTTCCTGTTGGCTCTTTGCTAAGTTACACACCCTCAGGACTAGTCTACCCAGGTAAAGCTAAAACGCCCTTAACCACCTGTGTGGAAACACGATCCTAGTACCGCTTTTGTTGTCATCAGTTTCTCCATTAAAAGGTTTAATTTGTTGACACGTGGATATAAGGTTCCATCTTATGGAGAGTTTACATTTCTGGCAAACTAGTTGACTGTATAATGTGGTATCATGTACCTAAAGTACTAAGAATTAAATGAAAACACTCCTTAAGGCTTCTTATTTGTGACAGACCAGAGACCTTTTCAAAGGTTGACAATTATTGTCAGTCATATTTACACAGACGAAATTTACTCTACTGTAAAACGGCTAGTAAAATTAATTTGAAAGAAATTTATTTCCATGAATTTTCTGCTTCTTAATTTTTTTTTGTTAGCCTATAAGGACGTCAAACCGGCTTGATTTATTTTTTTTTTATAAATTTACAGGCAGCCGACATTACAGGAGGAGTCTATTTGAAAGTTCCACAACCTCTTGCTTTGCTTCAGTATCTCCTGGTCAGTGCACGGGTACCTCAAGCCGACAGTGCCACAGGGCAACCTGCATAGTAGATACTAAGTCATGTACAGATTTGGGAAATCTTTGTGCAACAAGGGACTAACCAACAAAAGTGAAAAGATTTAAGAGCATCACTATTTTCTGGGGTTTAAATGCGTTCTCTATTCCTTTCCGACGCCTCAGTTTTCCTAGGGTGTGGAGGAATATTCTCCGGATCCGATTTGAATTATTTATAGTGTGGGATTCGTGAAAACGCAAACTTTCTGAAAAATACGGAACTTGACCGCCCTCGGGGAGCGGTATTCGCTAAAATCGTGGCACGGGATGCGGTATTGGGAAAGAAAATGGTATTCGGGATAGAGATGACAGAATTTCGGAATGCCGGATTGTCGTGAAAAAGGAGCGAGAATGCGACATCGCCCCCTCCCCCCAGACCTTCTTTTCCCCTTTACGTTCGTTTACTCTAAAATGTTAGGATGCGTCCGCGTCCTTACCCGAGTCGAGACTCTCGGCACTCACTTTTTCCATCGTTGATTTAGGAGTGAAGGGTTAAAGACTGGTTTTCACTAGCGATAGAGACGGAGTCTTTATAAGCGTAGAGGAGCTGTACGATCTAGTGAAAACAGCGCTCTGACACCGTGCAAGATTCACCGGTCTAGTGAAAACTAGTTTTTTGATGTCGTTGGGGGAAGCGGAAAAACCAGGCCAATCACAAAGCGTGAGAACAAATATTGTGATTGGTTTATCCCGTTTCCGACTGCTTCCGACTCCGACAATCTGGTTCTCACTTGATCGTAAGTAACAGAGTCATAAACGGAGTCGGATGAAAATGGAAGCGTTCTGATTCTTCCGACTCACTAGGTCTTAAACATTCTTTCGTATCTGCTAGTGAAAACCAGCCTTTATTACTGGTTGTTGGCGTAATATGGAAAACCTAGGTGCCTCTTCATCTTCTAATCACGGGTAAATCGTATCAGTAAAACTGGCTACTACGAAAACCGGCGGGATATCTTGTATTAAGTCCGCTAATTTGACTCTTTTGACCAAATTTTAGTGGGTGTTTCTTCCTGAGCCTACCGTCCGTGAACAGCTTGTTCTTCCCACGTCTGTGCATATTGACTACAGAGCGGCATGTTTCTGTCACAGAAGACTCGTCGATATTGGATTTGTGTGTTCCGTGTGTTTATCAAGTAAGGAGAAAAGTTTTGAGTGTTATCTAAAAAATGTAAAGAGGGAGGAGTATTCTTCTGCTTAAAAAGTATTAGTTGCCACAGAAAATTATGGATTTTGTTAGTCTATCATCCATCGGTAATTTGACTTTCAATTCTCTCTTTTTTTTTTTCAGTTTATTGTCAGTTTATTCCACTATGTCTAACTTGCCAGTAAGTATATCTAGGAATTCTTTTCCAAACAAAATTTGTATGATAATGTATATTTAGCCTCGTTCGGCTAAAATTGCTTTTTGTTCTGATTCAGTTGATTGGTTCGAGTCCTAAAGGCGCTTTCCATTTTTCAGAACTGACCGGCCAGACCCTTCCCGTCGTAATGAGAATTTCACTATTAATCAAAACTATCCAGCCAGGTCCGTCAAATCCTAAATAGTGTGCAAGGAGGAGGTGGTTTTTCAACCCAAAAACCCTTGGAAAAAGCCGATTTGATTGTTAAACTGACCGGTCCGGCAATGGTCCGGCCGGCCAGTTCTGACAAATGGAAAGCGCCCTAAGTTCGACGTCTGACTTAACTTAATTTAGGTCGATCTAAATTAGAGTTTGGTTCGTCTCACGAAAAGTTCGACGTTTGGCCCAGGCGGAACTGAAAGCCTGTTGATAGGTTTTCAAGTGGCGGTGTATGGGGGGAGTGGTCCCTTTCGTAAACGGTTGCTGCCATTTTTAAGACACAGAGAAAATTTTTGACCTGTTATTGAGGCTGTTTCTCTTAAGAAAGAAGGAAATAATAACTCAGGGTCGAACCCGGACCTTTCGTATCCTAATCTCTAAGCTGGGAGTTATCTACCGAGAATGGAATCAAACATGATCAAAATGGAGCAAGAATATAAACGTTTACATTGCATCTGGTCAACCACTCTCCAGCGTTCGCCTAGCTTTTGGCTTTAAGTAGGGTAGCATATAAGTAAATGTTCGGTTCTCAGTGAGTCAGACGAAGTTCACCTCTAATTTTCGCAAAACTCTGTTGCAGGACCAGATTTAAGCTTCCAGCCCTTCCCATGGCGAGACCGAAGAAAAAGAAGAAAGAAAACACAGCCCCTAGAAAATGATTTGTTGTATTATACGTTTTGTACAAAATATGTATTTACATATATCAAGCAATACATTTTGTTTAGAAAATTAAAAGAGTCTTCTGTTTAAAACAAAAATCTACTTTTCTTTGGATCACCCTTGTGAAAGAAGGCTTTTTGAGCCAGAGCATCTTACGCATGCTTGACTGCCAACAGCACCTTTCCTTCTCGGAATCCAATAATTTATCAAACATGATAAATGATATATGATATGACATGATATATTAATCACCAAGAAGTGAATGGGAGATGCCAAGACCAGCCGAGTTTTGGTGTTTATGATAAAAAAACGTTAACTGAACCACTGTAAAGACGTCAGAACGCCATCGTTTCGAGCGCTTTTTCTTCACTAGAGCGGATTCAGCTCTATAACCGCTGATCAGGTACCCTGGGTACCAGAGGTTTTTCTCGGATGCGGCGGGAATTTTCGGTGTTGGTCCGAAGGCCGACACATCTTCGGTCGTAGGCCGAAGCCGCGAGAAAAAACCTCGAGGCTTCTCGCGCGGGTCCTATAAAGACTTGACAGAAACCGGAAACCGCGCTAGAAAAGTCTCTGGCACCCAGGGTACTGATCAGGCCCATCAAAGCCGACTTGGAGCGAAGACCTAAGCTCAATTTATCCGTTTTTGACGCTCTTCACGGTGGTTTATATACTTTGAACTCGGTTAATAAACTCTGTGTGTTAAACTCTTCCGCCGAATACTAATAGACTTCGAAGTGTCTAGATGCCATATGAAACACTTATAATAGTGTTGTTGGGAAATTCAGAAATTTAAGTCGTTAGGCATCTAAGCTACTATCAAGGTAGTAATTTTTCTGAGTTTGAGAAGGTAAGAAGAACAATTGTTCGGTAAATCGTGAGGCTGCTGAGTTGGACACGTTTTGTTTTGGCTCAGGTCAACAAAAAAAAAAGGTTAACTTTAACTCTCAAGTTAAACAAATAAAAGAAAACAAGTTAAAACAAAAAGAAAGTAAGTACAGATCATTCACTTTACTTCGTCATACATGTACATTTGCATCCACTGCTGGATTTTATCCAGACTTGGAAATTCAAACTGGAAGCACAGAGTATTTCTCTCTTCGAGAATATACTTTTCTTCAAATTTTATTGAGCAGCGAAGAGGCACGAGCACTCTTCTCGTCTCGGGCCTCCAGTGGTGCGGCTGGCCTCATTTTCTCGCGCGCGTTTTACTTGTTGGATTAAGGGAGCTTCCCATTAGCCAGAACAACCCGCGGGCCAGACCAGGGGCCCATTTCTCGAAAGTCGCGGTAACTTTTCGGGCCCAAAATCAAATATTCAAATCAAAATATAAAGAATAAGAGCGCCGGTCCTGCCTAGCAAACTACTCCATTTTGTTTCATTAACTGATAGTTTTATCATGTTAGATGCAAAACTATTGAAACCTCAATCTTTAATGTAAACGGAGTCAGCTTACCGGGCCCGTTAATTATCGCGACTTTCGAGAAACGTGCCCCAGGTCTGCCCAGCCAGGTCAGTCCAATTCCAAATAGTGCGCTCAGCGCAAAAATCCAGCCATGTCCAATACTCTCTCCACTAGATTCCAGTGGACAAAAACTAGAGTCCAATGGAGTCCATCGGATCTACTGCTAACACATCGACTCTGATGGAATCTTCTTTGACTTATTTTAGTTTCAAAATGGCCGGTCCGGCCAGCCAATATTTGTCTTTTGATAAGAAAACAGAGGGCCCCTCGTAAAGATCTCTTCCAGCACATAATGCACTATGTATCATCCATCTCCTGGAAGAGAGCCAGTACGGAGTTAGACTCCAGCTCTTTCTGTATCTCATCCATGTCTGTTGGAAGCATGTCCTTGCCATCTAACCAATCAGATAACAGTGAGGCTGATAGTGATGGACTGTTTGGTAAACTTGCGGGGAGGGTCAGGCATACATCTTTATAAGGGCTAGATCTGCGTCAAAAAAAAAGGACGAGAAAGATTTATCACCCCAATTTCACCCATTGCACTGGGCCTAGCCTTTCCAGGTTACATATTGACACAAGAAACGGGTTTTAGGAAGTTGGGGAAGTGGGTGATTGAGGTATTTAACCCTTTAAGCCCTAAGAGTGATCAGCATCAAATTTCTCCTTGTGATATCAATGCATTGTAAAACAGAGTGGTCATAAGAATTACGGACATGATCACACAAGATGAATTTCCTTGATAATTTATCAACTCCCTCTTACTTCTGTAGGAAATGAATAGGGGCAACAAATGAGAAGTCAAATTTTGATCTTAAGGTTTAAAGGGTTAACAAGATGCTTACAAGCTCTTCCCTTCTCTCTTCCAGCCGTTTTTCGCTCATTCGCTGTTTCACCTCTCTCCTCTGCAACGGCTACGAAAACGTCACTTAAAAAGTGAATTCGCGCTCCTTCAAACTTTATCGCGCTTATTCCAACTCGTTCAATTCGTCAAATGTTGGCAAGTTTTTCTGGAGTTGAATTCTAAAACCGACTGTATCAAAGTTCAGAAAAATAAAAATAAAGTCGTTGTCTAGTGTTCACGTCCTCGACAAAACGTGAAATTAGACACTTTCACGTTGTAGTCGTGCAACAACGACAAAGAAATAAGCGTGATGCACGAGCAAAGTTGTTGTTTTGCCAATCTAAACGTATTGTTTTTTTCGCCGTTCTCGTTGCCGTCGCCGTCGTCGTTGCTTAAGCTCCCTAATGTAATACCCAGTGGGAGCCTCTGCGGAGGGGCTCGCTCGCTCGCTTTTTTGTACGTCCGCACTGACCGAGAGCCTGGTACAGGCTACATCGGGCCACATTCAAAATTATCAACCTTAATTAAATTTTGCGATCATAAAATACATTGCAACTTAAAAAATGGTTGATCTTTTACACTTGTAATAGAGATTCTGTTTACAGTGATTTACAGACCCTTATTGGTTGCTGCTGAACTTGGGGACTTACATAAGTTATTTCCAACTAACTTATAAAAATTAACCAGTTTAAAATGTGGCTGTGCATTTTGGGTGTCAAAGTAATGGATCAAAAAATCATCTTGTTCGCGTCCAGTCCCGTCCAAGGTTTTATAGACCAAGAGGGGACGTTGAGGTCAATAAAACGAGATCAACATCCAGTCATCTTGACCAAACAAACTTGGTCAATAAAGGATTTACTATTGGAACAAGAGAACAATTTTCTTGCGATATCTATCAGTACACAGGATTCGCTTAATCTTCCCCACATGCAAAACCAGTGATATAAACAACACCCTGTACAAAAAAACAGTACTCACAGGTTTAAAGGATCCTGAATTATGCCAGCATCATTGAGAAGTTCATTGATGTTGAATCGTCCTATACCATACCCACTGCCAGTTGCTTTGGCGTAGGAGGATAATCTGCTGGAGAAAATCACTTCCTCTGCTAAACCAGCTTCCTCTTGGACTTCCTGTACATTTAGATCGCTCAATGCATCGTGGATATTCTCAGGAATCACGCTAGTTTGCTGTGATACCCCAGCATCCTCCAAATTTCCATTGCTTGGCTGTGCTGTGAACTGTTCTGTCCCAACTTTAACAGGAGATAGTTTGGGTTGGGAATCGGTTGCTGTACACGTTGTTGTAGCAGAGCTGTTTGATGTGTCAGCCTGTTTGAAGATGGGCGAGGCCATCAGTGGCGAGCTCAGCATTGTGTTCCAAAGGAGCTGAATGTCAGTCTGACTAAGCGTGGACTGAAGAATTGACTGAAGGCTTTGTGGACTCATGAGTGAAGGTGCTGTGCTGTTGTCAGCCATGGCACATATATCTAAACTTGTGTCCACTGGAGCAGATGATGTAACCGTTGAGTCTATCAAAGAAAGAGATGGACAAGGAGCAGGTGCTGAAGTAGTGTCTGTAACTGAAGTTTGGCTGAACTGCACACCTGTTGATTGCAATGAAGATGATTGAGCAGTGTGTGTCTGTGAGGACAGTCTATTAGCATTTGCTGAAGTTTGGAAGATTGTACTCCATGGAATATTATCTGTCACACTTGTGCTGGGAGGAGAGTAGCTGCTTGATGATGGTATAACTTGGGTAGACAAATTTACTGATGGTGTTGCTAGTGACGAAGTACTTACAATGGATGGAGGGAGTGGCATGTTTGATGGTAAATTCATAAAGTTTGTTGTAGTTGAACCTTGCACTGAATTCGATGACAATGATGTTGAGGCATTTGTTAACTGTTGTTTTCCAGCACTGACAGCATTTGCGACAGTGTTGACAGACAAGGCTCCATGAGGAGGCATCATCAAATTCACTGTAGAGTCAATGAAATTACTAACTGGTTTACTGCCAGTTGGAGCTGTAACTATGATGTTCTTATGAATTGAAACTGAAGGAATTGTACTTTGCATAGTGAAAGAAACAGAAGGCATTGCTTGTGTGTTTTTAGAAGGGGTTTGTGATGTAGTTACTGGAACAACAGTAGTTAAACTTGTGTCTTTTAAAGATGACAGACCAGAATTTGCAAAACTTGTTAGTAATGGCAATGTAGAAACAGCAGCACAATGCGTCATTTGGGTCGTTACGGTACCGGCATTAACAGAGGCAACATCCTTGGCATTTATATCTACAGTTCTGTTTGCTAATGTAAGTGGAACTACACCAGAATTTCCTGCAGTGATGCTGACATTAGCTGCTTTTGCCTGGGACCCAGCACTACTTGTACTCTGAGAAACAGTAACATGAGATGTGGAAGCTTGAGAAGCAGCAGTAATCTGTCCTTTTACCACAGAAACAGGCAAATTTGCCACCAAAGACTGGGGCAGTGATAAAAGTTGGTTTGGAGCCAGAGGAACAAGTTTACCTGCAACTGAATAACAGGATTACAACATGTTTAAATTTCATTCCATTAAATGGTAGTCATTTTAGTTTTTGGAACAAAAATTTAGCACCAGTTTATAAACTGTAACAGATATCCTAAATAAAGAAATGACTGTCCCAGTTGCAATCACAATTTAAGCAACTGCAAAATCAAGCCTAAAAAAATTTTGGAGCTTCAACAGAATTCAAAACCATGGCCTCTATGTTAGCTCTGCAGTGCTCTACCAACTGAGCTACAGAGACCCATATGTTGGGGGCGGCCGAATTCATTGCATTCATCTTAATCAGTGAAAGGAATGAAGCATAGAATGAAGATGATGTGAAAACCGCATTTCACATCCTTTTCACTCTATGTAACTGATATTCATCTTATAGAGAGGAGAAGTTGTTACATCGTGTTGGCCGGGGTAGCAAAAACCAAGGTCCTGCAAATATGGCAGAATTATTATCCAACAATTTGACACGTTTGACTTTCTTGTTCATGATTATACTTGGGAACAAAATGGTAGCCCATACTTTTCTTCCACCCTTTCACAATGAAAATGGTCGTCTCTGTCAAGAAAGATTGTTGAGATCAAGTAATCTTGCCACCATGGTAACATGATATCACAAATCTTCAATTCTAATTCTTGGTAGACATACCTGTCTGTGCAATTACACATCCTCCCTGTAATGTCTGGGAGACATTTGGCATTGTTTGAGTTGGTACTTTAACAGCCTTTAGTCCTGTCACATTTCCATTCTGGTTCTGTGGTACAAACTGAGTAAACTGAAACTGCTGCTGAGTTTGACTTCCCACGAGATGTGGAAGTTGAAGTGGCTGTGATGCTGTCAAGTCACAACCTAGCATCTCTTCCTTCAAGTCACTGAGCTCCTTCATGTATTTTCTTATGGGATGAATGAATGGCTTGGTTTGCTTTCTCATGTTTTCCCATCTTTGTAGCATTTGTTTATCACTGTCGCTTAGACCTGTGCCCTTGTTTGATTCTGTTTCTTTATTTTCTGATTGTCTCCTGGCTACTTTAGATTTTTTAGCCTTGTTTTCTGCTTTCTCTTTCTTTCTTTTTAAGGTCTGTTCCATTTTCTGTCGAACATCTGCCAGGGCTAATGATGATACTGAAATATTAATATGAAAACCAGTTATTTCAATACAAGTCATTTGGATACAAACTTAAGCAGCGAAGAAACTGAACAACATTTTCGATCAGTTAGAGTACAGTTAGCGCTTGAACAAGGAAAACATTTGGGATGAATATTCCCTGTTCTTTAACCCATTCGCCCCTGAACCGCCGGTAACCGCCCGTGTGGATCCAGGTCCTTTCTACCATTTGTGACGTCATCAGTTTTAAGGGTCAAGGACAACTTTCTTCGCTAACTTGTGCCGAGTGAAGAGATCTTTCAAACCATACCAGAATGAGCACAATTCAGTCAAGGACACCGGAGAAAGAAGCAAAAAACCACGTGACATTGACCTGAAAATCTTCATGAAAATCTTGTTCCATTGCTCACCTACCTTTCCTTTCACCTAATCCTAAGATCCTAAAAGCTTTCCTAAAAGCTCTTCCCACCAAAATGAAGCCTACCAAATGCCCAGCAAGAGAAAAAATATGAGGCAAGAAAAGCGAAAAAAGAAGGGAGGAGAGAAAGCGAAAAGTAAAAGTCAAGACTGCTGGGTCAAAATTTTGCTTTCTGCGCATGCCCGAACTTCACAAGCGGATATTTTGCATCTGGATCAGAAAGCCGCAAAGTGTACGACCTGTTAACCGGTTTGTGGTAAGTTTTAGCTCTTTATAGCATGACAGTGACCAGAAAACCACTCGACTACTAGCTTCAAAACGAGTTTTTCGGCAAAATCTTGAGGAGCGAATGGGTTAAGCCAAGTAAATGAAACTATTTACATCTCCACTGAATCAGCTTGTATCAAAACATCTTTGCATCGAAATGACTGATACCTGAACCTTATATGGCATTGAGTTACATTTTAACAGAGTTAGAGCACTTCAGACTATCAGTAATGCTCATTTTTTTACCATTCAGAATCAAGAGACAGAATAAAAGTATATCCTTGTTAAAGAGACTGTTGAAAACTTTGGAAGAGCATTTAAATCAGTATGCTCCAAAATTTTATCCAGCACATTCTGAATGTGCATTGGGAGCATTTCTAATTTCCATGATAAAAAATTAGGATTTCCTCTATGACTTAACAGCTCAAAAATGATAATATTAACACAGTATGTCCCAAGACAGGAGGAGCAAGATCAATACCTTTCTTTGAAGTGGTTTTGTCTTTTCCTCTACTAGAGTTTAACTGGGTTGATGACACTTGACATGACTGCAATTCTTTTGGAGATCTATTCACAGGAGAGAGAATCAACACCCTATCTTTGTGAAACTGTTCAATTTCTTTCAGAATCCTTGCCTTTAGGTCATCTCTTGTGAAAGGAATGTCCTCAAAGTCAAATTCAAAAGGTGGAAAACACAAAGGTTCATCGTCAATATCATGGTATTTTTCTAAGTACTTGTGAGATAAAGCTTCACCCACTGAGATGCGTTCTTTTGGATCCAGTTTTAACATTTTCCCCAAGAGGTCCAGTGCATCTGGATGACACATGTCCTTGGGATAAAGTTTTTCAAGTGGAACAGGCTGCTTCTGTGGTAATCGCCTTAGGTAGGTCTTTACTCGCTCTGCACCCATACGCTTGATGAATTCCTCTGATGGAGTGCCAACTACACTAAGAATAAGCTAAACAAGGATACAAAAAGGTTGCACAAACTGAGTAAAGGGGGAGTAACTTTACTTACAACTGCTGAATAGTAACCCAGGCCAACCGAGTTGTTACAAGGTCAGACTTTATGTTTGATGCCTTTCTGGATGGGAGGTGCATGGTCCACAACTTACCTTGGCTGTCCATGCCTCTGAAGTCTTAGTTACCTAAACAGCCTGTCATTACACAATGCTCTGCCCCAGCGTTGCATGACAACACAAATAACAGCTACAAAGGAGACCCTGATTTTTGCGTGTCATTTCATACACTAGGTAGAACTATCAAACCTAACCAATAGGAAAGAGGAAAACTAGCAAAGGGCAATATACTAAAATCACACCGTTTACACCCTAAGTGACGCCTTTGTAAAGAACTGAACTATTTTGTGTAAGCTTGCTTACCTGTAACTGATTTAAATAGTTAGTTCCAGGGAATAAATGTTTCCTTCCAAGCATTTCAGCAAAAATACAACCCACAGACCACATATCAATTGCTTCGGAGTATTCATTCAACGAAAGCATTAACTCTGGTGCTCTGTACCATCTGGTAGCTACGTACTCTGTCATTACCCTCTTTTGCTCTGAGGGGGAGCTTGAAAGACCGCGAGCCATTCCAAAATCACCGATTTTCAATTCGCAATCCTGGTTCACCAGCAGATTGCTCGGTTTGAGATCCCGATGTAAGACGTTCGCGGAATGAATGTACTTTAATCCTCGAAGGATTTGATACAGAAAATACCTAGCGTGTTCTTCCGTAAGGGGCTGTTGTGAATGAATGACGTGGTGCAAGTCAGTTTCCATCAAATCCAGGACCACATAGACATCGTTAAACTGCTCCAAATCTGCAGGAGGCTTCAAAATATTCTTAATGGAGATGATATTATCGTGCTTGAAATGTTTCAAGATCTTGAGCTCTCTGTACGTACGTTTCGCTGTTGTAACCACGTCAAAAGTTCGAGGGATTTTCTTTATAGCAACTTTGCTGTCGTTCTCCGTATCAATGGCGGAGCAAACAACACCGTACGCTCCATTTCCTATGTTCTCTAGCAGCTTATAACGAGTGTCTAACTCGAACTTAACCTCGTAGTTTTTGTCCTTAATTTTGTAAGTTCGTTTTCCCGTTGCCATATCTCTTACTTCCTCGGCGGTTTTTGCAAAACTAACACATATATACAAGTTTGCGGAATAATATACTCCTTCGCTCCGGAGACGGCAGGAACTCCGTGCGGTTACCAAGCTCTCACGTTCGTCATTTTTATACGAAAGGTGCAAAGCGGGATAAAAATAGTAACAAATGACGTAACTAATAACCAATCAGAATTCAACCGGAAAAACAACAGCAGTGAGGGAAAACCCCTGAAACTCTGTTGCTCGATATTCAAACATCCGTGTTTCGGATGATTCCACAGCTACAAGCCTTTAGCATTGAAGACGTCTTGTCATTAAAGATATGCTGCTTTGGTGCACAAAACGCTTGTTTGAGAAAGGGGACCATCGTTGCGTGACGTCACACACATCATTCTAAATTTATCCTTTTTGAGAAAAAATTGTAACTGAAGCGTTACAGTTAATATAATGATAAACGAGGAAGAATAAAGGGTAAGAAAGCTAACTCTCTATTGCAATAGAAAAATACATAATAAATACAAGGTGTCATGAAAGATATTAATCATCATGGATAATGTGTAAAAAGGGGTTAGGTTTGTCTCACAATTCTCACTTTGATATTGATTAAACCCTTTAAATATAAGGTATTTAAACAAATCTGGCCAAATATCTTTTTTTTTTTAAACATATTTTGCTTACTTCTATATGATTACTTTTATGGCTTTGTCCGGATCAGTCTGCTGTTTATACATTTTGTATCCAAGCTATGTACACTGATCCAGGTCCACAAGAAATCAGTTCCTTGTATAGGTACCGGGGCACAGATTATGTACAACAAAAGAAACAATACAACCAAACGATAAACCCCCAGGAGAACTCTGTTGTTTGGTTCCTATGATTCTTTCATGATGATGGCACTTGCAGAAACACCCACAAAATCTGACACAAATCAACATAAATTTTTGTTGCTGTGGTAATGCAGCTCCTAGATGTTTTTTCCCCTGAATCCCTACTTAATCCCTTTTAAGTTACCTCAAGTGTCAAACTGGTGAAAAATTAAAGGTCATTATTGGCAAATGAACACAACACTAACACAAACATGTATCCTTAAGCTAGAAAGCAACGATTTTCAAAGTTATCCAAGGAGAGATACAGCATCTAGTAAAGGAAAAAAGATGCAAATAATACAAGGAAAGTACTTTGTAAATGATACATTCAGCGGTTTTGAGAATTAAATTTGTGTTCTTAATTATATGTACCATTTACTCTTTATTCTTATCTAACGAAACACTTGAAATCAGGTCCCTTGGGAAACTAGTTAGTTTTGTTTTCCTTGAGTCTTGATGTTTACTGAGACAAGTCGAGGGAAACAGCAGAACTCACGGCAAGAAAAAAAATTATTACCCCTGGGACCTAAGACTAAGCATATGCAACTGCATAATGTTTTTTCTCTGATGACTGGATAATTTAACAACTGTGCAATAGACATCCCAGATGAACCATATTTACAACACAAATGGCATTGAAAGAACAATTCTTGACGTAATAGTAGCATTTTAATATTCAACTCTTATTAATACATTAGTTACATTATTAAAACATGGCTCAGCTCATGCTACCTTGCGCTATTCTGACACAACATCATCTTTAATACCAAAGATTATAATCAATATTTTTATAAATGTAATTTCAAAATAAGTTATGGATAAAATATGAGGAGTAGTTCTGTATGGGTCAAGGTGTGAGCTCAACAAAGTGGGTCAAATAGCTGCAACATTTTGAGAACAACAGAAATGCTGAGACAAAGTTCAGACACAGTTGTTACTTGTAAGACAAGTTTAAAGTGTTTTGCTTTACTATCAAAAAAAATATTGCAGACATCCTCAACATCAGATCTCAAGAACGTTGACAATGTTCCAACTCTTTGACCACAGCATTATTCAGGATTTGGAAAACCAACTGCTAGCAGGGAAAAAACCAACAGGGGTAGGAAAATCCTTTGCCAAGCACAACATTTACTTTATTCCTTCTTCTTTTTGACAGCAGCTACTGCGAGCACCTGTTTTAGGTTTATTAAGTTAATTATTAACAAGAACGCATTGACAACGTACGTTGAGATACACACAACACAAGTGTCATGCAAGATATAAAACAAGATATAACCCAGGTAAATGGAGCCAGCACATGATAACAGAGAAAATAGGAACATCAACCATGCTGCAAATTTACCGCTGGATACACCTGAGATGAAATCAATCACACTGTAATTAATAGACCAGTCAATCAATCTCGCAATAAAAGATAGATTTACTGATAGCAATGTTCACCAACTTAAAAACAATATGCAGGGATCCAAAAAAAAGTCCCATCCAGTAGTGCAGGACGAGTAGATTTTCTTGCTGGGTGAGAACCTTTTAAAGCTCACTTGCCCAAATGGGCAAGGGTACAGGGAAGTCATCCTCTAACAAAATCATGAGCAAAAAGTCGCCCTGGGCAAGCAAAATATGAGAGCTGCTTGCATGCCCAAAGGACAAGCTGTGTACTAATTTACTTTCAGCTACGATCGTCAGGAGGATTGTATTGAGATGGTGAAATGGAGGAAAAGTTTCTTAAGTACCTAAACAAAAAACTTACTTCACAAACTGTTTGTTTGTTTGTTTTGTTTGCAATAAGTATTTGCCAGGAGGGACAGTGTGACACATGGTCCAAATACAGGGGTCAATTTAATAAAACTTTTACAAGTGTACTTTACATGTGTAATCATTGTTTTAGGGTCTAAAAACAATGGCTACACTTGTAAAAGTTTTATTGAATTGACCCCAGAGTTATGAATCCAAACCCAAGCCACAAAACCCACCAAGTAAAAGATAGATGACACAAGCAGAGTTTTTACAAACAGAAATGCAGGATTTTTGTTGCTCCCTTTTTGAATAGATAAAAAAAGGAAAGGAGGTATGGCTAATGGTAAGGTTTGAGCTCATCACAAGATGACACAATTACCTGAATATGTCGCATTATTTTAGTCTCATTAAAAACACTGCTTGGATGCTACAACTATAGTTTTTGGCAAGGTTTCAAATCTGTGACGTTTTCTCAATGGACCAGAACTTTACAAAATGAGAAACTATCAACCACTGGACAATGTAAATGGCTTTAATTTGAAATATATGGAATGAATCATGAAATGAAATGAAATGGTTTTGTTAACATATAAAAGGCTACTGGATGGTGATTTACCAGTGAAAAGTGCAATCTATCTTTTGTACTTCTTACCTAGTAACATAATCAAAGAGTAGAAAGCAATTCCAAAAATACTGTTAGGCACATTGAGAAGAGACTTTTTTCCAAGCACCGGCTCAACTAGACCAAAGCCAGTGCCATACCTGGTGAAGAACAAAAGTAGAAACTTGTTAGGAAAAAAAATTACAAGACATCCCACATTTGTACAGCCAACTGTCTTTTATACAATGAACTATCAACACATGCACTTCTCACACATGGCCAACACATGCTAGTCCTTACATGTCAATAAGCACTACCACACATGATATATACTGGACAGTTGTTATAGTTGTCTGCAACATATTGCAGATTTGAACAATTTTTCATAAGGTTGTTTACCGTATTTATTTGAATAAGCGCCCAACCTCGAATTAGCGCCCACCTCGAATAAGCGCCCAGGGTCGAATAAGCGCCCACCCCCACCCCACCCCCTTTCCACTCACACCCCCCCCAAAATTGAATAAGTACTAATAAGAGACTTCCCCAAGGACGGAGTTTTCTTCAGAGTATTTTACAGAAACCTTGCTTTGTTACATCTTCGCATTTTGTTTTTACTATAAATTTATTCTTTTGTTGCAAAATAAACATACTACACTTGCTGAAAAATATGCTGAAAATTTAATAAGTGCCCAGCCTTGAATAAGTGCCCATTCTCAAGGTCCAACAAAATTTAATAAGCGCCCAGGGTGGTTAATCGAATAAATACGGTATTCCAATCAGTAATAATGATAAAATCATTATTAAAATACCATGTAATTATTATTTGTGATATCACAGTACTGACGGTGTGGAATCCCCTTAACAACGCCACAGTTGAGCATATATAGAAAATTTGGCTGTAAGGTTTTTTCTGACCGTTGACACAATTTCAGTTATTGAAATTCGTCAACACCACTAAAAAGAGAGCCAAAAAATCGTACAATTGCCAAGTCTGAGAGTGATTTGTTGAAAAAGAATGAGGATAAAAATACAGCTCCACAAAGTTGCAAAGTTTTAGCAACAGACTTTACAGAGCTATACCTTCACTTGCTTTATTTATGTATTACTTTCAAACTTGACAAGTTAGTAATACTAAAGTACTCTTTTCAGTAGTGTGGACAGATTTTCGTCAAATGACTCTCATCAAAACGTGAAAAAAACACAGGAGGGTCTATTGACAGGGCAAAAGCTATTAATATTGTGTTTAGTTCTACTTTCAACACAGTATTTTGGCACTTGATGATCCCCGATGTTAGTGTCTCTTAAATAAACAATGGAAGTGATATGTCCCTATTCATTATGTAGGATTAACTTTGGAAAGATGGAGAATAGCTCTCATGGTTTACAAAGAGTCACTTATGAGTAGGTGCAGGAATATGATCATCCGAGTGATTGTAGTCCTGAATAGGAGTGTTATTGACACTGACTGACATTCCGAGACACTGTATGGTGGTCATCACTAGAATCCAATTGAGTTTTATAATGCTGATTTTACTTACTTTGAAGAAAATACCTTTGAACAGCTCATGTGTTCATTAATGTCACAAAGGGCTTTATACTCTTTATTGCGCGCATGGGATAATTCAACGTGAAGAGCATAACCTGACAAAGCAATGCCAACAACACAGACCAAAAAACGGCCTAACTTGATACAGTCAACCATGGTTGGTGTGATGAACCTGAAAACAAGTAGGCAATTAAGAACATGTATTAAATGAAATCACCTTTATGATGGCCTATTACAGTATATGGCTGGCTCTCCATAAATAAATAATAAAAAGTATTCTCAGACAGGGCTCTTCATATACTCATTTATGATCTACATGAAATGAGATAATTACAAAAAATCTTCAAATTAATGATACATACAAAAAACTGAAACTCATGATCAACATGAAAGGAAATGATCATTAGAAATCTAAAAATGATAAATTATGCAAAAAATCTGAAATTGATAACTTTAATGTGCATGTGAGCTGAAATGGTATTCAAGCATTTTTTGACATTTCCTTG